TATACGTGAACATTTAACGAGGTGCACTGTACGAGAATTGAATCTAACCATATATACGTGAACATTTAACGAGGTGCCCTGTACGAGAATTGAATCTAACCATCTATAAATGAACATTTAACGAGGTGCCCTGTACGAGAATTGAATCTAACCATCAATACATGAACATTTAACGAGGTGCCCTGTACGAGAATTGAATCTAACCATCTATACATGAACATTTAACGAGGTGCTCTGTACGAGAATTGAATCTAACCATCTATACATGAATATTTAACGAGGTGCCCTGTACGAGAATTGAATCTAACCATCAATACATGAACATTTAACGAGGTGCCCTGTACGAGAATTGAATCTAACCATCTATACATGAATAGTCACTGTAATGAATCTGTTCTGTTCTAAATAGTTGTAACAGTCATGTATTGTGGTGCGGGGTGTTCGTGGATAAATAATTAGGTGGTTGTTAATGCGGCTGAAACATCTCTCAGATTTACTCATTAACAGTTGATTCTCTTATATGAGAATGGGTATGAGTTTAAGCATGCATATGCACCACAGGAAACACCTGTGCTAGACTACTGAACACTTGTGCTTGACTGATGAACATGTGCGTTTGACAGGATTTGTTCAACTCACTGTGTCGCGAGGGGTGTGCTTGATTGTGATGGAGTTTACAATATAGCAAATGGAACAGGGATTGACGTTTGATTATTTTGTCGATCGTTACGTCGTAATTAAACCATTAACCTTACAAACATAAATTCGATTTGTTTTGTTTCATATTGTATTTTCCCAATCAGCTTAAATCGCTGATAAGCGTTTTTACGGGTATTATAAGAGAGCTTCCGAAACTAAAGAAAGACGAGATTTTTGTGGAAACGTCCTGAGGAATCGACCTTTGAATTTTCGGGGGGTGGGGTGTTGGGTCGGGGGTATTGCATATGGTCGACCCTAAAGTGTTGCTACTTTCATATTTCTCCGATTCGGTACCTCCCAGTGTCAAAATCTGACACAAAAATACATTTTCTTTAACTTGGAAATTTGTCTTAAAGCGAAAAGAACAAGTAAACGTTACTTAACACAAAATCGCTATATATGTATAATGGATAGACAGCGGTTCTGGACATTGGGAAGGTCTGATACAGCCCATTGTAAACCTATTGTTTATCACAGTAAAGTCGATACGTCACAAGTTATAACAACTTAATACAAAGTAGAGAATATACGGTTAACGATGTTGATAGATAGAGATAAAGAAGGGAAGGGACAGATAGGATATGTATATGTACAATATATTGTAAAGTTCGGAAAATAAAGCGATCAGTGGTAGTAATTGAGTGTTGGGTGAAAATGGGCCACACGAGAAATACGGGTGCCCTGTTGCCCACCAAATAGACATTGATATAAGTACCTCCTCTTGAGAAGGGCTTCTCCATCATTCTTTGAGTGGGCGCACGTTTGGCTCCCATGAATAATAATAGTAGTAATAATAATAATAATATAAATAAATACATCTTCAGTGGATGTCAAGTACCTCAAGCGACATGATGGTGTGGCTCGCTCCTTTTATAACCGCCATGCTTGTGGTTTTGTCACAGAGGTCCACCCATGGTACGACCCAGAATATATTGAGGGCTTCATGGAAAATGATAAATACAAAATTATTTGGAATAGGTCCGTATACAGCTTCAAACCTATCCAGGCCAACAAACCTGATCTTGTCCGTTTTTTTTATAAATAAAAGCGACAAAACCCATTCCATGTGCAATAGAAATATGAATGAACGAGTCCGACTATATCATGAGCATGTGTTTATGAATCATTTTCAAATAGTAATGATACCAGCTGTTCGCGAAAAGGTGAGCGTATCCTGCCCCACCGATGACACCCGTCACAAACACATGTAAAGGCAGGTCAGTTGTTCACCTGAAAAAAACACAGGAACAAATGGTACAAGTCAAAATAGGAAAGTGTATCGGACATCATTTTGTCACTGCTGCGTCAAATTTGGAAATGTCTTCCACATGTCTACGATAAAACTTTTATTGGGGCCTTGAATGTTGTAACCATGATGAAACAACTTCTGAGGAAGAGTCGTATGAAGCGCTTTGAAGTATTTGTAGAAAGAGCATGCTCGATTGTTGCAAAAAGTAAATTCCAAAGGCTAGAGCTGCTGGAATATTGCTCGACATAAGGGAAAAGTTGACTACTGGAAAGTTAAAGCCATCCCTCTCGTCATACAGTCTTGTGGAATTTGTTTCGTCACTCTAAATTTGTATGCATAGATCTAAAGATGAAACCGATGAGGCGGTCTCATTGGTCTCCTCTATTGCTCATTCAGGTAGATAAATCTGTGGAAGAGAATTGGCTATTTGAACCACATCAGATAATCGCTATAATACCTGAAGCATAAGACAAACAAACTTCTTGACTAAATTCACTTGTTTTGACTTTGCCAATCCGAGCAGAAATTCCGATTCATATGTATGAAGAAACATATCAGCAAGAGGGGCACACAACTCGTGGCCATGGTGGTGGATATGTCTTACCCCCAAATTCTACATAGATGTTATCAATCAGGAAGTGTTTCAGTTTTTGACAAATGGTCCTGAGCCTCTGAAGATAGATATGTACATGTAACTTTGTCTATGACGACCACGTTTTGTAACAACAGCCCCATGGATCAAGGAATGACGTTTTTCCTTACGTTTATCAAGTGGGATAGAGGTGTACAAAGTTTAAATATCAAATGTTTTGACAGAATTTAATTTGTAGCAAATCCATTGGTATTGATTTCACTTGTCTCAAATACTTTCTGTGAATATAAAGGAAGTCCTTCCTGGATTGGATTAGGGATTAAGGATTATGGTTGATCTTTGAGAAAATTATTGTTTTTGAATGACATGTTCACAACTTACTTAAAAAACACGATATTGTTATTGGGTTATTACGACCGGGGTAAAGTATATGTAAAAACAATTTATAGTTTTCAGAAATATTGGTCCGCTTACGCATCATGAAAATGGTATCTACGTTGTATGACATTATTCGTACTTTGGTATTGTGTGGAGAAAAGCACAATCTTACCTCTGCCTTGCCTCTTAGGCAAATAAAGCTCTTATGGCTACCAACAGATGTTTAAATAGGATAGGGTATGTTTCAGGGCGGACGCTCTCCCACTAGACCACGGAGGTCAGGTATATGTGTACAAGCGTACATGTGTATATGTATATGGGCATGGAGGCGCCGGTTTGTTTATGTACCGGAATATGTAAGTGTGTATGTACGTGTGACTTATATATTTTCACATGAAAAGATTGAAGCGCACATAAAATATTTGACATGAATTTTTTTTAATATAAATTTCTTTATGTACACATTTCAGGACAAATGCTTGTTCGGAAGTTTTCTTTTCTGTTATATACATAAGGGTCATACCTTTAATACCAATACTGCATGTGTATTTGTTAGCATATAACCTCAAGAAAGTATCGAGAGTCATGAACTAAAATAAATATTTGGTAAAATCTCACTTTTGATTGAAGGTAGTTAATTAACGAGAACTTGGCCACCGCAACTTTACCTTTCCAAACTATAGGAACTTGAAAGTAACTAGCAAATCAGTCACTGACATGACTACAATTCACGAGTGTGGCTTTGAACTCCTTCAGCACCTGCTTTCCTCTCCTGACCTGGCCCCGTCAGACTTCCATCCTTTCCCAACCATGAAAAATGCTCTAGCCGGGACCCACGACACGAACACTGACGTCATAGCAACTGGGGATAACGTTTTGGACAGCCAAGAAACGCACTTCCACGAAACTGTGATAAATCCCTCCAACATCATTGTCAAAATTGCATCAATGTGGAAGAGTATTATGTTGAAAAAATAAATGTCTAATTTTAATGTGTTGAAGTCAAGGCTCATTATCTAAGATGTGTTAAATCATGTATGTGTGTATTTCTCTAACTAGGTCTTCTGTGGAATTCGGCTTGGAGACTTGTTCATTTCAATAATTGGAAATATCCCATTTTTGCTTCAGCGGTACATAAACGGTGTTGAAAGACCAAAACATGCAAATGCTGAAATGTCAAATTATCATTCATTTGAACAGATTGGTTAACTTTCATAACGAATTCTGAGAGCTTCCTCATTTCTTAAACCAAACCCTTGTCATATCTTATCATTGGTCGTATGCTCCTTACAGTAAAGACAGCTTAGTTTTTTCAAATATTATTTAACTATCAACTTTTATACGTTGCTTACATTTTTCTGTTTAATAGTACTCTGCATTAAGAGGCCAAAACAAGGACTGGTCAGCTCGGCCGCAGTATACTGTGTCTGAGTGGGGTATTCATGTTAAACTGCTGCATGGTATCTCAGTGGGCTAGCACTATAAAATCGGTCCGGTCTAGTACCAGAAGCCACACACACACACACATACACACACACGTGCATGCACGTCGCTGTATAAGTGTTATAATCTTGAACGCGGCGTAAAACAACATTCACCTCACAACCGTTTCTTTTTAATATCCAGAATGCGTAACAGCAAGTTGAGACTGTTTGAATCTCGAGAAATTACCTTATAATTTGTTTTTTGAAGATACACGTTTTATGGACTCATTCTTATTGGTACTTCACTTTGGCTGTCTTCGAAGGCGATATTGCAAAACTGTTCCAACTATTTGTTGATCAAATGTGTATTGTAGAAAGGGGCATGTACTTCCCCAGCAACCCAGGCTTATCGAAAGAGACGACTAACGGGATCGGGTGGTCAGGCTCGCTGACTTGGTTGATACATGTCCTCGTATACCAATTGCGTAGATGGATGCTCATGATGTAAATCATTGGATTATATGGTCCAGATTTGATTATTTTCCGACCGCCGTCATATAGCTGTCATATGGCGTTAAAGAAACAACAAGCTAACAATATGTCGTTGATGTTGATGGTTGGAACACATCCCTTTGTACACATGTACTACACAAACTACTTTTTACAAAGGAAAGTATTTATTCAGGTAAACGTTGAAAATGCTTCCTTAATGTATAGACAGAGACAATGTATTTGCGTCTAGCAAGACTACACCATTTTATCTATCAATATAACTGTACAGGGATATTTGAATTAAGTCATGCACAACCGCGTACGCTTGTTTTCCTTGACATAGTTGGTCTACCGTATCGAAACTGTATATACTGGACATGGGTCAGTGACGTTTCAGTAGCCGGGAAAGATAATTCAACCCATGATGAATGATATTAGGACTGAACAAGTGATTGTATCCTTATACCAGAAACATCAGCAATGTGCCTATGAAATGTTGAGCCCTGTATGCAGCATGTCGATGAAGCTACAGACATATAGTCAAGATGAACACAACATATGTCGACTATGGGAACTTGTTCGCGGGACGGTTGTAGTAAACCCTTCTCTTACGCCTGCCAATAATCACACCCGGGTTCAAGAAGGGACTCTTTGTGGTGGTTAGCGGGTCGACGGCCGGGCCCTCTGTCAAAGAAAGTATACAAAACGTCAAAGCATTTAATTCAAGTCGAGGATACAACATCGTCTGACTAATTGCATTGTTAACTACTGACTTCATTTGGCGAATTTGTATTTCTATGAATAACAGTGATTTTAATTTATTAAACAAACCATTATACCTCACCATAGACATAACATGACAAACAACCTCTAAGCTAACCAGTACTGTGTGATGTAAGCAACTCACGGTCAGGGTCGCAGCCGATCATCTCAAACCGGAAGCATGGCTCCTTGGTCCACTTACTGGGGACTATCCTGATGACGTCAGTCAAAATGAAGGGGTCAAACAAGGGGGACAGACTTATACTGGAGTTGTAGATGGCGTCAATGTTCTGTGGGTTTATGAAGGGTGGTCACTCTTCCATCAAACAGTTTTACAAGTAAGATTTAATCATGTTAACGTCAACTTGATTGTATTTATTACCTTATAAACCAGCATATAATGTAAGTTGACTTTTTTGTAGGAGCACTTTCAAAGGATGAAGACGAACTAATACCTCTTGCGAGTGAAATATTGAACAAATACCATTAACGCGTGAAGTGTCTTCTTTGAATGAGAAAACAAATTCCATGATTCACTCTTAATCTGAGATTCTTCCTAACGTTGTAAGGTGAATATAGCATAAGATGATTCATTAAAGTAATTAATAATTGAAAAGTCGCAAATACACTGGACAAAAAGTGGTAATACCCAGGGTTAATTTTACGAAACACAGTACTACCGGATTAGCTTTCTTCCCATTTGGTTGCTGCAAACAATAGTGAAAAGACCGAAATCTTTAACGATGAAATTATGAACAAAGCCATGACCTAACATGGGTGTTATAATATGTGAGTTCTGTCTCTACCCATATGACCTATTAAATTCAGCTTGGAACTGAGACTTGCTACCAACTTTGGGCATGTTTGCACTAGAGGTTGGTGCACCTACCACAGCATATGTCTCCATTGCATCCTGGTAGACGTTCCTGTACTGTAGCGTGAAGGTGTTGAGGAACCTGTCTGGCACCTCCCAGTAGTTGAGGGTGTTGGGATGTTCAAACATGATCATAGCAACCAGGTAGGGTTTGTTGAGGTGGACTTCATAGTATGGTGCTCTGTCATCCTTATCTGGGCACCAGGCTCCTTTCGTCTCACCTAATATGTGTAATGAAACGTACGATGTATTTTTAGATATGTATATGAACTAACTGATGTTTGCCTGTTACCGCTTCAATAGGCAACGTCCAATAGGGGAACGTTAGGTATGCTGAGGTGGTATAATAGTTATGCTCGGTTCTGAGACGCAAAAAGGAGCATGGCAGATGAAAAAAGAATGTGTATTACCTACTTAGAATAACGATGTCTGTGTTGTTTGTTTGACGGATAACAAAGTAGACATAACTTATGGATAACAACTTCTTTAATACTGTAAAGGTAACGTTTCGGTATAGATCCTTTGTCTTGCTTGACAACGGTATCGGGATATATACCGAAACGTCGCTTTTTTCGCATTACTGATTTTCAGTTATCCATTCATGTAATTTTCACTGCTATTTTGCTTTTTACGCCCAACGGAATCGGCGAATAATCGAGAGGTTATTATCAGGCGTTAAACGTTATATTTACCAAAGCAGCAGAGATATCGAGCCTTGTTCTTGCCGTTGTTGAGGGAGGAAGAGGAGGCCACTAACTGACTGTCTTTGATGGTGCCATTCCACATACCCAGGGGCTGCAGACAGCCTGCAGCAAGCGGGACACAAACACTTTACACACACGTGCCAGTGTCATAGCAGAACTCGCTTTGTCATCGACACAATTAATATGTATTTATATATGATATCTATCACAAATATAGTGTAAAAAACTCACCACTGGCAGGAGGAAGATCTGAAACAATATGAGTGTGTGTTATCCACATAGTTATAAGCTTCAGTATATATGCAGGATGACTGGGGGAGTTTTAGGATGCATCGGTATTTACATACGTAAACCAAGGAGGATGTCCAGAAGGGCTAAATGATCGATCTGTATGTACATACGTAAACCAAGGAGGATGTCCAGAAGGGCTAAATGATCGATCTGTATGTACATACATAAACCAAGGAGGATGTCCAGAAGGGCTAAATGATCGATCTGTATGTGCATGCATAAACCAAGGAGGATGTCCAGAAGGGCTAAATGATCGATCTGTATGTACATACATAAACCAAGGAGGATGTCCAGAAGGGCTAAATGATCAATCTGTATGTACATACATAAACCAAGGAGGATGTCCAGAAGGGCTAAATGATCAATCTGTATGTACATACATAAACCAAGGAGGATGTCCAGAAGGGCTAAATGATCAATCTGTATGTACATACGTAAACCAAGGAGGATGTCCAGAAGGGCTAAATGATCAATCTGTATGTACATACATAAACCAAGGAGGATGTCTAGAAGGGCTAAATGATCGATCTGTATGTACATACATAAACCAAGGAGGATGTCTAGAACGCCTTGAGAATCTACCCATGGGTGTTTAGAGGGGTCACTTGATAGTTCAATCTCAGACAATATTACATGTTCATCAGGTTTTGCTGTTCATGAGTTCTATCACGTCACAGACACTAGCAGCACCTTATGCTGAATTATTACCGATGCGACGTCAGTTCTCACCCTACAGCCTGTAGGGAACTGCTGTTTTAGTTCATCACATGACACGCGAGTGCAACTGCAAAAACTGATACATACGTGTATATTTACAACCAGGACCATAGAAAGGCGGGGGACAGGCACAAGTGTTTTCATAGATGCATGTTCCACCATTTTCACACATAGGTTTGCACAGATCTGCAGCATAAAAAGTATTATCTCAGAAAATATTTTGATACTTTGCCACAGAAAAGATGTCACATATATTTCCTTTTCAAGATGGCGCTGCCTAAGATATTGCTCTTTTATCACTATTTGAGATGTTATCCGTGGTTGGATATAAGGGTCACTTCAAAGATGTGGCCACAACAAATTACAACCGTCTTGTATTACTCTCTTGACAATGTTTATTCTCATGGTCATGTTTACTTTCGAATGAAGACGTACTTGACATGATCTTTGAGCTGACGTTCGGTTTGTTGAGACTGGATATCATAAGGAATGAACTACAATTATACTTCGAGAAAGTTAATAGTCGATGTGTACAGTTGTCGTATTTACATATCCGACCGAAATGTAAATTTGAAATATTTCTCACATTGTGGTTCACATCCGAAGAGTTCGAACCTGAAGCAAGGCTCATTCTTGAAGTCTGCGATGGATATGCGAACCTTTTCTGTGACAAGTCCGATAATCTCTGTGATAGTGGACACAACTGTCACTGGGGTTCCGCGCACACCCAACATGTACTGTAAGAAACAAAACACACAAAGGACGATTACAATCTAATACTTTGGGATTTGTTCTCAACTATGGAGGTGTTTGTATGGCTATGACTGAATAGTTTAGGATGTTTTCAAACTCAAACTGATTTGAACCAACAAATATTTGTAACAGTTCTTGCCCCATTTTGGCCCAGTCAATAATGTTTGAGTATACATTTTTATGTGTCTCTATTATAACTGATCATATTCATAGTATTTCATATGAACCTTAGAACTAACTACATTTGTTGAGAATTGGCAGAGAAAATAGTACAAATGTGAAAGGTATTTGACTCACGATAGGCCCAGCCTGTGTACCGTACGTTGTGAGGTTGCTTCCCCCATAGGGCACATATTGAAAGGTGTAGTTAGTCATGTACTCCCTGACCGGCGAGGGAAATATGGGGTCCGTGCCCTCGGGTGGCTGGATTTCGATAGCCTTAACCCCGTAGGGCTTCTCAAACGAAACTTCTAAGTACTGTGCAGTGGGAAGCAACTTGGGGTCGGGACACCATCCTCCAACAGTCGGTCCTAAAGAAATGGCTGTCATTATTTTGCATTCTACTTGTATTGTATATGATAGAAATGAGATTTATTCACATGTGTTTGGACTAGTTAACGTAATAATTAATATCAGGTACCTGGACAACATTCGGATTTAGCCAAAATCGCGGTCTTTCCGGGAGCGTTTGATGAGGACACAACGTGAACGTCCTTAATGATGCCCGTCTGCCACAGAGGTGTTTGGCACCCTGAAACACAATTATACAAATTGGAATACAATGACCTCTGACCTCCACTACCCTGTTTACACCAACCAACAACATCACTCCATCCACTGACCACCATTACCCTACTTACACCACCAAACAACCTCTCTCCATCCACTGACATCCATTACCCTGCTTGCACCATCCAACAACCTCTCCCCATCCAGTGACCTCTGTTACCCTACTTACACCACCCAACAACATCACTCCATCCACTGACATCCATTACCCTACTTACACCACCCAACAACCTCTCTCCATCCACTGACCACCATTACCCTACTTACACCACCCAACAACATCACTCCGTCCACTGACATCCATTACCCTACTTGCACCATCCAACAACCTCACTCCATCCTTTGACCACCATTACCCTGCTTACACCACCCCACAACCTCTCCCCATCCACTGACCTCTATTACCCTGCTTGCACCATCCAACAACATCACTCCGTCCACTGACATCCATTACCCTACTTGCACCATCCAACAACCTCACTCCATCCTTTGACCACCATTACCCTGCTTACACCACCCCACAACCTCTCCCCATCCACTGACCTCTATTACCCTGCTTGCACCATCCAACAACCTCTCTCCATCCACTGACCACCATTACCCTGCTTACACCATCCATCAACCCCATTCAATCCTCTAGCACCGCACCTACACTGATCACACCATCAAAACAAACGTTTCTCTATCTTTCTCCAAAGGAACCCCCCACAATCTGTCTCCTTACATAAACTATTAGACCTTTCTTCAATTCAGCAAACAATTCAAAAGGACCGTCTTTGCCTCAACATGCGCCCTACAGGTGTCAATACTGGCTTACTTATTTCGGTCGTGGGCAAGGTGGTTGTAGTAGTAGTTGTAGTTTCAGTAGTTGTCCAAGTTTCTGTCGAGAGCTCTTCAGTGGTCAGCTCCGCGGTTGTCCTGATCTCTTCCATAGGTGTTGTCGGTTCTTCAGTGGTCAACTCTTCCGGGATCGTGGTAGCCTCTGTAACAATGTTTCAGACTTAAGTAACGCTTCCCTTTGCTTGGTATATGACCGTGTGTAGTTGCACAAATAAAATGTTTGCTTAATTTATAATAGTAACAACAAAATCCGAAATATTTATCTTAAAAGTAGAACTATACCTGTGAGTTGGTATGTCACTACATTTGTCGAGGTTTCTGTTGTGTCAGGTTGGGTAGGCTCAACCTCTGTTGTTATCTGTATTTCTTCCGTTGTTGTTTCAGCTTCTTGTGTGGTAGTGTCAGCTTCTTGTGTGGTAGTGTCAGCTTCTTGTGTGGTTGTTTCAGCTTCTTGTGTGGTTGCGTCAGCTTCTTGTGTGGTCGTTTCAGCTTCTTGTGTGGTCGTGTCAGCTTCTTGAATGGTTGTGTCAGCTTCTTGTGTGGTTGTGTCAGCTTCTTGTGTGGTCGTTTCAGCTTCTTGAATGGTTGTGTCAGCTTCTTGTGTGGTTGTGTCAGCTTCTTGAATGGTTGTGTCAGCTTCTTGTGTGGTCGTGTCAGCTTCTTGTGTGGTCGTGTCAGCTTCTGCTATGGTTGTGTCAACCTCAATAGTAGTTTTTATTTCTGTAGTTGTAATCTGCTTGGTTGTGGTTGGAGGGTCCATGCACTCCATCACTGCTCAGGAACGATACAAAACAAAAGTCTTATAAGCCTCAAACGTGAAAATTTGGAATAAGGTCTCAATACAGCATGTAAATGTTGGAGTTTCTCACCTGTAGGTGGGGGAATACACGGTGTAGCGTTGGTCAGACCTCCAGCATCTGAAACACAATTACTCATGTAGGTAATATGAGGTTGGGGAATTTGATGATAATTAGATTTAACAGACTTAACGCGACTTGTTCCCAAACTAATTCTCTCAGAATACAAATTGACACATTGCTTTCGATAACCGTTAACTGATACGTTGACGCTCAGCCTATCAGTCTATGCATGCTCAGTGTTTGCATTGTGAAGATATTTTAAACATCTGGACGAGATGAATTCTTTTAGACCTCTAATGTCATAGCTGCCCTTCGAGCTGGTTTGTGAATGGTCATATTTAACTTCATTTTAATCATCAATCATACGTTAATCGAGAATTTGTATCGAAACTAGGTATTTATTTCAGCTACAGATAAAAAAACGTTTCGTTTTTTAAACTGTGAGCCTGATTCTTTTTAACACAAACATCTTGCAACATTGTAATTTTTGTGTCAGATAATTCCTTTTTTTTTCAACATACTAAGCATGGTTATTTTTCTCAAGAATGTACGGGGACAATGTATTTTTTCGAATTATAACTTATGTTATAGAGACGGTAATGCATGAATTCTTACACGAGTTTCAGAAAATCAGTATGACACACATGTGAACATTATCTCTTTATAACCCATTATTTCTTAATCCTTTTGAGCCCCCCTTGAGAAAATTGCACTGATCACGACCGCAGTCTTGGAAAACAACAATTGTCGAATTGTACATTGGGCCTGGGTTCCATACAACTACTTACAGTTGTAATATAGAGTTCCGTTCAAGTCCTCGTGCCTTAGTGGCGCAAACACAAGGTTCTTCACCCAGAGTGTGTTGGGGGCAGTAGTCACTTGTGTCGAACATCCCACTACCAGCGTCTCAGATTTATTTCCTGAGGAGGAAGAAATGGACAATAAGAGGACATGTTTCTAAAACATGCATCTTCGTGGACTACGTTCAGTTCGACAATGGTTGTAAGAAACTTGTAAACAACAAAAACTCAGTGCACTATTGCTGATCTTTATACTCCGATTTCTTCTGTTACACGACTCTAACAAGATCATTTATTTTCAGGCCACGCAAAAGATTATGTATTGGGGAGAAAAGAGTATAAATATACGCTTCCAAAACATATAACATAATTTGATCATGAAGCAAGATATTTCGCACGTGATATCATGCTGGAGATGTCCTTTACGCTTTTATTCAGATTTGAGGGAGTTCTTAAGCATTTGATGACCTGATACTTCAGTTTGAAGTGACGGTGTCAGCCGAAGGTTTTAAATTTTTGTGCATCAAATACCCAGTAACACCTGTCATTGTGAATACACAGAATGTATATTTACATTGTAAAATACCATTGTTGTAGCAGTAATCTGTAGCACTCTTCTGTCCGTGATCTATCATATTTGTGAGACTGATATGACAAAAAGCATCAAAATCATCCATTGTATCATGAAGTCATCTGCTTCCGCGTCGAGGATAAATAATGATCAAACGTTATGTATGATTACTGTGATATTCATTCATAAATGCAAATGCCACATTTTTAAAATTTGGGATTACAAGGTGAGGTGAAATACGTGCATGCACGTGTGTATGGCTGCTTGTACTGGTCCGGTCCATGCCGGTTTCATTGTACCATTTCGAAGCTCTATCGACTACACCATGGATGCGGTTTGGAAAAAATACTTATCAAGTTAAAGTACTCATACGCAGTGTAATGTCCTGAAGATTTCCAGTAAAATTTAACAAATCAACCAGACTAATATTGCGCCACAAACTACTATTCACTTTACGATTCGGTACAACCAATATTGGATTCTTCTGCTATGTGGAGCATCCGTTCATTGAAGTTTCGCCAAACTGTTTAGCTTGAACAATATAAATAGGAACACCATCATATAAGTAAAACAATGGCTAATGGTACAGTAAAGATATTCTTATCATCATGACATTTGTTTCCGTGAGGAACTATATCATCTCCAGCAGTGTCTGCCCACCTGTTGGGTCTGCCGTTGAGTACTGAAACACGTAGCCTGCTGGGAGACCGTTTACATTGAGAGACAATCCAAAGTTGGGCGTCCACGAAATTTCAAACCAGTACCATGTGTTTGGTTGTGGAGTGAACTGTTTCACCAAACGCCACGACCTCTTGGACATGATGACTGAAACAATGAGCTTCTGGTTCTGGTAGTAGAACGCTATACCACTATGTGAGCCCAGCTCACCTCCAGTCGTCAAGAAATACCTGGAAATACAAAACAATACAACAGAAGAAACTCCACGGAGAAAAGCCGAGATATCTTATATAGAGAAGCCTCACGTAACACTAGCCTTGATCATATAAAGATATGTGCTTACTTCGGATCCACAATCGTGTTTTGTTTGACAGATAGGCTGATGGTGAAGCCCGAGTAACAGTTGTCCAGATCCTTGAAACACAGCGCATCAAGGGGCATCTGTACACAACCGCCTTTGTGTAGATGTAGAAGTGGGCTACATCCCCCTTCCACCATCGCTTCCCCCTTGATAACCTTAAAGTCAGCAGGTACCCCTGTCACCGTCCCGTTGACCACTTCGGTAAAGTTGTACATCGTCACCGGCACGCACGGCTCTGAAAGGAGTGACATACCGTGCTGCATGTATGTAACTTATGTAGTACACACTATTAAAAAAAGCAAGCCCCCCTTGTACATCTTTATAGGTATACATATTAGCCGCCACATGGTAGGTTTATAGTACATTTATATACATTTACGTATATATTTATACACATACGTCTCATCGCCGGTACATGTATATGGTAGATAATATACGTATAACATGTTTATCTCATCAATTGACCTAACAAAGGTGATCATTTTCTTTTCGAATAAATGTTGTCGCCGCTGTAAAATATGTATATAAGTGTAGACAGAATTCTGATGCGAGGGTTGATTGTGTTACAATATAGTTAAATTGTGCAATAAAAAAGAGGAGCATTACTGGTATATTGGCACTTCTCTCCAACTAAGGTTGACTGTGGACAATAGCAGAGGTTTGATCCAGCACAGACGCCATCGTTCAAACAGTATGGATCGGGGCACAAATCTGTAAAACAATTAAAGTAAAAGCCGAATATTTCAGAGCAAACCATATTACGTGATATGTATATTATAATCAGTATGAATACATAATTAACTTCAAATAATTCGAACTAAACGTTGCGACGTTTTCTACCGAAACCTGACGACACAAAATATACCACAGCTGACTGTTAGCTGTCCTATACAAGCAATTGTGTATACATGCATGTAGCAGCTAGCTAGCTACCTGTGATGTCACAACCGATGATCTCCATTCTGAAGCAGGCTGCGTTCGTCCATTCAGTTGGCGTCAACTTGATAGTGTTGGTGACAATAGCGGGGTCGAAGATGATGGCGTACGACAGGGTCGCATTAAAGACTGACTTGATATTCTGACACAAACAACAACATAACAACACAATTAGTGTAGGATTGCATGAGCCGAGTACAGTATACTGACTCCTAGCCCACCAGTCCTTGTTTTAGTCCCTTAATGCCGAGCGCCAGACAGGGTAACAACAAGTACTATTTTTTAACGTCTTTTGGAATGACGCGGGTGGGGATCGACCGCGGACGCTCTAACACTAGACCACGGTAGCGGTCTTCAACTTTAGGGGTATCAGTGGCTTATTATTAAAAGCTTCATATTATACATTTAAGAAACCCACACCAACCTCTTTGAACAGTATATACTTCTCGTCTCCAAAGTAGGGAAGAAACTCCATGTTAAACTTGGTCATGAAGGCAGCCGGTGTCGTGGGTGGGTTGCCCAGGGCAGGTAGCTGGAATTTTATCTGTGACACAGACTTCACCTTTGGAAGATGGATCTCTACCCAAGGATCTCCATCATCAAAGTTTGGGCACCATGCAGAGCCGCTTACGTCTGTTGGTAATAGGGAGGCAATCCGTTATCATGCAGGGTATATCAGTCCCGATTATGAAGCATTATTGTTTCGGATATAATAATCTTACAATAATATTCATATAATACTTACTCTCAAACGACCCAAATCGCATCTTTTCCTTTTCATGGTTTACTAATTCTGAGGAAACAAGGATCCCAGAGTCTGGAATCTCACCAGATGCCATTCCAAGATCTTTGTTGCATATTTCTGAAACAGACATACATGCCGTTTTTTGTTTGAAGCACCTGTATTGTGCATCGGGGAAAAGACATACACAGTTTAAAAAACGCATATCTAATATTGTTGTTTCCGATCTCGTTGATATACAATAAAAAAACTTGTCCTAAAGACATTAAAAACATTTATTTTTAACATTATCCCCTTACATATTGGTACACTTGGGCTATCGATGTTGGAGGAGTTATCTGTCAGTTCTCTATAACTGCTATGACGTCATCGTGCATGTCGAAATGGGTTCCGGAAAGAGATTTCTTCATGTTTGGGAACAGATGTAAGTCAAACTGCTTCAAAAGTGGAGCATAATATGCTCCGAATATTGTCTGTCCTTTTTGTTAGAAAGTCCACCATGAGGACTTATTCGGCATCCCAGAACACTGTCGGATAAATGTTTCTTAAGTGCAAGTGGGACATAACCGAAACCAAGTTTATACCGATACGTTCTGCGACTGACACAGAAGGAATTGCGTACAGTAAAATCATGATGTCAAAGAGGTTTTATCCACAAAAGTTGAGCAAGTTCGTACAGTGATCACGTTTTTGCAGACAAAGGGCTTAACTAGCCACCCATGAATACATGGAACAGTTCCCATGCAACCGTAAAGAGATGGGAAGAAGAGTTTACGCGTGGTAGTGAGAGCCTTGAAGACGACCCCAGGCCTGGAAGACCTGAGTAGAGTACATTCCATCAGCACAGAAACTTTGACAGTGAAGAAAGTATCAGCTTGTTGGATTCAAAAGCTTCTGACAACTGATCAAAAACCAGCCAGGCACACCATGTCTCGTGCAGTGAGTTTCGTGCAACGATGTGAGACTGGGTGAAATCTGGGTTAACCACTTCCAGCCCAAACAACAATTAAAACAGTGTCAGTATTGCTTTTGACATCATCACCACCAAAGGGACCACAAGAGCCATTTTGTCAGTCAAACGATTTGTTTTGCATTGTGACACAGATGATTGAATAATCACAAGTATACTTTTTATGAAAGAAAACAGGGTCAGGATATGACAAGTGTTACTTCAGGTACTGAGTGAAGGATACATGTTTGCGCAAATCAAATGTCAGTTAATACAATGTTGCCCCTTGTAGATCAAGTGGGCGTGTAGTAGAATGTCGGGTTTGAACGCACTAGGTTAATACTCAACCATCGACTACATATAAATCAGATTCTGTATACTGATAACACACTCATGCCCATGTATCAAATCTGATAGAGAGATTTAAGAGATCGATGAACGTATTGTAAAGATAAAGGTTGTCTGTCTTATGTACCCCGCTAGCTAACCATTGTTTATTGCAGCAACATGTCTCCCTTGTCGGTAATTCTCGGGCAGAGTCGGGAAATGGATTACAACCACAAACAAGAAGATGAAATGAGTAAATGTTTTAAAAAACTAAATCTTAGGTATATTTGAAAATAAATTATATACTTAATCATTATATTTGCTTTTCGGGTTCATATCGCAAATTCCTTTAATGCCCAACACTATTCTAGCAGTTCCAGCCTTTGGTGTCATTCACAACTTTTGAGATACAATCGAGCGTGCTCTTTCTACGACAATTTTAAAAGGTATATGACTATTGCTAAAAAAATGTTTAATCAGGGTTACAGAATTCATTGAAGAAGTAAGGTGTTTAAAAAGTTTGATAGACATGTGGACAATATTTCCAAATTTGACGCATCAGTGATCAAAATTATGTCCGATGCAATTCGCTATTTTGACCTTTACGGTATTTTTTTCCGTTTTTGTTCAGGTGAACACTTGTCTTGTGTTTGCATGTGTTTGTGACGGATGATACCAGCAAGGCAGGATTCACTCGCCTATTCGTGAACACATGGTATTATCACTGACTGATAGTGATTCATTAGCCTTATCACAGCCTTATGATAGAGTCGGAATCATAATAATATCTTATCGGATTATGGAAATGGTTTTGTCGCTATATTTTTTATAGAGAAACCCTATAAATACTTGCAAATTATTATGTGAAGCAAGATGAATAATTAATAACGACCAAGTATAAATTTCCTATTCATCATTGTCCTATGGTCATCTGAAGATTGCTGCCAGTGACAGCAAGGTAATGCTTCTCAACAACTGAATGAGTTGGTTTTATTCGAATGAATCGCTATAAATAATTATCAGAGAAAGTAGGTTTGGACACTTACTGGGGCATGGATAAGATTACGACCATATGTCTATACGAGTTTCAGCAAGGATACGAATCTGGAGGAAAGTACGCCACGCCTCAACAACTACAACAAGGAGTCGTGATCAGTATTTTAAGATGACGTACTCTAATTGCTTTAATTTGCAGTAGGTGCATAATCATTTCTCAGAGCCGCGATTACCATATTTTAGCATGCTAAAAACGTTCTAAACCTGGGCTCATGGAATCCCTACATGGCTGAATTATAACATGACTGTGCTTCTCGTACGGCTCAACGTAAACCTCTCCATGGGTTTAATACTTGTTTTGTTTTTTAAAGGACAGGATGACCTGCACATCATGTGTATATTCACTCCGCTACTAACATCTGGAATAACCTAAACTGTCAGAAAAACAAACCGTAATTCACTGTCAAAATGAATAGAAGAACTGTTCCTGTGCTTTACTAACGTGGGAAAAGAAAATATAACAGTATTCACTTCATATTAAAATAGTCGCAAGTGGTTTCCTTCCCTTCCTCAGTATGTTTATTTGAACTTCTATGTTTCTTAATCTGTTGTGGAAAATACCAAACATTGAAACTACGACTCACTCTGCTGGCAGGAGACGAGGGCGAGCAGCACCAGCATTAGCAACAGCACAGGGCATAGCGACGTCATTCCGGTCGGCTTCAAAATGAAATATCAGAAATTATTCAACGTACAAGACAGTAGTATTAATAATATGCTTATTCAGATATAGTGCACATACCTGTGTAATCTGGATGTGGGGTTGTCAGGGGCAGCTGCAAAATTTACAAGTGTCCCCAAGTAATATCGACAGGCATCTGCAGCCAGATCAAGACTGCTCGGTGTTATATACAAACACTTGACATGGCGGACAATACATCACACGTCGACAGTACCTAATGGGCTTTCCCGAACAGTGTGGGTCTAGTTTACGTCGCAGATCTTGTCACATCAGGTTAAAGTATATTAACATGTATCAATACTGTCTGGCATATCTGTACAATATGTGAACTTGTTGCCAGGGAGGGTACCCAAGCTATTTGTATATACGAACATTTGATTGATCGATGGTTTAATCTCGCGGGAAGGCGTGGTGCGACTGGCAAGAGAAGAAGAGAAGGTGATTAAAACGAATGAACGAGGGGTCAACCGCCACCCCGCCATGCCTCTGTCTCGTGTCTGGCCAGGGAAATTGGACGAAGTGGTTTTAGTACACGCAGACTGCATGTCTGTGCTGGCGCCATGCACATTATTACCGAGTGCTGGGAACTGCACTTCTGCAGCGTCGACACTCACAGGGCGTGGGGTATATTAATCATGCGCACAATCTCTCACTGTTATAATGCAATGTTGTGTCAGGATGCCATTTACTTCAACTACACTGAATGGAAAACTGAACGACCAAATGGACAACAAAATATATATCCCAGTACCAATATTAATTTTCCATATGTTCATAAAAAATAAGACGCAAATACTTGACAATGATTTACCTTTGTATTTCCACATGCAGTTACATTTTGTACATAAAATTACACAACAATGAGTTCTCATTAGCACGTATTTAATGGCACATCCCTCCTTCGACCTTGTCCATGGTACTTCAGTACAAATAAGTATCAGAAGCCTCCGTGGGCCGCGATATGGCATATAGAAGATAGACGTTTGTGTTTGTATCTTCTTGAAAGCCTATTGTGATATTCTTTGGATGTCATTCATCACAAATAATGAGTACGCATTATACAATATCAGGCAAAGAAGGTTGGGTTTGCATCAGGTACAGCCGGGTAGGCCAAGGCTCTACTCTTGGAGTTCACACGTGAACTGTTAATGGTCGAGTGAGGAGTTTTTACATGTATTATAGAAAAAAACACATTCGACGACAGTTGTGATATTTTAACGTTGACGTTATACTGCTCAACATGTAAAGGATGAACACTTACCTCACGGACTTCAATTTTATGAATTGGGCTAATGAAGTTATTTACTAACTTTCATCTTTGGTAATGCAGACGACTTACTCGACGGTCAGAATTATGGATACTTTATCGTTGATTAATGTGGTATGACCCTCACTTTGAAACTAGCACATATACCATGAAACAAATGATTGTTTATGAAGAGATTTACATACCTTGTTATGTAATTACATGTAAATACTTCAGGTATATGTTTTATGGTATATTTAACCTTGTCGCGGAGGGCCATACCACATTAATTAACGATGAATTGTCCATAACTATGACTGGAGAGTGGATTGGGGGAGTGGGAATGGTTGTACGCCGTGTTTAGCAAAAGTATAGCAATATTACATGTGTGTAACTTGGTTTTCGGCGTGACGAGCGAACGGTTTAACCAAGAGGCTACCCCGCCGCCCCGGGTTGTTAAGGGAGGATGCAGAGTTGAGGGGGGTGGAGGAAGAATGGTGGGGAGGAGAGAGGAGGTTGAAGTGGTGGTGGTAGACTCCACCTCCACTAACCCTGCTCCTCTCCACATAGCATTCTTTACCAAATCTTCCTCCTCTCGCCGTCACCTCCTCCACTAACTCTGCCTCCTCTCGCCGTCACCTCCCCTACGCCACTTCTACCAACTCTGCCTCCTCTCGCCGTCACCTTCCCCACCAACTCCACCTCAACAAACTCTGTCACCTCATGCCATCACCTCCTCCGCAAACTCTGCCTCCTCTCGCCATCACCTCCTCCACGCAACCTCCACCAACTCTGCCTCCTCTCGCCGTCACCTACCCCACCAACTCTGTCTCCTCTCGCCATCACCTCCTCCACGCAACCTCCACCAACTCTGCCTCCTCTCGCCGTCACCTACCCCACCAACTCTGTCTCCTCTCGCCATCGCCTCCCCCACGCCACCTCCACGAACTCTTCCTCCTCTCGCCGTCACCTACCCCACCAACTCTGTCTCCATTCGCCATCACCTCCTCAACGCAACCTCCACCAACTCTTCCTCCTCTCGCCGTCACCTCCTCCACTAACTCTGCCTCCTCTCGCCGTCATCTCCTCCACCAACTCTGACTCCTCTCGCCGTCACCTCCTCCATACCACCTCCACCAACTCTGACTCCTCTCGCCATCACCTCCTCCATACCACTCCACCAACTTAGCCTCCTCTCGCCATCACCTCCTCCACCAACTCTGTCTCCTCTCGCCATCACCTCCTCCACACCTCCTCCATCTGCCTCCTCTAGCCGTCATCCCCTCCGCACCTCCTCCACCACTCTGTCTCCTCTCGCCGTCACCTCCTCCACATCTCCTCCACCAACCCTGCCTCCTCTACAATGTGTGAAGCCTCATGTCTAAACTCAATACCTTTTGAAAGCTTTATTAAGGCCTTCAATTTCAAACATATTTTGAGCAAGGGTCGTATAACGCTCTTTAAAATCTTTGTAGAAAGAACATGCTCGACTGTACCTCAAGAGTTGTAAAATGCAGACACTAATGGCCGAGGCTCGACGTACAGAAAAGTTCACTATTGGAAAGTTGAAGTCATCCCTCTGTCACACAGTCTTGTAGGGGCTAGGTTTTTGTCACTCTGAAACTTCATGCACATATCTAAATTTGAAACAGATGAAACGGTTTCACCGGTCTGTTATTTCTAGTTTATGTCGGATAATTATTGATTTCATCTTCTCCATACAAAAAAAACATGTCCTCGGAGATGTCCGTGGCAGATCTTCTGACCACATAGAAACGAGCACTCCCGGGACTAACTGAGATTTTGAATCGTTATTACTTCTTGTCAAGTTTTTTTTAATCCGTCAAATTTTATTATTTTATGAATATAATCATTATTTGCAACGTCTATGAAACAACTTATCTGAATCCTTAGCCCAAGACATTACTAATAAAGATCTATGGACCCAGAAATCGCAGGCTTTGCTTTCTTGCTGTCTCTGATGATAATCATTGTCTGTCAGCACTAAACCCATTTAAAAAACATTGTAGCCCGGCTATGATATTACTGTAGTCAACATCTTAAAATATCAACACAGAATGCTTACTGTCAGCATTGACATATGTTAATTTCAAAAGACGTTATATTCTAGTCTTCAGAGATAATTTTATATTATCATGTTTTTTAATCACCTTTCAACTGACCATTGACTGATCTCAACTAAGACATTTTCAAACTATATATACTGAACCAAATTAAAAACTTCATAATCCTAAAATTTTAACATTTTGACCATTTATCATTGTGGGCCCTTATTGTGTATTTAAACAGTAATGGCCACGTATTGACTTCAGATAACACCCGTTTTTTGCAGGTAAATCGCTCAAAATCATGTGCACAGCACTATAGTGGCAAAAGTGGTTTTTCACGTGCAACTGGTCACGAGGCCATAATACCGCAAGTGTTTTCAGCCATACAAAAAAAGAAAAACACAAGAAAATAAAAGTCTTTACGGCCATTTGTCATGCCACGCCTTTCAAATGTGCAACGTGAACGTGCCATCGGCATGTTGTAGACGGGAACGTCCGTAGCTGAAGTCGCAAGGACGACGGGTTGTAGTCGACGGACTGTTTATGATTTACAGACGCGTCTACTGCAAACGGGTACCACCGCTGATCGCCCTCGGCCAGGCCGACCACGTGTGACGTCACATGCAGAGGCTCGTCAGATTGTCTTACGTCACCTCCGTAACCGATTTTTGACGGCTACATCAACCAGAAATGAACTGTTCAATTACAAAGACGTCAACGTCAATTGTGGGCACAGCGACACTTACGATGGACTCAGAGGAATTGGAATCAAGTCGTCTTCAGTGATGAATCCCGATTAAATCTTCGATTTGCTGATGGTAAGGCGTGGGTGTGGAGGTGCCGTCATGAACGTTACGCCCAGTGTTGTGTACAGGAAGTTGACAGATTTCGAGGCGGAAGTGTCATGGTGTGGGGTGCTTTCTGTGGCACGTTCCAGGCTTCTTGTCATCCGTGGCAACCTCAATGCTGCTATACCGCGACCAGGTACTGGCACCAGAACTTCAGCCTTTTATGGCAGCACATCGACCCGGTTTGATCTTCCAACACGACAATGCCAGACCCCACACAGCAATTTTGACAAGGAATTTCCTTCAGAATGCGGGAGTCAACGTCATGGACTGGCCATCAAGGTCTCCCGACCTCAATCCCATCGAACACGCCTGGGATGCTCTTGGCAGAAGTCTCTCAAGAACCAACCACAGAATTTGCAAGATCTTGTCACCATTTTGCAGCAACAATGGCGTCGTCTTCCCAATCATATGTTCACAAGCATCACAAGGTCCATGCGGAGGCGTTGTGTGGCAGTTGTCAACGCACATGGTGGCCATACACGCTAGTGAACTTGTGTGCCTTCAGATTCTCGTGCTTGGGACTTATGATTTAAACTGTTGATGTTATTATCGAATACCGTAGGTGCTTGGAACAAATTATGGTTACCACCGCTAATTAAAATCCTTCTTTGGAAATTAATGATTAAAAATTACCTTCTCTGATATATTTGTCCGTTGTATATCATATATGGGATTACTTTTAAAAATGTGAAGTTTTTAATTTGACTCAGTATATATATTTCCTATATAATCCAAATATTGGCAAATATTTTCTACAATGGACACTATTGTGTAAACTTAGACTACTTACTGTCCTTAGGATTCTGTGCATCGTTTCTGATTGAACTTAAGGGATTGGATTTCCAAAGTGATCAAATCGCCCCACTAAGCCAACACTGTTTATGTTTATGCAATTTTACCTAGTTTCCAGAATTTATGAATACATTCCAATACTGTACAACCCGGTATGTCATGACGTCATTACCGTTCTGTTGTGACGTCAAACCCATACTTTATAGACTATTCAATTTCCACTGAGTGGCAAACAATAATATCTAAAGGGCAAAGTTGCCTTGAAACCAGCGAGAGGGTCCATCTATCAGGGGGTAACTCCCGACCCGACCCCAACCCCAACCCCTAATTCTCTAGCCTGGAGAAGAAAATGCCAATGGCTTGTGATTGAAACGGGTGCCATGACTGGTCTCTTCCATAGGTGACTAAACGTCCTTTAGGTAGAATCTTTAGAAGGTCGAACTGTCATTCCACTGACAAAACGCAAAAACGTGTTCCAAAGACACAGTTGTCCAGAGGCCAGTGACCTCGCTAAAGCTCTGATTTCATGAGGATTAGATTTGACAGATGCTATACCATATGCATTAACAATTGTCTTCCTAAGCCAAACATCAATTGCAGGTTTAGTCATCTGTGAATTTAGATCCTTCGGACGAGCTATAAACAAACATCAGTGATTGAAGCATGATCCAAGGCATTCACTTCGTGGATGCTGTAGCTATGATGTAGCCATGATGTAACCATGTGCGCCCCAAACGTAATGTTAGTATTCTACATTAGCTCATAACGTAGTTTTGAGAGAGCTAGCAAGACCACAGATAGATCACACTTTGGAAAAAAACGAACTAAAGAGAAAAATCCTCGATAATAAATAAGTTTAGTTTGCCAGATCCAATTTTCAAATATTGAAGGTTACAAACTGAGGCTATGGCTGATACGTGTCTTCCAGAAGTGTCGTGTTCTTTACGTGCATAAAGGCGAAAACTGGCGACAAATACTTAGAGGTTGAGACGGTGTTCCAAGCTTGGATCTCCATGTTCTATTAAGAGAGAGGTGCAGAAGTTGATGGCATGCTGGATTTAGAAATGGATGATGAGACTTCCTCCGAAAAAGCATTCTGCGACAAAGATCGTTTGATTACGTCCAGACGAAACGATAGAGACTTTAGGCGTTGCCGAATCAGTCTGGTTTTGGCTAACGAGGGAGATGTTTAAAAGCCGGAAGTTGTAGAGGTTAATCTAACTGTAAATCCAAGAGGGTTGGGAACCAAGATCTGGCTGGCCATGGCGTAGCTACATGGAACATTACGCAGAGATGCGTTTAAATCTTCCTCAGAACTTCTGGGATCAGATTGGTTGGCGGGTCAGCAATATCCCAGGATCCCATCCCATGACACTGACATGGGGATACGAGAGCTGGTCACAAAGTTCTAAACCTGATTAACTTTCAATTATGGCCCATAACAAAGTTAACTAGTCAACGTAGTACATTGTTTGAGTGGTTCATTGCATGTATATTTGGTCTGTTGAGGCTGTTTGTATATTAGTGACAGCCAGTTTAACGTGATATGGGTCCAAAAGGACACAGAAATGAAAAAGAACGAGTTTTCTTCTTTAGAGAATGGGACTCCAAAAGAAATTACTGACCGCATGTCACAAGTGTACGGGGATAATTGCCCTAGCTAGTCCACTGTTAAACGGCGGGCTGGAATGTTTAAGGCTGGAAGAACAAGCCTTGATGGTGACCCTAGTTCTGGACGCCCCTCAACTTCCATTAATGAAGATTCAATCAATGAGATAGAAAAACGTATACTGTCAGATAAACTTATTACCATTGCTGAACTTGAGGAAGACACAGCTCTAAGCCATGGATCCATGAACAATTGCAGATGAATAAGATATCTGCTCCGTTGGGTACCAAAGTTTCTCAATTATTATCTTAATTCTGACAATGCCTCTTCTCACACCTCTCGACTTGCAAAGGCTGCTGTGGGTTCAAGAGCTTCCTCATCCTCTATTCCTGCCAGACCTGGCACCAAGTGATTTCCACCTGTTTCCTAAACTGAAAGAACAATTTCGTTGAAAGTGATATGACGACAAGGATGACCTCACATCTGCCGTGAATGGGTTTTTTAGAGTGGCTTCGGAAAACCTCTTCCTGACAGGAATTGAAAAAAATCGATAGGAGAAGTTTATTGAAAGGGCTTAGAACGTTTTGACCAGTCCTCGTACAATGCACGGGATAAAGTTGAACATTGCTTCGATGTATTTGACAATTGAGAAAGGATTGTCTCCGACTTGTCTGGATGAACTATAAACCCGAGATGAGAGAAAACATGTAGCAGAGCCTCTGTATTTCTTTCCAGCATTCTGGTATGGCAATCTGCTTCGAGAAAATTGTCGATATACCCACGAAGCCTTATGTTGATGGCATTAAGCTAGAATTGGCGAATAACCCTGAAGCAATGGATATCCCGAATGGTATAACCAGAAACAGGAACCGTCGCCCGTTGATGGCAAATTGCAGACACTTCTGCGACTTGAGATATATGGGTACAAAGGAGCGCATCTCTGAGATCTATACTGATATACAAATCTCAGTTGTAGGTCTATTATCATTCTCATTTCGGCCGAATTGTTCTTGGGGACCATGGTTGGCCCATTTATCTGAGCCGCCAGAATTCACTGTGCATTGTTGTGTCCATTGGGCTCGCCAGAAAACTGATTGTGGGTTCAAATCCCGGTTCACGGCCCCATGGCCTCTGGGGGCATGATCCCTGTAAGATCATCGTGATTCCAAACTCAGCTGAAACGCAGGCTTGCCTTGAAATTTTAGCAGTAGCTGGTTGCTGTTGAGATATATGATTCGAGATCTAAGCACAGTGAGTGAGTGAGTTAAAATCTAACGTCACATCGGCATTATTCCAGCCATATAGCGACGAGACCAAGTTAATAGAAAGCATCCCTCTGTATGAATATATATGTCCCTTCACGTATGTCAAAGTTCACGATTGGTAAAGCAAAAAACATTGTAATCTGCTTCTAACAAATTCGCTTACAACGGAGAGTAGGGATGTCAAACATGTTCTGAACTGAAATCTGTACTTAAGATTGGCCCCTAGAAATCTAGACATCCAAGACATGCTAGATATTTGAACTACATCCGTGGATTGACATGAATCGAATTAAATCGTGCTTTTGAGACGGCCCGTTGATCCAACGGATCTGCCAACCCGTGTTCCCGTAACAGGTTTTACAAGCTACTCAACATCAGTCAATTTAGCCTGTGACGATGGCTTGCTCTACACTAGCATCCACCTAGGCAATATCCTCCGACATTTCAGATATAAAAGAAGGAGATAACAAAGTTCTTAAATCTTCCATAGACGACTGCTTTGGGGATTTGAAGACAATAGATGAAATAGACGAATAAGACGAATTTGCACTATCCGGTGGTTTGTCAGCTTTAGGCTTAATCCAATAAAGATCTACCTCTATAAATTCTGCCTCTGTGGAATCTACACAAAGATTACAGTGATCTGAAAAAGAAAACTTCTTGGTGGCACAATGTCTAGACAACATTGGAGTCTTGCACTTGGTTCACATGGGTTGACCCTGGGATGGCCGTGCTTGCCGATTAACACACATCACGTAAAATAAAGTTATTGGTCTTTGATTCTATTAATAACATTGAGTCTTCAGCAACCCATGCTTATTGTAAGAGGCGACTAACGGGATCGGGTGGTCAGGCTCGCTGACTTGGTTAAAGCATGTCATCGTGGAACGATGCTCCTGATGTCAATCACAGGATTGTCTGGTCCAGACTCGCTTATTTACAGACTGCTGTTGTATAGCTGGAATATTGCAGAGGGCGGCTTTAAACAACAAACAAACAAATAATAACATTGAAAAAGAACAAACCGATATAATAGAAGGTAATACAGAAGTAAACTGCACTAAAAATATCACCAAAGTCGTAGGATATTGTACAAATTTCCAATCTTCAAGAGTAGAAACATTCACAACTTGCTTTTAGCTCACAATGAGAAATAATGAAAAACATGTTTTGCTCATGCTTCCGTCTACTTTCCCACGCTAGAGGAGATGCTCTATTAAGGAACACGTACCACTCAAGAAAATGTTATTTTTTAACCTTGTGATCACCTGCAATAGGGCAATCCTTTAGTAGAGGGAATGTCTACGAAATAATTATATGCCATTTTCAATAATTTTACCCATGTTTTTTTATTTGACCATGTCAGGAGTCCAACATGTCATTTGAACATGTCTGATTTTTTTCATACGGATATTTCAAAGTTTTCTATAACTTTAAATTTGTCAGTATTGGCCCCTACTTACTCTTTTCATTATATTATCAAAAATGATGACAGTGCAATCGCCATAAGTGTTAGGTTCTATACAAAATAAGAAACCCGTGAAGATTTGAGGTAGAATAGGTCTTCATCAACACATGCTTGCCGTACAAGGCAACTATGCTTGTGGTAAGAGGCGAGTAATGGGTGGTCAGGTTTGCTGACTTGGTTGATGCATGTCATCATATCCCAATTGCATGAATCGATGTTCCTGATGTCAATCACTGGACTGTCTGGTCCAGACTCAATTATTTACAGACCACCGTCATATAGCTTGTATATTGAATAGTGCAGCGTTAAATGACAAATAAACAAAATAAGGTGTTATCATTGTTGGAATCATGTAGGAACGTATCTGGTGGTTTCAGAAGCAGATGTTTACGATTTATGCCTTCAGAAAGCAGACAAAGTTGTCATGACAAGGTCGCACATGCTGTAATGCTCAAGCAGGACAGTATGTAACAATCTGCATTCTGTTATAGAATATAACACATCTTTGTATGAAAATAGATTTTATTACTAAAAATAGAAAAAAATGATGAAAATCATTAAAAATAATTTGTTATAAAAAATATTCTCTTGGTTGCTTTTCACAATGGATAAAACAGACATCAATAAGAATAAGACAATACATGAACATTTAAATATTATGCATAGTGTAGACATTTTTCACAAACTGTTACATGTAGAAAATCCTGTAACTACTTCATTTTTTAACTGCTGACAATTTTGCATACATCATAAATTCTAAATTGATAACATGGAAGGATAGCACAACATCCAAAAATAATAACAATTTACTTCAACAAATTCAATAGTTAACAACATCTTACCACAAAACAGTATAATTTATGATTTTTGAAAGCAGATGGATGCTCACTTAAACTCTAATACTTCTATACTGGATGAGTTAATGTTTTGCGTAATCAGTTCTCATAAGAGATGTTTCAAACAATATAAATTTTTCTCTTACAATTTCTTCTACTTTTCAATATTGGTAATATGTATTAAGCCTAATCTGTGTATGTCTAATGGAACCTAGAGTATTGTCAGATTAGTGACTATGATTACACATGGACTACAGAAGTTGGAGTGGAGGACTTCAGAGGGTGGGCTCATAGATGTCTCTGGCTGTGGTATTGTAGAAGGAGAGTTGTTTCTCTGTCCGCATACCATAGTTGCCATCATAGGTTCTGTGGTAGTGACCACTTTCATTGTCGGAGCCATTCAAAAGATCTGGGTCATTGGCCTGGCGTCTGGAAGGAGAACACATGTCATGTACTGTCATCTTTTTATGTTGCCATGCAAATCAAACATATTGCTCCATGAACAGAAAGATGTAACATCGCAAGTAACAGGGGGAACAGTAACAACCATTGTGTACTAGCGAATTCAATCTCACGAGGACATTGTCTGTCATATGTTGAACCATTACCTGATAAAAGCACTAAACACAGACTTGATATACACTTGCCTAAGAGCCGCTAAAAGCTGTGAACTTTAACTGGCATGTTACATGCCTACACACTTTGGTATGACATGACTGTACCATGCCTAAACACTTTGGTATGATATGACCGTACCATGCTTAAACACTTTCGTATGACATGACTGTACCATGCTTAAGTACTTTGGCATGACATGACTGTACCATACCTAAACACTTTGGTATGACAAGACCGTACCATGCTTAAACACTTTCGTATGACATGACTGTACAATGCTTAAGTACTTTTGTATGACATGACTGTACCATACCTAAACACTTTGGTATGATATCACATGTACCATGCTTAAACACTTTGGTATGACATGACTGTACCATGCTTAAACACTTTGGTATGACATGACTGTACCATGCTTAAACACTTTTGTATAACATGACTGTACCATGCCTAAACACTTTGGTATGACGCGTACCATGCCTTAACACTCTGATATGACATGACTGTACCATGCTTAAATACTTCGGTATGACACGTACCATGCCTAAACACTTTCGTATGACATGACTGTACCATGCTTAATCACTTTGGTATGACATAACTGTACCATGCTTAAACACTTTGGTATAACATGTCTGTACCATGCCTAAACACTTTGGTATGACATGTACCATACTTTAACACTTTGGTATGACATGACTGTACCATGCCTAAACACTTTGGTATGACATGACTGTACCATGCCTAAACACTTTGGTATGACTTGTACCATGCCTAAAAACTTTGGTATGACATGACTGTACCATGCTTTAATACTTTGGTATGACACGTACCATGCCTAAACACTTTGGTATGACATGGCTTTACCATGCTTAATCACTTTCGTATGACATGACTGTACCATGCCTAAACACTTGGGTATGACATGACTGTACCATGCCTAAACACTTTGGTATGACATGTACCATGCCTAAACACTTTGGTATGACAATTACCATGCCTAAACACTTTGGTATGACAAGACTGTACCATGCCTAAACACTTTGGTATGACAAGACTGTACCATGCCTAAACACTTTGGTATGACTTGTACCATGCTTAAATGCTTTGGTATGACACGTACCATGCCTAAACGCTTTGGTATGACATGACTGTACCATGCTTAATCACTTTGGTATGACATGCCTGTACCATGCTTAATCACTTTGGTATGACATGACTGTACCATGCCTAAACACTTGGGTATGACATGACTGTACCATGCCTAAACACTTTGGTATGACAATTACCATGCCTAAACACTTTGGTATGACAAGACTGTACCATGCCTAAACACTTTGGTATGACATGTACCATGCTTAAATTTAAACACTTTTGTATAACATGACTGTCCCATGCTTAAACACTTTTGTATAACATGACTGTACCATGCTTAAACAGTATGGTATGACATGACTGTACCATGCCTAAACACTTTGGTATGACATGACTGTACCATGCCTAAACACTTTTGTATGACATGTATCATGCTTAAACACTTTGGTATGACATGACTGTACCATGACTAAACACTTTGGTATGACATGACTGTTCCATGCCTAAACACTTTGGTATGACATGACTGTACCATGCCTAAACACTTTTGTATGACATGTACCACGCTTAAACACTTTTGTATGACATGTACCATGCTTAAACACTTTGGTATGACATGACTCTTCCATGCTTAAATACTTTGGTATGACATGACTGTACCATGCTTAAATACTTTGGCATGACACGTACCATGCCTAAACACGTTGGCATGACACGTACCATGCCTAAACACTTTGGTATGACACGTACCATGCCTTAACACTATAGTATGACATGACTGTACCATGCTTGATCACTTTGGTATGACATAACTGTACCATGCTTAAACACTTTGGTATAACATGACTGTACCATGCTTAATCACTTTGGTATGACATGACTGTACCATGCCAAAACACTTTGGTATGACATGTACCATGCTTAAACACTTTGGTATGACATAACTGTACCATGCTTAATCACTTTGGTATGACATGACTGTACCATGCCTAAACACTTGGGTATGACATGACTGTACCATGCCTAAACATTTTGGTATGACGAGACTGTACCATGCCTAAACACTTTGGTATGACATGTACCATGCTTAAACACTATAGTTTGACATGACTGTACCATGCTAAATCACTTTGGTTAACATAACTGTACCATGCTTAATCACTTTGGTATGACATGATTGTACCATGCCTAAACACTTGGGTATGACATGACTGTACCATGCCTAAACACTTTGGTATGGCATGTACCATGCCTAAACACTTTGGTATGACAATTACCATGCCTAAACACTTTGGTATGACGAGACTGTACCATGCCTAAACACTTTGGTATGACATGTACCATGCTTAAATTTAAACACTTTTGTATAACATGACTGTACCATGCTTAAACACTTTTGTATAACATGACTGTACCATGCTTAAACAGTATGGTATGACATGACTGTACCATGCCTAAACACTTTGGTATGACATGAATGTACCATGCCTAAACACTTTGGTATGACATTACTGTACCATGCCTAAACACTTTAGTATGACATCTACCATGCTTAAACACTTTGGTATGACATGTACCATGCTTAAATACTTTGTTATGACTTGACTTGTACCATGCCAAAACACTTTGGTATGACATGTACCATGCTTAAGTACTTTGGTATGACATGTACCATGCCTAAACACTTTGGTATGACATGACTGTACCATGCCTAAACACTTTGGTATGACATGTACCATGCTTAAGTACTTTGGTATGACATGACTGTACCATGCCCAAACACTTTGGTATGACATGTACCATGCCTAAACACTTTGGTATGACATGAAGCATGCCTAAACACTTTGGTATAACATGATATGTACCATGCTTAAACACTTTGGTATCACATGTACAATGCCTAAACACTTTGGTATGACATGTACCATGCCTAAACACTTTGGTATGACATTACTGTACCATGCCTAAACACTTTGGTATGACATGTACCATGCCTAAACACTTTGGTATGACATGACTGTACCCTGCCTAAACACTTTGGTATGACATGTACCAAGCCTAAACACTTTGGTATTACATGTACCATGCCTAAACACTTTGGTATGACATGACTGTACCATGCCTAAACACTTTGGTATGACATGTACCATGCCTAATCACCATAATGTATGGTAGTAAACCTGCCTTCTACGCATACTTTTTATTTATGTTGTCTAAATGGCAGGAACATGTAGGTGTGGTTCTGTGTTAAAAGTCATGTGACTGATGCTGATTTATAGTGCTATCACACTGTTGTCCTTGTTTTAGCCCCTTAATGCTTAGCGCCAGACAGGGTAACAACTAGTACCATCTTTTAACATCCTTTGACGCGGCCAGGGATCGAACCCCAGACCTTCCACACTACCACTAGACCATTGAGGCGGTCGTTGAAACAACATGCCAAACTTCATTTCTGTACATTATTATGAGTGTGCAGGGTGTTGTTACCTTGTACAGAGGAAGTAGGCTGTTATGATGATGGCGATGAGGAACACCACAGCAACACCCACAGAGATTCCTATCACAACACGACTACTGTCTTGTGTGCGGACAGCATAGCAGCCTGGAGCTGAAATGTACATAACACACATTACATTAGTTGTTAAGGTTAAAAACTAATTAATGTGATTGTGATTTATCCCCCCAACCCACGAAGGTACAAATGGCCAAAATGGACACCACCACCCTTTTTTTTAAATCCTGGTTCCGGCCCTGGTTGACAAACAGAGACAGTGTGGAACTAAGCACTGACCTGACAGACTGGTCCACGAGGTGCTGGAGGTGCTCGGCTCACACACTTTACAGGAGTCCTTTATGCTCTTGGCAGCATAACACTCTCCATCGATCAGACACTCATTAGATCCAATCTGATGCAAGTCAAATGATATCATATAAACACACATGGACAGTCAACATGAAGGTCAAACATCCCGAAATATCACAACACATAGCAAAATATGACATGTATTTTTGTTCACACCACATACTGATTATCCAATTCAATAAACACAAAACAAGCAGAAATAGCTGAGCAATGGGCAAATTTGATATTTTCTATATGGCGGACATCTTCAGAAAAGGATCAGATTCCAGAAACAAATTTAGAGATTCTGTTCATGACAAGATTAAAAGGGATAGTTAAATCAAACATTATTGTTGTGGACTCCATAAGTTTTGTAGAGTTAAGTTTTGTGAAGTTTAATAATAATAATAATAATAATAATAAGAGTTTGCCACTAACGTGGCTATATCCTCCGCACCTGTTGCAGAATTTATGACGTAATTAAATCTAAACAAACCCTAACCTTTTTTAACCGAGGTGGAACTTGTCATGGAAATTGTCAAAAAAAGAAGAGTTTGGAACCTAAGTCCATCTTGTTGCCATGGAAACGTAAAAAATAAATATATCTAAAATTTCTAAATAGTAAAAGGCACCAGTTCAGCATGTACCTGACAGACCTGCAAAGTTTGATGAAAAAATATTGAACGGTTTATGAGTTATATTCCGGAAACGAACCCTACCCTCACAGAACCTAAGTCCATCTTGTTGCCATGGAAACGTAAAAAATAAAAATTTCTAAAATTTCTAAATAGCAAAAGGCACCAGTTCAGCATGTACCTGACAGACCTGCAAAGTTTGATGAAAAAATATTGAACGGTTTATGAGTTATGCTCCAGAAACGAACCCTACCCTCACAGAACCTAAGTCCATCTTGTTGCCATGGAAACGTAAAAAATAAAATATTCTAAAATTTCGAAATAGCGAAAGGCACCAGTTCAGCATGTACTTGACAGACCTGCAAAGTTTGATGAAACAATATTGAACGGTTTCTGAGTTATGCTCCGGAAACGAAACGTGACGGACGGACGGACAGACGGAGCCCATTTCTATATCCCCCACCAACTTGGTGGGCGGGGGATAATAATATATCAGGGTAAAACTTCAGGCAAAGTACAAATGTAGACTTAAGAAAATCTGGGGTTCAATGCTGAACTCTCGCAATAAAGTTAGAGCCACAAATACTTATGCTGACCAGTCCTTTCATATTCTTTTGTTGTTGCTGATTGGACGAAACAAGAAATTCAGGGTACCCTCACACAAAAGATCATGTCAGATAATCGATCCCTCCACTCTTCCCTTAATCGCGTATATTTACCAATATATATTGGGAGGGCATGGTTTGATTAACATGGAGGCTCTTCATGATAGAATTGTATTATGCACTTTTGCACACATTTATTTGTCTGATGATCCTCTTGTGAAGCATGTCAAGACTCAAGATGAAAACAAGGCATTCCACAGTTATCTTAAATGAGACAAGGATGTGGAACATAATCTCAATGTCAGTGATGATTTTGTTGAAATGACAGTCAACAAAGCAAAGTGATATATTAAATCGCCACAGACTTAGTTTTTCAAAGAGAGGCTATCTGAACGACCACTGGATCAAGTCTATGTGCAGTGTGTTGAGAGGACCAACAACCCTGCAGCGTCCTTCACTTGGATGAAGTCGGCTGGCCTGAAAAGTGAAACAGAAGGCTTTCTGTTTACTGCTCAGAACCAGTCACTTCCCACTTGAAACCATCAATGTCTGATTTTCCATCAAAATGTTAATATGCAATGGAGAAAATGCAATGAATTTAATGAGACACTTTGTCAGTGGATGCCCAGCTTTGGCACAAACACAGTATCTTAAGCGACATAATGGAGTGGCAAGGTAATTTTATTACCATCTTCAGCATGCTTGTGGTTTTGACACAGAGGTCCATCCATGGTACGACCATGAATATGTAAAGGGTGTCATGAAAAATGATAAATACAAAATTCTTTGGAATACAGCCTCAGACCTATCCAGGCCAACAAACCTGATCTTGTCCTTTTTGAAAAAATCCAGTGAAATCATATATATCATTGAATTTTCTGTCCCTTTTGACTCTAATGTGATTGACAAGATTCAGGAAAAGATGGCAAATATGGGGACCTCACTAACAGAATGTCATGCTTGTATCCCAAGTACCAAGTTGTCCGACTCCCCATTGCTCTAGGTGCCTTAGGTTTGGTACCTCCGTATCTGTTGACTGACATCGGGAGAGTACCCGGGTTTGCTGCCAGGAATACAGCCCTTCTGGGTAAAGCTGAAGGCTGCAGTGTTGGGGAGTCTTCACTTTCCCCGAAAAGTTCTGGGAGGGTTTGACTAGGCAGCATCTCCTGGGAGAAGTCCAATTTGCTGTCTGGGCTGCGTGTACAGGGGGCAAAGGCCCTGAACTGATGATAAGCCTTAACCAGCCTGACTGTGCCAAGATCACCCAAACCCTCTTTGCAGCATGTTATATTTTAATCTTTATATTATATTATATGATGATGATGATGATAATGATGATGATGTTGCTGAGTGTGGCATTAAACAACAAATAATCTAACAAATATTGTATTTTTCTAAATCTCCATAAAACATCACAATTCATTCCAACTCCGAAAGGCTTACCTTGATTGTGCATGTGGCATCTGTGTTGTTTACTGAACACACAGAACAGGATGGATTGTTGACTACAAACAACACCTCTGATGTACTGGTTCTCTTCCCATCATTGCTGACTTTGATAGAGTAGCTCCGGACAGAGAACACAGGCAGTGTACATACCAACTCTGAAGCACTGCGATACACAGCTGAAGTCACTACCTCTGGGCTCCCTCGAGAAGTTATCCCAGTATGATCAATCTGGAATCAACAAAGGTCACATTTCAGGGACATTGCTCCCATTTCTGCAGGGAAAGTTATAGAAGTGATGATGACACTGAGAGAAGGAAAAGTTATCTTACATTTCATGTTTAATCTTCTCGTTTCATACTTTTATTTCCCATAAGTTAAACATTTGAAAGTTATTATGAAGATTATCAGATTTCCTCGAATGAAAACAATGTAAACTTTGTTTCATTTTCAGGTAAGGCCAAAATGAGTTCCAAACGTTGATTGGCCATCTTTGGGGCCAGCTAATTTTCTAGGAAGATGTAGATAAAGACTGTAAAAAACATGTTGTTAAACTTGCTGATACTGTAGTTAGATTCACTCTTGAAGTTGAAAATATCTACATATTCACTTATTTTAGCCATACTTAACTTGATCCAAAAGTGTAAGAAAGTCAGACATAAGAACATATCTGATATTATCCATACTATATTTAACAGTTTTACGAAACCTTAGAATTTGGCCGTGATCCTACCTTTATCAGCACAACTACTGTAAATCATGAAATTATGGGGGGCATTTTATTAATGCAAAAAATGCAAATGCCACTTGCTCACATTAATTAATGACACATTTACTTCTGGATTTATTTGTGTAGATTTTCACGTCAGGTTCACTGTGGAGATATAGTGACATACATGAACATAACAAAGCTCACCATAAACAACATAACCGAGTGCTAGATTAATTTAGACTTTGCTCCTCACCAAGTCCCAGGTAAAGTATTTACACAAGTTGATCAAGCAGTTATGACAGTCACCAACTGTGTATGACGCTGTGTTTGTTCATGGTGACTTTGTCAAATTATCTCATAATTATACTGCACACCCATGGAGTAAAAAATGTCCAGCACAGCAACAGCAGTCGTGGTAAATACATGATACTGCTTATTTACCTTCAAAGGATTGCACTAACATGTGGCACAACCGTGGGGATGTGTACAATCTTTGTTGGGGACCCAATCCATCTCATTTCAATATGCAGTATTTGGACATTTCCTGCCTTTCATTTCATGGACGTTACAACAAATGTCAAGCAGTTGAATTTTGTGAAGATGTTAAAATATATTATGGACCTGCTTATGACCCAATATTATATCATGGATTTCTATGTGTACTGCCTTGGTAATATTGTTTGATGATTAGTCGTTGTTGGTCAAAGGCAGGGTTATTTGCATTAATTTCAAGACACTTTTTAGGCTTGAGGTGGACACTCAGATTATGCATTATGCATTAATTTCATGATTTCCAGTATCTAGCAGATAATATATGTCAACTTACTGTAATGGGCACCAGGTGACAGTATACACTGTTATTCTTGAAGTAGTTGCCATTAACAACTGTGCTGTTGCAAGTTCTGGGAGAGTGATTGCAGACAGAATTGCTCTGTTCTGTGTTGAGAGTGGGTATTTTGTCAGCTGCCAGGGAGCAGTCAGGGCCTCGGTACCCAGTGTTGCATTCACATTGACCTGGCAATAACAAGACCATTCATACAGAAAACATTCCCATCATCATATTCAATAAGACAGAAATATTGGGTAATTCACATTGAAACAAAGGATGTCTGAAGCATGTACTGCATGGTCCTGAACATAGGGTGCAGTTGCTCACACAAAATACAGTTGGTTAACTCACGTGATGACCCATTGCATGTTCCATTGCCACTGCAGTCATTAGAACACAGTGCCTTCACCACCTGAATCGGGAGTGTGGGAATGCCGCCGTTGTTCTGCTCCCAGGTGTTGGAATCCCTGGTTACCGAGGACAGACATCTGGTCTGCACATCCTGTAAAGCTGCATCTGCCCAGTCCTGGTTGTCGGTCAGCTGCAAGTAAACAACTGACAATCAGAAGGTTGGAAATAAGATTTGGTTCCAGGACAGAAAAAGCTTTTGAGTTCTGTTACAGTAAAGCAGGGTTAGATGCTAAAATGTTTCAAATTAATGATAAAAGATATTTATGCAAACATCTCATTATTTGTCTGCCCTTTCCTTTTCATTCTTCATAAACAAGTTATCCAATAAAATAATCTGTTAACGTAAACAAGGTATTCAACTTTGTCAAGATGATGCTTTTCGCTGATGATGTAACTTTGATATTAGCTGCAACACAAACCTTGCAAAATCAGGTGGATGTGTTAGAAGATTATTTACGATTACAATTTGTTTACACTTATACGTGGACATCAATTTTGTTCAGTCAGATCTCTTCTGTACATTTACTTATTTTAGGTAGAGAGTTTCAAAGACAGTACAAAGCATTTACATGTATATTGGTAGTCTTATTATCAGTTTTGAATGTTGGGAAACTGAGACATGACACCTATTGATATTTGCACCCAATATCAGCTTTCTCATGATACACATAAACGTGGATAACACCCTCTGGTCTTACCTTGACATCTCGCACACAGTTTTCTATTTTAACGGTGTAGTTTTGGGCATCAAAGTTTCCACACTCCTCAAGAGCTGACCTGATCTTGTTGGTACAAAGTGTGCGGGCCTCTGCTTCAGTTGTGTTACTTGCAGTCGGCCAAGTTGCACCCTTGGAACAGACAAAAACACACCATTCAAATGTTGTGAATGTTAAATATTCAGTGAAGAAAGCTAAATGCCATTATATCAGCCACATTCATTGGCCTAGAAATGAGGTCTCATGATTTTCAACATTTACTTCAGTTACTAAAAACAGAATAGCAATTCGCCAGAAGTAGCATGCCTCAAAGATAAGCCAATCAGACGTATCCAAATCTTGTACCTCATACTGTTATTGCAGCTAAAATAGTTTGACTTGTTGACATTGTCTCTATATAATACAATAAAAAAATTAAAGACTTCATTCTTGATGAATATTGCTTTTTTGAAGTCCATAAAATAAGTATTTACATCATATACAGTCGATAATTGTATATTGTCCGAGCTGCAGGAGTTCGGGAGATTTTACTACTACAATGTAAAGTAAAACAAAACAAATCATGAAGTAGAAAAGGCCTTTGAGCACTGTATGTACTAAGTAAAATCTACCTGTGAAGCATGGTAGTTTGGGTCATACTGGAAACCGGTTGTCTGCCTCTTACGTCTGCTTGAAATCTGTGATAAGAGCTGTTCCTTCTGATCCTTTAGTAGTTTGTCAGTGTATTCCACACCTGAAGTGTAAGACAATTCATTAGTGATCAAGTATAAAGGAAAGTGTGTTTGTGTAATGCGATTTCTATGATGTGAGAGGATATGCAGTATCATCTCAATGTAAGTCTCCTTACACTTTAGGGAACATTGTCATGTTAACAAACATTCATGTATGTATCTCATAATATCAAAAAACAGTTTCTGATTAATATATATCTCCCCTAATTTTCGGAATTTGACGCTTTTTCGACACAACATAAAATGACTGCTTTCACCAAGTAAATAATGTCTTGAATATGTAAACAATAAGTATGGTTTATCATGTATCGTGTACAAGACATGCACTTGTTTGGCATCAATGTACGTAATGAAATACCCAAAAGAATATTTCAAAACAACCAAAATTATATTCAATATTGAAAAATATTGGACATATATTTGTTCATTACTATGTTATTATTTCATCACATCGCAGGATTACACAATAAAAGATGCGAAGAAAGCTCTATTTGTATAGAATTATCAGGATAATCGTATAAGGTTGAACCAACGGGGTACCTGGCATGGGTTTTATTTTATACATTTTACAATTCCTGGAGAAATAAAGTAACCAGTTCAATATCCTGTGATCACAATATTGAAAAAAGAATGAACCAACTGATAAAATGCAAAACGAGAGGAATAATTCGTAAATTGTTTGTGACTAACGCGCACCTGGCGAATCGTTAGATATCACTGTTTTATGTATCAAACGACAATTCCAAAACCAAGACAATTCTTTCAGAAATGTGTGCACATATTTTAACGAAAAATATTATCCTTTTTTTTAAAGTAATATATATTCAGTTTTAGTCATAAACTAAAATGAAATGGCTATTCATGGCTATAACATTGGTTATATGAACTTATAATATTGACTGTTACACATCCAAAGAAATACGTACATGCTGCAGTTACATTTACACTTCATCTTGTAACACTTGTCCAAAGGAAAAAAATATCGTATTCGACACTAAAAACCTATCAATTGTTATGTAAACAATGTTCAAACAAACAGGAGAATATCAAACGTTCGTTCATACTTGTTGTGGCCTATATTTACGTATGATATCATTTTGAACATTGACAAATATCCAAAGTGAAATTTATTGCTAAATCTACATCATAACTGAAACTGTAAACAGCATGATACAATGATCGTGTGCACTCTCACTCAAGGACCTTCACCTCAAAGAAATTACCAAATATGTACAACAATGTTGACGTATGACATCACTGCCTGTGACCGACTTGTACAAAATGGCGTGTTCACTGTCAACAGTACCCGGGATTGTAAAAGGGGACTTTCGTAGTTTCAGGGATCGTATATACATAAATGTGACATGTAAGTAATCATAAACATTCTGACAATCTATCTACTGTTATTTGTTGTTATAATTTTCATTGAAACAAACCGAAATAGTCTTGAAATAAATACCGTTGTCGTTGTGCGTGATTTTGCGTCAGACATGGCGTCACACAGGACGGTAACTTTGACAATTTCTGTTGTAAATATCAACTCATTGCAATGTATCTATTTTAAATTCCCTAATTCTTCCTACAATTCTCTTCCCATGCATATTCTGAAAATGTTGAGCCAATATCTTGAACGAATAGACGAATGTTGTCTCAATTGGAAACCATCCCATTCTAAACAGACTAATGAGATCCTTCCTACTAGAAGATGTTCTGACAATCTGGGTAATGCAGAGGGCTGCTGTGTTGGGGAGTTCACATTCTCCGAAAAGTTCTCTGTGGGTTTGACTGTAGGCAGTGCTTCCTGGGAGAAGTCCCCTGTCTGGGCTGCCTGAAGAGGGGGCAAGGGCCCTGAGCGGATGATGAGCCTAACCAGCCTCAATGTGCTGGGATTACACAAAGCCTCTTTGCTGCATTTTCTATTTTAATCTGTACAAAAACAGCGAGCCTGACCATCCAATCCCGTAAGTAAACTCTTACAACAAGCATGGTCACCTCTAATGGCAAGCATGGGTTGCTGAAGACCTACCTATTCTAACCCAGATCAGGTAGTGTTTATACAGTTGGTTGGTTGGCAGCACTCAGCAATATTCCAGCTATAGGACGGCGGTCTGTAAATAATCGAGTCTGGACCAGACAATCCAGTGATTGACATCATGAGCATCGATCCATGCAAATTGGGATCGATGACATGCATCAACCAAGTCAGCGAGCCTGACCACCCGATCCCGTTAGTCGCCTTTTACGACAAGCACAGTTGCCTTTTACGGCAAGCATTGGTTGCTGAAGACCTATTCTACCCCGCAATCTTCACGGGTCCTATGCAATATAGTGGAAAGTTCACTTCGGCGTTCGTGTTTGCGTATTTTCCAAAACATTCTAAACAATTCTAGGGTTATCAGAGACATTTTGGAATGATCATTGGTGATTTCATAAAAGACAGATACCCATGATCACTAATATGCTATTTTTTAAAGTCATTTCTCCGAGTAAATATCTGAAATTTAGATTTCAAAACATGCTGTAAATAACGCCATGAGTGGTGATTTAGTAATGTGTAAAAAATTGCGACATTTACGATGTACCTAATATTCAGAGGTCATTTTCAGTACTTTTACTTGGCCTAAAATGCCAGTGGATGATATCACGGAACAGGGAATTTCCCACCTCATTCAAAACTGTGAAGTGTATTAGTGTGCATGATGTAGTTTGAATTTTATTGGACTTCAAAGTGAGGGTTGTAGAGGAGGGACATATATGTCCCTGTGGCATCCAGGGGGTTCACCAACCAAGTTGGGTTAATAACTTCAGGGTGAAGTTCAGCTGGTGTCTGAGTAGCTCTACAGCTTGATGAGCTTGATTCCATGGTCCAGGTAGAGTCTCCAGGGCATCTGGCTGCACTTTTACTGCTCCAATGAGAAGATTGTTGCTTGCTTCTGTTAGCTTGGGTTGCAGAACCTTTGAATATTGGATGATTCTTGGTCTGAGTGTGAGAAGAAGTTTCTCGTGAATGGTGGGTTGGTAACCCTTCTTGAGTATGTTGGACATCCCAATTCCTCCAATATCTTCCAAGCCACGTGATCTGACTTGTGGTCTCCAAAAGGCAGAAGACTTTCCTCCTCTGTTGGTAGATCGCTTGACCTTTACTTTCTGTATACCAGAAAATCTGCTTTTAAACTTGGCAAAGGAGGTTTCCAGATTGTTTGCTACTTGATAGGTAGCATAGTCAAGTGTTGATGTTTTCACCACTGATACAATAACTGTCAAAAGGGGAAGAGTCTCTGGATGATGAAGTAATGGGGCATCTATCAGCAATCCAGGCTAGTAGTTCATAGCCCTCATAGATAAAAAGGTGATCTTTCAATCTGCGATAGTAGATGGAATTGGTATCGCACCTTCTTGGAAGAATGTAGGAAGCGTATATGTTGTAGGCTGATTGATTGCTGAAGGCTGTGGAACCCTTGAGGATGTGTGCAGGTTAGTTGCTGCGTGTATGTGTGCGGCCACATGGAGGTATGGTTGCTGCATTATTGTCTGCAGCTCCAGCAGGTTGGTTTCTGCATGAGTGTCGGCGACTGAGTGCCAATATGTTGCTGCATGAACCTCTCAAGCAGAGGCTGCATGATAGCCTACACCTGCATTAATGTCTGCGGTTGCGTCTGCTGCTGTGAAGAAAGGGCTGTAACTGAGGCTGAGGTGGTCTGCTGCATGGAGATTGTCAGCTTCCTCCTTAAAGTCAGACTCCCTCTCTTCCTCTGTATAAAGTGTAGGCATAGTGTCAACCTTCTTCATTGAAGTCGTCTCTGATGAGGATGATTCTCTCCTCTTACAGTCCATCTTCTTCCTCGGTACTTCATATAGTACATGATTTCATGGTGAAAACAGAGGTAACATGTCAAGTCCAAAAGTATGACAATATTTAAGCCAAAAACCAAAAATATTATTACATGTGATGAATAAAGAGTAAAAAAATGTAATCTGGGCAAAACAAATTATGAAAAAGGGTTAATTTTGATAGGATGGCATGGATTACAGGAAAGGAGTTCAGGAAATTTTCCCCAACGACTCAGTTGGCGTGAAAATGAGAGAATGACAAGCATACTGGCTTAGTCACATGTTTCAAGTGCACATACGCAGGCTGGGGATGCATTCGGGTGAGCTGTTTTTCTGTTCTCTGGGAACACAGTTCAAGAAGTAGAGAGAGATAAGCAATTAGTTTTAGTCAGGATAAGGTAAATTGGATAAAATCTAAATGTTTGTTCTATCTTCAAATGAAATGAATGCTCCCCAGGGTGGGAGTTACTAAGCTCTCTTGGACATGCAAACCATGTTGGGCCAAAGTACATGGTGAGCTTCTGAATAAATATCTTTCCTAACCAGAATTGAGAATCAACTTGAGAATCACAATATAAAATGCCTACTCCAGAGAATAATCAGTCTTGATTATCTGCCTAAACATGGCACTGCCATGCTTGAATAATCTGAACCCCATTGTGCTATGTATCTACCAAAATATGGGCCTTTGGGTTTCCTAGGTGGTGAAGCAGTTCCAACTTTAAAATAGGGATTTACATCCTTCTAGGTACATCAGTAACAATGACATGTCACTTCTTGTTTTCTGGAAACACATATCCAACATTTGTCTTCGGTAAACAGGACAGCAATTTCAAATAATAACATCACTTCCAGGTTTGGAAGCACATGCCCAAATGCTGTATAAAACTTCAAAACAAAAAGTTCCAAGCCTCTAGACATAAACCCAATTTGGCTTAATGATGTCGTAAAATTGCATTTCGAGATGCCAATCACTGTGAACTAAACTAGTTTCTAACTGTTGGACATTGCACAGGGTCTCATTGTAAAGATACAAAATGTCTAAATATGACTCTAATATTCACTCTACTCACCTGTCGAGACACCACACTCATCAATGTTCTGGGAATATCCACACACCTTCTTTCCTCCATCAGAACAAGAACAGTAAATACTGGAAGTAAAGTTCCCAGATCCTCCATAACCAGCATTGTACATGCTGTCTTCAGAGACCCTGTAGAATACACAACACTGCAGCTGTATAGTATATAACAATAATAACAACAACATATCTTGCAATGTCTTGTCCCTGCTTGTTATGTTTCTGAACGTATGGAGAAGATAATAGTTCCATTGGACACCTTTGGCTGATTGTCTATACAAGTTTCTCGTGATATGATGCTCCTTTCATTTTTTTGAGTTTTGAAATCAAGTATCCTTTCATGATTGCTATTTCTGAGTAAACTTTGTCATACTTAGTTTGATTAGCGGTATGTCAAACAAACATGGTTTTAAACTAGTTTCAGTTATCAACCAACTCCTAGTTCAAACAGTTCTACTGACCTTGAGTAATAAGTCAAGGAGAGGCCAGGTGGAAATGTGCTGAACTGGTTATATTTAGAATTGAGAGTTGAGAATATATATAGATATTGTTTTTTGGAGTGTCCTTGTAGAAACGTCTTTCATCACTTCAGTCTTGTCATCTAGTGCCATAACAATAGCCATTGCAGTCAACAATTGTTATACATGGAGTGGACTTGAAAACATAGAATAAATATGTGATAAAACAAGTATACATTGTTTTGACATTTGTGTGCAAGTGGTCAGACCTATTATCTTCCTGTAAGCGCTAAAAATCCACAATGCTGTCAAATAATATACCTTTGACTCATGTAAAGCTATAAAATTCTATGACTGAATGTGTGAATTAAATATCATAGTCTGAGTTAATTGTTGTAGAGTCAGCTAACCTCCAAGACTTGGCAAAGGGTATTGGTTCATCATTGATGCCGGTAACAGTGTACACAGTTGTGTTCTTGTCCGTCAAGTCGTTCTTTGTGTCACCATCATATATGCCACAGAGACCTGGAACAGAGTAAGACTGCATTGCTTGCTTCTGACCACAATTACAAAACACTATGATGGCACTGTAGCTCAACTGGACCTGAAATGTCAATTTGAAATGTCAAAAAAGCATTTTTAAAAGGGAGGGGTCCACAATATCTAATCCTCTCTACAAATGGGGAAGAGGTACACGCCAGTCTGACAGGCGTCTCCCTGCACATGTGTAACAGGACCACTATGTGTACATGCAATAGGTCGGCAGGCCTTAGTGAACAACAACTGATAAGGATTTACAAAATCTTTGTAAGAAGACACAAAAACCGAGTACAAGAGGTTATGCACATCCACATTTCATAGGAATAGTTTTAACTTACCTTGTGAGCGACCAATGACCCAAGCTGAAGGCTCTACCCACACATTCATGAATATGTCTGCAGTTGATGTAACAGTCACCTTTGACCCACATGGTAACAGAATCTGAAATGAAACCAGCACACACTGGTTGATACTGAGCCATGATACTGACTGAATGACCACATATTGTGTACTGCCTGTATGACCAAGCACTGTGTTCTGTAGGGTCTGTATTTTCACTGTGTACTCACCCTGTATGTATCGCCTTCCTCCTCCTGGAAGATTTTGGTCTTAGGTGTGAGTGTTTCTTTGAAGAATTGCTCTACTTTGAGTGGCAGTTTCTCTGTTGAGTTTGTTGGGGTAATATCACATTTACTGATCTGTATGACATCATTACCACTGCGGATAGATGTGCCACACACACTGCTGCCACGACCACTCCGTCTCAGATAAATGCGAACCTGTTCCAATACAGTAGGATATTCATGAAACAATGAGTTGTCTTTGCTTTGGGCAGAGCACAAATCTATTCTGTAGCATGTAGTTATCTGATAGCTGTTCACTATTTTCAGATATTTTTTCGTATGGAACAATTTGACCAATCACTGTCAATGGTCCCGTGCTCGTGACAGCAAAAACTCTATGTTGACATATAATAGTCAATCTACAACAAAAATTACTTTCAACGAGTCAATGTATGGCATTTATGATACATATGTCAATTCTCTATCCACTAAAGTTTGTTTCGAGTAGTCAATAGCAGCAATCTGACTGTGGTTGCTTTTAATAACAGTGAGCTGTGCGATCAACCGATCATTTTACACACAATTTTGCAGAAATGAATGTAAACAATATTGTGTGAAATTTTGAATAAAATATATTTAATAGATTACAAACATAAGTCCAGATATAAAATAAACACTTTTTTATAATCAGACAGTGTAATTACATGATTAGTTTGTATACTTCAGTACGGATTTGTTGACATGGTATTTCCGGTGTTATGTGCTCACAGTGATGTCTTTGTATTGCGGGAAAAAACATCAACCCTGTGAACCCTTATACACAGTGATATACGGTGCAACAGTTAGGTCCTATTCCTGCATGGATTGTGAGGGATTCTGTTGTAATCCTGCTACCTACCTCTGTCTCCAACTCAGTGTGCCTGTACATGATAAACTCTCCTTCAAGCATTACATCATAGTTCCTGTAAAAACAACAGCCATCTAAATCAGAATGACAATATTTCTTCATAATCTTTGTAACAAAGTGGTTATATGTGAAGGATAAAACACATCAGAAGGTTTTTATGAGATCTAAAACACGAATCCAAGGGGATGAGAGTTTAATATCACATAAAAACCCAAGGGTAAGTGTTTTATCTAACTTATAAAACAAAAAAAGAAACTTAAAACAACATTTATCAGCATTTTTATGTTTCATACATACTTTTCATGAACCTTAGGAAACGGGCATAAAACATCTGTTAATTGAAAAATGAAAACAGCATTGTGATTTATCAGTGCCTCTGTAAACTACTGGTACACTCACTGGGCTACAGTTTTGAGGGCTGCATGTTCAATCCACGAAAATATAAGGGAAACATTTGTCATTGGATTTTACATAATTCTGCAAATTTCATAACATGTTGTTCAGATGCAAAATAGATTTCTAGCGAGAGACAATCACATGTTACCATATAAACGGAAGTTGTATAAAAAAAATTTTTCAAATAATAAAAGTTTGATGTTTAATGGATTGTTTTGTTATGATTTATGCATCTGCCAATATAAGGATTGAAGTTGTATTTGTTGACGCTCATCAGCTGATGAAGACAGTGCCTCACTTGATCAAATTTACCATGATGCACTTTGTGCTTGTTGGTGGCAGTGTTTGTGTTGAGTCACTCTCATGTTAATAGAAATACATTCTTTCAACACCACACTTCAAGAAGCCACATACACACATGCATGCATGCACACTGCTGTTGCAAGTGCAATAATCTTGCACACGACATTAAACCCAATTTCACCTCACATTATCTCCTTGTGAGGTTGTGACCAGTTCTCAACAGCTATTCTCATCTAGGCTGGACTGTTGCTCTATGCATTGTTGAACTATATTCACACACAGAAGGAACTTTCACAGTTGGATGTTTTTATGACCAATGGACAACTGGTCCTGTTAATCCTGGCCAATGTACTTACAGGCCATCAAATGTTGTGATGTGAGGATCTGCTGTGGCTCCACACAGAGCATTCTTCATGTCCCTATCGATGATGGTAACCTGTCAGACACAAAGTCATAGGGGGATACATTAGTTGAGGACTTGTCAATATCATTTACTGTATGTAATACGATCTTATGTAATTTGTGCACAAATTTAACTTTAAAGTTGATGTGTTATTTTATATCAGTTGAAATAAATGCATTAAATTGTTATGTAGCTTCCTGATCATGGGATTGTGTATTATACACACCAGGGTGCCATTCCTTTTCAGCACTGCGACTGTCATAAGTCTATGATAAGATATAAGAGTTATGTTCCCCTTAGTGCTAAGATCGCTTTGTACCACGTCACCCTGGTGATTACCAAGACATTTCTTATTGAACACAATAATGAACGATGATTTTACAGCCAGCTCTATAACAAACCTGGAGTTCTTTTATCAGTGTAATGTTGTCCCTTGATCCAACTCGATCTCTCTGAAAGATGTTCACTGTTACATTTAGGTCTTGTGCATGAATAATGCGATCCAGAACAGAGCGAAGTGTGATGCTTGATGTTCTGACTGCCATGGTTGCACCACAAATTGCATTCTCTACATTGGAACCAGAATACCTCACAGCCAGTGGGTCAATGGTACGATCAGACCCAACACATTTCCTACTGTCCACGGCCACAACCTTTGCCTCAGCATATACAGTGCATGCTTCCCCATACATGAGGGGGCAGTACATATCTGGTCTGATGCCCATATCAACTTGAATGTCAAGAGATAATCCTTCAATCAACTGCATCGAGCCTGGTGGAGTCACCTAGACAGAACATACAGAATTCATATGAAATTAACATACATTACATACATACATACATACATACATACATACATACATACATGGAGGCTATCTTCTATACTGTTGTACTAAACAGAACATTGAGGATATCTTCTACACTGTTGTACTGAACGGAACATGGAGGAAAGCTTCTATACTGTTGTACTGAACAGAACATGGAGGATATCTTCTATACTGTTGTACTGAACAGAACATGGATGATATCTTCTACACTGTTGTACCGAACAGAACATGGAGGATATCTTCTACATTGTTGTACTAAACAGAACATGGAGGATATCTTCTATACTGTTGTACTGAACAGAACATGGAGAATATCTTCTATACTGTTGTACTAAACAGAACATGGAGGATATCTTCTACATTGTTGTACTAAACAGAACATGGAGGATATCTTCTATACTGTTGTACTAAACAGAACATGGAGGATATCTTCTACATTGTTGTACTAAACAGAACATGGTGGATATCTTCTATACTGTTGTACTGAACAGAACATGGAGGATATCGTCTATACTGTTGTACTGAACAGAATATGGAGAATATCTTCTATACTGTTGTACTGAACAGAACATTGAGGATATCTTCTACATTGTTGTACTAAACAGAACATGGTGGATATCTTCTATACTGTTGTACTGAACAGAACATGGAGGATATCGTCTATACTGTTGTACTGAATAGAACATGGAGGATATCTTCTTCACTGTTGTACTGAACAGAACCTGGTGGTTATCTTCTATACTGTTGTACTGAACAGAATATGGAGGATATCTTCTATACTGTTGTACTGAACAGAACATGGAGGATATCTTCTACATTGTTGTACTAAACAGAACATGGTGGATATCTTCTATACTGTTGTACTGAACAGAACATGGAGGATATCTTCTATACTGTTGTACTGAACAGAACATGGAGGATATCTTCTATACTGTTGTACTGAACAGAACATGGAGGATATCTTCTACACTGTTGTACTGAACAGACATGGAGGATATCTTCTACATTGTTGTACTGAACAGAACAATGTGGATATCTTCTATACTGTTGTACTGAACAGAACATGGTGGTTATCTTCTATACTGTTGTACTGAACAGAATATGGAGGATATCTTCTATACTGTTGTACTGAACAGAACATGGAGGATATCTTCTACATTGTTGTACTAAACAGAACATGGTGGATATCTTCTATACTGTTGTACTGAACAGAACATGGAGGATATCTTCTATACTGTTGTACTGAACAGAACATGGAGGATATCGTCTATACTGTTGTACTGAATAGAACATGGAGGATATCTTCTTCACTGTTGTACTGAACAGAACATGGTGGTTATCTTCTATACTGTTGTACTGAACAGAATATGGAGGATATCTTCTATACTGTTGTACTGAACAGAACATGGAGGATATCTTCTACATTGTTGTACTAAACAGAACATGGTGGATATCTTCTATACTGTTGTACTGAACAGAACATGGAGGATATCTTCTATACTGTTGTACTGAACAGAACATGGAGGATATCTTCTATACTGTTGTACTGAACAGAACATGGAGGATATCTTCTACACTGTTGTACTGAACAGAACATGGAGGATATCTTCTACATTGTTGTACTGAACAGAACAATGTGGATATCTTCTATACTGTTGTACTGAACAGAACCTGGTGGTTATCTTCTATACTGTTGTACTGAACAGAATATGGAGGATATCTTCTATACTGTTGTACTGAACAGAACATGGAGGATATCTTCTACATTGTTGTACTAAACAGAACATGGTGGATATCTTCTATACTGTTGTACTGAACAGAACATGGAGGATATCTTCTATACTGTTGTACTGAACAGAACATGGAGGATATCTTCTATACTGTTGTACTGAACAGAACATGGAGGATATCTTCTACACTGTTGTACTGAACAGAACATGGAGGATATCTTCTACATTGTTGTACTGAACAGAACAATGTGGATATCTTCTATACTGTTGTACTGAACAGAACATGGAGGATATCTTCTACATTGTTGTACTAAACAGAACATGGTGGATATCTTCTATATTGTTGTACTGAACAGAACATGGATGATATCTTCTATACTGTTGTACTGAACAGAACATGGAGGATATCTTCTACACTGTTGTACTGAACAGGACATGGAGGATATCTTCTATACTGTTGTACTGAACAGAACATGGAGGATATCTTCTATACTGTTGTACTGAACAGAACATGGAGGATATCTTCTACACTGTTGTACTGAACAGGGCATGGAGGATATCTTCTATACTGTTGTACTGAACAGAACATGGAGGATATCTTCTATACTGTTGTACTGAACAGAACATGGAGGATATCTTCTACACTGTTGTACTGAACAGAACATGGAGGATATCTTCTACACTGTTGTACTGAACAGAACATGGAGGATATCGTCTATACTGTTGTACTGAACAGAACATGGAGGATATCTTCTACATTGTTGTACTAAACAGAACATGGTGGATATCTTCTATACTGTTGTACTGAACAGAACATGGAGGATATCTTCTATACTGTTGTACTGAACAGAACATTGAGGATATCTTCTACACTGTTGTACTGAACAGAACATGGAGGATATCTTCTACACTGTTGTACTGAACAGAACCTGGTGGATATCTTCTATACTGTTGTACTGAACAGAACATTGAGGATATCTTCTATACTGAACAGAACATTGAGGATATCGTCTATACTGAATAGAACATGGAGGATATCGTCTATACTGAATAGAACATGGAGGATATCGTCTATACTGAATAGAACATGGAGGATATCGTCTATACTGAATAGAACCTGGAGGATATTGTCTATACTGAATAGAACATGGAGGATATCGTCTATACTGAATAGAACATGGAGGATATCAAGTGAAGGGCCATGATATAAAACTTGACATCAGTATGAGACACCTACTCTCTCCAGTCAACCATATATAGTCACCTTGAATTGGAAATGATAGTACTGTTCGCTGGTCAGTTCTGAGCTCTGACAGTTTGTGATTGATGCTGTGGCATTGCAACCAATCTGAAACAAACAGAAAACCACTGCATAATTGTCTTTGGAACAAATGATAAATCTTACTTAATCACAGAAAGCGTCACCTCTCTTGAAAACATCACAATCATATTTTGCTCATGGTAAATAAATCTTTCATCTAAACCTGATTTCCATGGGGTTTATGTACACACAGTAAAATATTTATTTTTCCTTTTTGAAAAAAAACTTGCCAATACTTAAATGTTATTACTGTTATAGTTTCATAGTGATATCAGATAATATTATTTATTTATTTATAAATTTGCTAAAAACAGCTCACTTTCAATCCCAGCCAAATATGTTTCAATGGGAATTGGACAAACATTATTTTACAGAAGGTTTTCAAAAGATCACCAGGCTATTTTGAAACAGGACATTTGAAACACATTGTATGTCATCTAGAATAGTTCCGAAAATAATCATGACAGAAGGACAAACATAATTAATTATATGGATGCCTTGATAGCTGAATATCCCCACATTACAGGGTAAAACACAGAGATACAAGAAGTAATATGTTGACACAGACCTGTCAACCCTACCACATTTTGCGGGAGACTCCTACAATTTAATGAAATTTTCCAGTCTCCCACATGAGAGACTGTTTCGGATTGGTCGAATTGAACACGTAATACACTGGTCAAGCTACCATTCGTTCATTTTCCGTATGTGTTTGTGTTTATCTGAGATGATCTTTGAACGAAAGTGATATGGGTAGATTTTGCTAGGTTTATTCTTGGAGGAGGAAATGAAAATGGAAATTAAGCTTGCTGTGCGCACAAGAAACTTTATATTTATTGTTTTAAAATATTTTGTTTTCTTTATAAAATTAATAAAAACAAAAGTTGAAAACTATCATTCTACTTAAAAAATCTCCCCCCTTAGAGGCAAATCTCCCCCATTTTGCAGTCAAATCTCCCCAATTGTCATGATGAGGGGTTGACAGTTCTGTTGACATAGCGGGTCAGGGTGACCTATCCCATGTGTTGACATTGTGGGGTGACTTAGCATAAGTGTTTATATACTAGGGTCACCTATCACATGTGTTGATATAGTGGGGTCACCTATTTTATGCTTTCACATATGAAAGGTCCCTCACCCCTTCAGCTAAAATGGCACTCCGCTCTTCATTGCTGAGTGTTGAGGAGTCCAATTGTGTATCCAGTCTGTCTCCCAGTTCATCAGACTTTAATGTTGTACTTCCAGTCACCCATTTCACTGTGTAGGTGACACCTGTGCCAGCAACTCTCTGCACTCGGCAGTAAAAGGTGACTTTGGTCATAGAGGAGCTGTATGTCAACACTGGACGTTGGGTCATTTGCGGGGAACTGTCCACACCTAGAAAGAAAATGACTTCATGCATGTAGGATATGTTTCCTTATTACACATGGGAAAAGAAACAGTTAGTTTATCATTATGTGACATGTTTGCCATACAAAGTTATCATTTTGTTCAATTTGATTGGATAACCATCACCTTGCCTAGGTCACACATTCATAGAAAAATAATGAGACTAACATTTTTTACCAATTCAGCAAGTTACATACATGTTTCAAATTCACTTAATTTGCATTCAGTTTTAGTTATACATAGATCTAATACAGTCAATTACAGAAGAGCTATGACCATTTGCCATGGAGATACTACAGATAGTTCAGGGTTGCTGGCCAATGACTTGAGCTTGATGCACATACTTTCGAAATTTATTTTGATTTAATGCGTGCACTATCTTTTGTAACATACCATGAAAGTTCATTTGTTTCATAAAACTGGTACACAATGAGTGTAGTGTTGTTTATGTCTTTCATGAATTCTCACATAAGTTTCATTCATTGCTGGAAGTAAATTTAAAGTGTAGCAGAATTTTATGGGATAGTGTAAGAAGTGGAATATTTATGAACTCTGATGTAATGGAATCCAGAGCACAAACAGAATCCAAGTCAAACATTTCTTGCATACTATCTCATATGCCTACAAAATCTTATGTATTTGTCTACAATCACTGCACCTCTTACCTGTGCATGTTGGCGCTGTTGTTGATGTTATGACTGAGGATGTAGATTGTTGCACATCTGCACTCGATGTTGCACTCGATGTTGCAGTAGCTGTTGTAGATGTCTGGCTCGGTAACAGAGAAATGTCAGCTCCACTGGAACTAGTTGTGTCCACATCTAGACAGACATCAACTCATCACTGATACATGGGTATTTTGAGAATTTCTTCACACATGGCTACCAGTTTAATACCAAATAAACTCCTTCCTATTCCAATTTAAAGAATGTCAAGCTGAAGTATTCTAAAATATACACACACACACAACTTGAAAAGCTACATATAACACTTAGTAATTGACTTTACTGAGATAAATTAGTAGACTGCTGTAGACTGTCACTTGTCAGTCCAGACACGGATCGAGTCCATAGTTTGGATGTGCATTTCTTCATTTTGTTCACAAGGATGTGTTGTAGCATATTCTTAAATGGGCATGCAGACAAACTCTCTGACATCCTGACGTATGCTACAAAGTTAAGTTCAAGATTTTAGGGTCTAAATGATCAACTCACTTCTGTATGAAACAATTCTAGGGAATTTCCAGGGTTTTCAGAAGGAATGTGGAAGTTGTCCTTCAGTGTTTCGTGATATCAAGAATTCAATCTCATGAAACACGTCAGTTTCGCAGTCATGGGACTGACCTCTCTGACCAATGGTAAGGCAATAAATCGTGCAAAATTTTAAATGGATGTTATACACACAAGTTTACTTCATAAAACAAAGTAGATGTGATATTTTAAACATTCATCACAAGAACCAAGATGATGGCTACTTGATAGTAAGCGAAATCAAGCAAACTATATTACTCAAAAACCCTTCTTCATCATGGCGTCAAGCATCACACATGTGTTTTGAGTGGCCACTACATATTTTGGGTATGTTTCCCTTTCCTTGGATGACTGTAATTGCAGGGATTCCTTCACCAGTTGGTAACCATCTCTTCAGTGGTAAATGTGAGCAAAAACCTCCAGGTTTTCTCTGGATTCATTGATTGAGGGAGATGTGTTTACTTTCTTAGAAGTTGGTTAAACGTTCCTGAGACACTTTGGTCTTTCAGACATTTAAGGGATTCATATTTCACCTATACCCATTCAAAACTGTATTCCCCTTTCACATTTACCTTGGTAAGAGCAACTTTCACTGAGCAAGGAGATTCAAAAGATGTTGTCAAAGAAGGACGATCAGTTTCTGAGCCCAGTGTTCATGGTGCCAAAGAGGGATGGAGGTCAATGACCCATCTCAAGGATGATCACCTCAGTGAACAAGTAGTGTCACATCTAATGTCCTCTGCTTTCACTGGAAGGTGGTCTTTACCACTTATGGTGCTTGCCTTTCAGAAAGCTACCAAGACCTGTTGTCAACATGATGACCTAAATGTTATGCCATCTCTAAACATTGTATTAAACTGAAAAAAAGTCATTTATCCCCAACTCAGTACTTACCATTCCTGGGGTTTCAGATCAACACAAGAGATCTGAACCCTTTCTTACCTCAGGAGAAGGAAGATTATATCGTAGCATGATGTTGTCACAAGAAACCTGGCAAGTGTTTATTGAAAAATTCAGCATTAATGAGAGCCATTGTTAAAGGGGCACTGATCTAAAGCAATTCCCAGGGACTGGTGGTTGCCTTTGTTATTGTTTTTTCCCCGTGAGTACCCGGATGATATGCAACGCAACTGAGCGTGTCAAGAGACTGGGTTACCGTCTGCAAGGACAGCTGAATAAACTTGGAGGCAATATTTGTTTTACTCATTTTTGAACACTGATTGGTTAACTGTGATCTATAAAGGTTTCGACAAAGGGCGCATGTTAATAAATTTCTTCAGCCTAAACAAACAGACAAAAAGAAGCTCATCGGATGTCGTCATTTGGAAATAGTTATATGATTGTTATAGTTTAATAATAAAAGAGTATGCATGCAGTGAAAGCATTTTCGGATTTCGGATAATATGATTACTACTCCCTTGTTGTCATCAACGTTTTCTGGTATAACCCTACCGTTGTGTATTTGTCGTCTTTCACTTGATGCTCAGTTAATGAATTTATTACAGGTATAATTAGTGGTAGCACCGCTCAGAATACTTGACAAAGGTTCCCATTTGGCATTTATTGTGTCTGGGGTAATTATTTAATCTAAATCCAGGTTTCAAGTGAGGTGAAATGTGTGTTATGTAATATGCACGTGGCAGCCCAGCAAGAGATGAATGATCAGTTGATTTACTTTTTTTGTAAATCAACGGATCATTCCTAGTCATAAAAGGATTAACAGAAAATACATTGATTAATCACTGTTATCTTGCACAGTGGATATGTCAAACGTGAGTGTTTACATGTCTAGGTTTACTAAAACAAAGGGAATACACTCATATCATGGCATGAACTGCCGATGTAAAAACAACATACTTTGTTCAAAGGGTTAACCAATAATATATTGATTGATTGCTCATTATTATCTAACTCAATGGATTTTTTTAGGAACCGAGGGCGTTATGAAAATAGTTGTCATGTGGGCTTTCTCAGCCGACCTTTGAGACATGACACCTTTGTGAAACACCTGAAACAATCTAAGTGATTGGTTGAGAAACTAACACCGGTCCTACTAAATAACGCCCGGGGGGCGTCCGGAAACGTTCGGGAGCATCAGGGCAATGCCAGGGAGCGTCCGGGAGAATGATACTAAATAATAAAGTGTATTCTATATAATTGTGTTCTTGTATTAATTATACAAAATAACATATAGCTGGAAAAAAATTACATACACCCCTATTCTTTTTAAATGGTGAATCTGCGAAGCAAATACGATTTGATTTTATTCGAACTGACGAGGTATTCGTAATGTAGGCTTTGAAGGATACAATGTAAATTTGCTTATGGAACAAAAATAATGTTCTTTTATAATGTCATATTCTGTATACTATTCCATTCTAATACTGAAACACAGACATTTTCAAAAGTTCATGCGTGGCCCCAGATGGTTCACTGAGTGTTAAATGTCCGGTACTATAGCGTCCGGGCAACGTCGGGGAGCATCTGGTGGGAGCGTCCGGGAGGTTCCATCAGACGTCCGGAAACGTGCAGCGGCCAGAAACTTACGGTTAATGGTACTTCCATTTTCTGGCCGCTGCACATGGCAAACACGTACGCCAGTTGATATTCTCACGATCTTACCAAACTGAAAAAGACATGTTTTATTGACTGCACTGTATTTTTAAACTCCCGGACGTCTGATGAAACCCCCCGAACATTTCCTGGACGCCCCCGGACGTTCTCGGACGTTAAATAGTAGGACCCACGTATACGGGTTAATATATCCCGAAACGATATAGATATTTTTTTAAATATTTGATTGTTACAGAGACACGTGACATCGAATATGTTTCTTTGTACAGCTGCAGACGTGTGGGATATTGTTCCTTTGTGTGGATATTCACGGATACATTCCTCGAACAAGGAAGCTGCCTAAAATTATACACATAAATTTGGTAGGTTGTAATTATGATATTTGCATTTTGTTTTCCTTCATTTGCTGTAGCATTGGACAGATTCATTCCTGTTCCTCTACGTCTTGGTTGGGAAATTATTCGATGCGCGATAGAAGTTGTTTTCACAAGTCTTTTCCTTTGTAAGCGTGTATATATTACAGTCAATTTGTAAAATGTGATTCTCTCAGGCAATTTATAAAATGTGTAAATATTTTGACTGAAAAATCTGTCCATTTCTTTAACAGATTGACTAAAACTGATTAAGACGATCAAAAGGGCCTATAAACGTCACAATAGATTATTATGTAGCATTAGAAGCCAAACAATATAGAAATGTACTTTTCATCCTAACATTTTCAGTCTCTTGGTGATGATATTAATTATAAAAATGTTTGGAATTTCGTTATCATAATAATACAGATGGACATATTTTTCAGTCAATTTGTAAAATAACTGAATATTCAGGCTTTTAATAAATTTCCTAAGTGAAAATTTTGCACATTTGGACTGTAAAAAAATATAAACACGATAAAATAAGCAATGTTCAGGAGAAATATTTACTTTGTGTTACAAGTCAAAATAGTGTAAACGAAAATCGCACAATTACCAAGCAAGTGACTTATCAAAAGTTCATCACCATTACCGATGCTACCCTCAAAGATACCTACATTTCCTTATTATTTCCAAAACTGTATTTCATTTTGTTGATAGATGTGACCAGACGCCCTTATACTATCAATAAAAGTGACAAATGCGCTTACGAATTGCGCAGCACAGGTCGCGAACTAGTCTAGGTTTCTGCTACATCATCCAGGTACTCAAGGGAAAAAACAATAACAAAGGCAACAACCAGTCCCGGGAATTGCTTTAGATCAGTGCCCCTTTAAAGCATGGCTTCACTGCAGCTACTTTCAAATACATGCTACATGGGGCTACTGCATCACCAGATTTACTAGACAGGATTTCACTGTCCTAGGGTTTGAATTCAAAGAGCCAAGTGATTTGGGGCCCATTTTTGATTGATTTGTTTTCCTCAGGACTTCGGGACCAGATGCAGCCCTTTTCTGGCAGGTGACCAGATCTTCTGGCTCAGTCAATAGAAGCCTATCAGATACAATGACACCGAAGGGAGGGGTACTTCATTCCCTGTATGGCAAAACCTATCATGGAACCATTTCTTGCTGGAGATGATGATTGTAATACCAAATCTCCTTCCACAAGTAACAAATCTGATATTCTCCCCACTGTGTGTCAAACAACACCTTTATATTAGAGGCCTGGAAAACCTGGCATCAAGATAATCAATACAGAACTGTTAACAACACTAGGTCTGCATTTCACTTAGCAGTAGAGGGTTATCCAGTTGGACAACACGTCCCTCAGCTAAGAAACTGATGATGTGATTCTTAAACAGAAACTCCAACCACAATGTCTTGGGATATGAATGTAGTATTAAGATACCTGAAACTGCTTGAGGAAAACACTGACTATTGTGCTGCCTAATAAGATACTGTCAAAGGTATTGGTGACCAAGTTGATGTTCACCTCAGCCAGATGATTAGCCTATGATAAAGAACTGTAGGCAGTGTCACACCATCTCCTAGGTCCTGTCCTGGTCAGTATGCTGTTTATCTGACCTAACATCATGGCCCTTCATACCTTGAGGTTATAGGCTTGGGTGACAGTGACGGTAAAGGTCAGGGGCATATTGCATTGGCAGGATGCTGATATACCGACCAGGTCGGTAACGAGCTGTACTCAGCCCCAGTCAACCCCCTTGCTCTGGTGGATGAGGAAATCTTGGCTATAATTTCCACCTCAGCTGACACAAGAAAGGAGGACACATCAGAGCAGGGTCAGACAGGTCAGTTTTAGCCATTGATTTCATTGGCCCTCCTTATGAGTTGCCAGAATAAGCCATGGTAGGGCAGGTTTAATACCAAATACATATCCTGAATAGATTTGCAACCAGCTTTTTCACCCCATTTGAAGCAGATTTAAGCAGACCTGTGGGGCTTGTCATCCTTGTCTCTGTGATATCGGATACAGTTTCACAGAGTTCTATTCCCTCCAAAGTCAAAACTATCCACCAGCTACTGTGTGCCACCACCACCTATCCAACCAGATTTGCTCTACACTTGCCTGGATCATGAATTCTTACCCCAGCCAATGCATTTTATGCATATCTCTTCCTGGTACTGAAGAGGTCAAGTGAAATGTCCTTGCATATCCTTTGGCAAACTCAGTCATTTTTCACAGATGCTTCAGAGGTCAGTTTTATAGCACATCTCTATGGAAGCTGGCAGGAAGAGTGAAGCTTTTGCATATGAGAGAATGGTGGTGGCAGTCAGTCTCAACAAACACAGAAGTGGAAGGCTCACGCCATTCACTCTTATTGTTAGGGTGGCAGCCAACATATTTCTGGAGGTCTGGTGCTTAAAGTACTTATTGCTTACATACTGAAGGTCCCTAGGCAGGGGAAAGGACCTTTGAAAGGATCACTCAAAACATCATTCATCATGTCAGTGTTGGGTTTTCATTTCTACACTTTGATGAGTAAAGATGTAGCAGCTGCATCCGTATCTATATGGTTGTTAGGACCATCCATGAAGTCTATGATGCTCTGGATGTGTCCGGCAGCAGTGTCACTCTACTAGCTACATAGTGGTGTAATCAGACTACCTTTTACTGGTTCCATATCAGGGTTTGCACTAAGAGTGACTGCACCAGTTGACTGTTCATGTGCCAAAGTTTTTGTCTGATTATCACACGTTCTGATAACTTAATATCCAAAATATATTCTGGCGAGGGACCCTCTATGTGTTGGGTGTCCTTTTTGGTGAAGTCTGGAATCTACCCACTTTTAAGCAATTTTGAAGCTTGCATGATGCAAATCAGCATTCATGTCAGCAGATCCACTCTGTGCCTGTGAGTGTGCATGCATGCATGCTGATTGCAAACTTTAAACATTCACCTACTTTTATCAATCATAATTACTTCAAGAGGTCAAGTGCTGCAACTCTGTCACTGGTAAATACTTAACAGACAGCTACACAATATTATCATCTAACATACCTCCTGTGCTGGTGGGATTGGTTGACATTGTTGTTGATACTTGTACTTCTGTGCTGCTTATTGTTGAAACTTGAGAACTACTCCCTGCAGTATTAGGAGAAGTTGCTGTCTGGGTGTGTGTTGCTTCAATATTGGAAGAACTTGTTATGTCTGAAGAGGGACTTGTCTGAGAAGATGTCATGGTTGGGGTCACACTCAAAGACAGCTGTGGGCTATCACTGGATGATAGCATCAGATCTGAGACAGGGAAGAAGAAAGTACTTCACAATATGGCTACATATATAGTATCTGTGTTGTTGTAGGACAGTGGAGTGTGTGATGAATGACAAGGTGCAAGAACATGGTTAAGTAGGTTATGCATGTACATACATTTCAGTTACACAGAAGTTGGGGGCATTTAGGAGGTTACAGTACCTGCTAAATGGTACTCAAACATTGTCAACAAACAACACTGGAGTACAGATACATCTATGAACACGCTTTTAGTTATGAATGAGTGCATGAGTCCATAGGCTATGAAACACCTGGTGTCTCCTGAGATCAAAATACTTTGTTCAAAATTAATGCAAAGCTGGAAATTCATGCAGCTGAAATATTCACACTGACACAACATATAAAGCTACATAACATATAGATGTAATACACACTATCAACAACATAAACAGATAGTTGGGCATATTCTCAAAAAGTTTAAATTGGCCAGCTAAAAATTAACACCAGATTCTTTATTCATATTTGTGTTCAATTTTTGTCAACAAGCTAAGATCATTCAAAACATGAGAGCACTTTAAGACAAATAATGTTCACATGACATGAATGTTTTGTTTTTCATCTTTCAAGCAGTCATCTGCATGAAACATATGAATATACTTTCAGACATTTAATTGTACATACTTTCAGCTAATTAATTGTACAATGGGTCAGTAGAGTGACTGTATAATCATGGAATCAGCAAAGAAGGGGGTGCTTGTATATTTCTTTAAGAGTCAGAGTTTATGTGACATTTTATGGGGTTGGATGATATTTCATTGGAATGAAACCTGTCTGTCAATGGGAACAATGATGTTGAAATAACCATTTGCATGTAATCAGCTGTGATCTGTCACCAACGTATGACAATTTCTTGTTTGATCATGCATGTATACATATATCCAACCATCAATCCATCCATCCATCCATCCATCCAGGCATGCACGCACGCACATATTCTGGATTCAGGTTAACGTCCTGTTTTATAGGAAGCCATTTCACTTACACTGACAGCATTTATCTTCCAATATTCATCTAGCAATTCTTGGTTGCAAACTTTAAACATTCACCTACTTTATATCAATCATAATTACTTCAAGAGGTCAAGTGCTGCAACTCTGTCACTGGTAAATACTTAACAGACAGCTACACAATATTATCATCTAACATACCTCCTGTGCTGGTGGGATTGGTTGACATTGTTGTTGATACTTGTACTTCTGTGCTGCTTATTGTTGAAACTTGAGAACTACTCCCTGCAGTATTAGGAGAAGTTGCTGTCTGGGTGTGTGTTGCTTCAATATTGGAAGAACTTGTTATGTCTGAAGAGGGACTTGTCTGAGAAGATGTCATGGTTGGGGTCACACTCAAAGACAGCTGTGGGCTATCACTGGATGATAGCATCAGATCTGTGACAGGGAAGAAGAAAGTACTTCACAATATGGCTACATATATAGTATCTGTGTTGTTGTAGGACAGTGGAGTGTGTGATGAATGACAAGGTGCAAGAACATGGTTAAGTAGGTTATACATGTACATACATTTCAGTTACACAGAAGTTGGGGGCATTTAGGAGGTTACAGTACCTGCTAAATGGTACTCAAACATTGTCAACAAACAACACTGGAGTACAGATACATCTATGAACACTCTTTTAGTTATAAATGAGTGCATGAGTCCATAGGCTATGAAACACCTGGTGTCTCCTGAGATCAAAATACTTTGTTCAAAATTAATGCAAAGCTGGAAATTCATGCAGCTGAAATATTCACACTGACACAACATATAAAGCTACACCACCTATAGATGCAATACACAAAATTATAATTCATAAAACATAGTAGATGTGATATTGGCATTTTCATCATGTTAACCCAGAAGAAGACCATTTGATTCAAAGTGACATACAATACCCATAAACCCTTCTTCACCATGGCTTCAAGCATCACACATATGTTTTGAGTGGCCACTACATATTTTGGGTATGTTTCCCTTTCCTTGGATGACTGTAATTGCAGGAATTCCTACACCAGTTGGTAACATGACAACACCATCTCTTCTGAGCTAAATGCGAGCAAAAACCTGCAGATTTTGACAGGAATTCTAAGTCTAAGCATTAGCACTCCTCTGGATTCATTTATTAGGGAGATGTGTTCACTTTCTCAGCCTTTGGTAAAAACACATCTCAAACACTTTCGTGCTTTAGACATTTAAGACGTTCAAAACTGTATTCCCCTTTCACATTTAGGACCGCCTCCATGGTCTTGTGGTAGAGCGTCCGCCCGTCCGGGGTTCGGTCTGGGGTTCGGTCCGGGGTTCGGTCCGGGGTTCGATCCCCGGCCGCGTCATACAAAAAGACGTTAAAAGATTGTACTTGTAGTTACCCTGTCTGGCGCTCGGCATTAAGGTGCTAAAACAAGGACTGGTCGGCTCAGAGTCAGTATACTGTGTCTGAGTGGGGTATTCATGTTAAACTGCGGCATGGTATCTCAGTGAGCTAGCACTATAAATCGGCATCAGTCCGGACTAGTACAAGCAGCTACACACACACATACACGTGCATGCACGTCGCTATATAAGTGCAATAATCTTGGACGCGACGTTAAACCCAATTTCACCTCACCTTTCACATTTACCTCAGTTACAGCAACTTTTACTGAATGAGAAGATTCAAAAGATGTTGTCAAAGAAGGATAGGGTTCCTGTACTTTCTCTAGAGCAAAGTCAGTTTCTGAGCCCAGTGTTCATTGTGCCAAAGAAGGATGGCAGTCAATGACCCATCACAAACATGAAAGCTCTAAATGTTTGTATTTCATGGAATCTGCACATTCTGAGAGATTTGATTTGTCAAGGTTATTTAATGTGTAAACTCGTTCTTAAGAATGATCAGCTCAGTGAACCAGTTGTGTACTTTTTTGACTGGAAGGGTGCTCCTTATACCAATTATGGTGCATGCCATTTTGACTAGCTTCTAAAACAGTACTTAACATTCTTCAGGTTTCAGATCAACACAAGAGATCTGACTCCTTACTTACCTCAGGAGAAGGAAGATGATATTTTTGCATTCTGTTGGCACAGGATGAAGGTAAAGAATACCCAAAAAACAACCTGGCAAGTATCTATTGAAAAAATCAGCATCCATGAGAGCCATTGTCAAAGCACATCTTCACTGCATCACCAGAGCTACAAGACATGATTTCACTGTCTCAGGGTTGGAAGAACTTCAATGGCAAGTCAATAAAGGCAACTCACCCAGACCTCATCTAACAAAATGATGTGTCACAACTGGGATGAGGTGAGAAATGTGGGCAAACGTCAACAGGTGACATCTTGATTCTGGAGGACAGAAAGTGGCTCATTTATGCCCTGCAGCTTCAAGTGAAAAACCAGACTGCCATGACTTATCTGAACTACTTGGTAGGGACCAAAGTGCAAACAATGGTGCACATTACCAAGAAGATTTTGGAGTTTTGTCTCAAGAGTCACCTGTCATTAACTGTAGTTTTCATTCGAATGGATGAGAACATCACAGCAGAAGGTGAGTCCCATCCTTCCAAATTGGGTAGGTCTTTCCCTGTATGACAGGAGATGTTGATTGTAATACCAATTCTCCTTCCACAAGTAGCAAATATCATATCCTCCCCACTGTGTATCAAACAACACCTTTATATTAGAGGCCTGGAAGGTTTCAGGCATGGTGACAATACAATAATGCCTGGAATAGGGCGTCTTGCAGGTGTCATCAAAGAAGTACCAATCCTTCTTGCCCCTTCAGAGTTTATAAATTAAGACTTCTTTACCTACTTAGACCTGTATGGGGGAACTATAAACACCAGAAGAACTGATTTCAACCAGCGGTTATCCAGTTCAACAAAACATCTCTTAGTTAAGAGACTGATTATGTGATTTTTAAACAGAAACCTCAAATTACAGTATGTTTTCAACATTTTGGCATATGGATTAAGATGCCTAATATTGCTTGAGGATAACACACTGCTGACTGATAAACTGTCAGAGATAATTGCAATACTGTTGATGCTCACCTCAGCGAGATGATTAGGTTATGATAAGGGATGATAGGTGCTGTCACACATCTCCTAGCTCCTGACTTGGTCAGTGTGCTGTTCATCAGAGCTGATCACTCCAGCTATTCAGGTGGAACTAATGGCTTGATCTATGATGTCTAACACCATGGTCCTGCATACCTTGGGCTAACAGGCTCAGGTGATGGTGGGACAGATGGACATATAATAACCAGACCCCTTTACCCTTTTTGATGAGGATCTGCCAGCTAAAAAATCCACCCTAGATGATCCAAATACGGAGGATGCTATAGCTGTCCCTCAACACTTCACAGCAGACACCAGTCATGTATGCACACTTGTATAGGGTCTTCGTTTTCCTTGGGGACTTGGTGGCCTTTGGTAGTTGGTCCATTTGCTGGATACCAGCCACCAACAGCTAGCTGCCTAGGGGGTCAGGCATGCCAGCTTGGGCTATTGATTTGATAGGCCCTTACCATGTGTTGCCAGCCAGGCATTTTATTGAAAAATATAAATTGTCCCAGTAAATTCTTAAGAAATATATTTGAGAAATTGTCTTCCAAAAAATTACATTGTTGCAAAGATAAAAAAATTTTCAAATATTCATGTTCATAGTTTTATTTAGAATATTATCTGGTTATGATGTAACTGAAAAATATCTAATCTTCAGACAAAATCCCAGAACCCCCCTTCCCATCGCCCCCAGAGAATACCCATAATACAAATAGTCCCAAGGAACTGTCCAACAGTCACACTCAGGTGTTTTCTTGCATGGTTGTCCTGAGTGTGCCTCTACTGAGAGACAACTGTGGTGGGAGAATCAGTCTCATACTAAGTGCTGCTGGATTCCTTGTATTCAATGGTCAATGGACGTCTTCTTTAGTTGTTTTTAAGTTGCTCATACTTGTACCATTTCCTCTTATATCTCAGTTATGTTTGACAATTCCACAGTGTGGAGATCAGCCTTTTTTGGAGACTCAGTGCTCAAGGAACTCATGGCTTCCATATTGGGCAGAGGAAAAGCATTACCAGACTGTGCTTGTGATTCTCCATGCCTTTAGAAAGGACCATTTGAGCCCATGTTTAAAGCAACTCTTAATTTGGGGTGTTTTACGGATCAATGGGAAAAAAACCTTTAACCCCAATAATTCAACGATAAAAACATTACACTAACGTAACATTGTCTATGCCACTACATCTTTATTCAATAAGTCTTGGCAGCCTAATTACCTTGGGTGTGGATTAGTCAACTAACCCTTATATAACCCATAGTATACCACAAATACGTGGAAGTGAGCATAAGTATCAGTCTGAAAGTGTAAATAAATATGTGTACATTGTACTAGTCATGTCTTGACCTTACTGGGCCAAGATATCCCCTAAATTGAACATGATACTGTAATATACTGTATATGCATCTTTGACAGGTGGTAAACATTGAATGTAAACATGTTATTTCACAAAACCTACCTGATCCGTTGTGGGATGACAAGCTTAATACAGATGTCTCTGATGATGTCTTGGATATAGTCATTGAAGCAGTCACTGAGGTTGGAGAAATTGCATGTGCAAGACTCTCAGAAGTCACATTTACTGATTCAGCAGATGATGACAACATTGGGGTTACAGATAATGTGCTTGCTAAGCTTCCTGAATATGTTGGTGATGTGGTATCAGAGGATGACATTTGTCCACTTGCAGTCATTTCACTGGTTGATGTTTCTGATGATGTCATGGGCATAGTCATTGAAGCAGTCACTGACTGTCTTGTCACAGATGGATCAGTAGAGGTTGCCGAAGATGTCAGTGCTTGACTCTCGGAAGCCAACTTAACTGATTCAGCAGATGATGACAACATTGGGGTTACAGATAATGTGCCTGCTAAGCTTCCTGAATATGTTGGTGATGTGGTGTCAGAGGATGAGAATTGTCCACTTGCAGTCATTCCACTGGTTGATGTTTCTGATGATGTCATGGGCATAGTCATTGAAGCAGTCATTGACTGTCCTGTCACAGATGGATCAGTAGAGGTTGCAGAAGATGTCAGTGCTTGACTCTCGGAAGCCAACTTAACTGATTCAGCAGATGATGACAACATTGGGGTTACAGATAATGTGCCTGCTAAGCTTCCTGAATATGTTGGTCCACTTGCAGTCATTCCACTGGTTGATGTTTCTGATGATGTCATGGGTATAGTCATTGAAGCAGTCACTGACTGTCCTGTCTTAGATGGATCATTAGAGGTTGCAGAAGATATCAGTGCTGAAATCTCAGAGGATGACATTTGTCCACTTGCAGTCATTCCACTGGTTAATGTTTCTGATGATGTCATGGGCATAGTTATTGAAGCAGTCACTGACTGTCCTGTCACAGATGGATTAGTAGAAGTTGCAGAAGAAGTCAGTGCTTGACTCTCAGAAGCCACATTTACTGATTCAGCAGATGATGACAACATTGGGGTGACAGACAATGTGCCTGCTAAGCTTCCTGAATATGTTGGTGATGTGGTGTCAGAGGATGACATTTGCCCACTGATTGATGTCTCTGATGATGTCATGGGCATTGAAGCAGTCACTGACTGTCCTGTCACAGATGGATCAGGTGGGGTTGCAGAAGATATCAGTACCAGACTCTCAGAGGATGACATTTGTCCACTTGCAGTCATTCCACTGGTTGATGTCTCTGATGATGTCATGGGCATAGTCATTGAAGCAGTCATTGACTGTCCTGTCACAGATGGTTCAGTAGAGGTTGCAGAAGATGTCAGTGTTTGACTTTCAGAAGCCACAATTCCTGTTTCAGCTGATGATGACAACATTGGGGTTACAGATATTATATCTGCTAAGCTTCCTGATAAGGTTTGTGATGTGGTTACAGAGGATGACAAATGTCCACTTGCAGTCATTCCACTGGTTGATGTTTCTGATGATGTCATGAGCATAGTCATTGAAGCAGTCACTGACTGTCCTGTCACAGATGGATCAGTAGAGGTTGCAGAAGATATCAGTGCTGGAATCTCAGAGGATGACATTTGTCCACTTTCAGTCATTCCACTGGTTGATGTTTCTGATGATGTCATGAGCATAGTCATTGAAGCAGTCACTGACTGTCCTGTCTCAGATGGATTAGTAGAGGTTGCAGAAGATGTCAGTGCTTGACTCTCAGAAGCCACATTTACTGATTCAGCTGATGATGACAACATTGGGGTTACAGATAATGTGCCTGCTATGCTTCCTGAATATGTTGGTGATGTGGTATCAGAAGATGACAATTGTCCACTGATTGATGTCTCTGATGATGTCATGGGCATTGAAGCAGTCACTGACTGTCCTGTCACAGATGGATCAGTAGAGGTTGCAGAAGATATCAGTGCTGGAATCTCAGAGGATGACATTTGTCCACTTGCAGTCATTCCACTGGTTGATGTTTCTGATGATGTCATGGGCATAGTCATTGAAGCAGTCATTGACTGTCCTGTCACAGATGGATCAGTAGAAGCTGCAGAAGATATCAGTGCTGGAATCTCAGAGGATGACATTTGTCCACTTTCAGTCATTCCACTGGTTGATGTTTCTGATGATGTCATGGGCATAGTCATTGAAGCAGTCACTGACTGTCCTGTCACAGATTGATCAGTAGAGGTTGCAGAAGATGTCAGTGCTTGACTCTCAGAAGCCACATTTACTGATTCAGCAGATGAAGACAACATTGGGGTTACAGATAATGGGCCTGCAAAGCTTCCTGAATATGTTTGTGATGTGGTATCTGAGGATGACATTTGTCCACTTTCAGTCATTTCACTGGTTGATGTCTCTGATGATGTCATGGGCATAGTCATTGAAGCAGTCACTGACTGTCCTGTCACAGATGGATTAGTAGAGGTTGCAGAAGATGTCAGTGCTTGACTCTCAGAAGCCACATTTACTGATTCAGCAGATGATGACAACATTGGGGTGACAGACAATGTGCCTGCTAAGCTTCCTGAATATGTTGGTGATGTGGTGTCAGAGGATGACATTTGCCCACTGATTGATGTCTCTGATGATGTCATGGGCATTGAAGCAGTCACTGACTGTCCTGTCACAGATGGATCAGGTGGGGTTGCAGAAGATATCAGTACCAGACTCTCAGAGGATGACATTTGTCCACTTGCAGTCATTCCACTGGTTGATGTCTCTGATGATGTCATGGGCATAGTCATTGAAGCAGTCACTGACTGTCCTGTCACAGATGGATTAGTAGAGGTTGCAGAAGATGTCAGTGCTTGACTCTCAGAAGCCACATTTACTGATTCAGCTGATGATGACAACATTGGGGTTACAGATAATGTGCCTGCTATGCTTCCTGAATATGTTGGTGATGTGGTATCAGAAGATGACAATTGTCCACTGATTGATGTCTCTGATGATGTCATGGGCATTGAAGCAGTCACTGACTGTCCTGTCACAGATGGATCAGTAGAGGTTGCAGAAGATATCAGTGCTGGAATCTCAGAGGATGACATTTGTCCACTTGCAGTCATTCCACTGGTTGATGTCTCTGATGATGTCATGGGCATAGTCATTGAAGCAGTCATTGACTGTCCTGTCACAGATGGATCAGTAGAAGCTGCAGAAGATATCAGAGCTGGAATCTCAGAGGATGACATTTGTCCACTTGCAGTCATTCCACTGGTTGATAATTCTGATGATGTCATGGGCATCGTCATTGAAGCAGTCACCGACTGCCCTGTCACAGATGGATCATTCAAGGTTACAGAAGATATCAGTGCTGGAATCTCAGAGGATGACATTTGTCCACTTGCAGTCATTCCACTGGTTGATGTTTCTGATGATGTCATGGGTATAGTCATTGAAGCAGTCATTGACTGTCCTGTCACTGATGGATCAGTAGAGGTTGCAGAAGATGTCAGTGTTTGACTCTCAGAAGCCACAATTCCTGTTTCAGCGGATGATGACAACATTGGGGCTACAGATATTGTATCTGCTAAGCTTCCTGATGAGGTTTGTGATGTAGTATCAGAGGATGACAATTGTCCACTTGCAGTTATTCCACTGGTTGATGTTTCTGATGATGTCATGGGTATAGTCATTGATGCAGTCACTGACTGTCCTGTCACAGATGGATCAGTAGAGGTTGCAGAAGATATCAGTGCTGGAATCTCAGAGGATGACATTTGTCCACTTTCAGTCATTCCACTGGTTGATGTTTCTGATGATGTTATGGGCATAGTCATTGAAGCAGCCACTGACTGTCCTGTCACAGATTGATCAGTAGAGGTTGCAGAAGATGTCAGTGCTTGACTCTCAGAAGCCACATTTACTGATTCAGCAGATGATGACAACATTGGGGTTACAGACAATGTGCCTGCTAAGCTTCCTGAATATGTTGGTGATGTGGTGTCAGAGGATGACATTTGCCCACTGATTGATGTCTCTGATGATGTCATGGGCATTGAAGCAGTCACTGACTGTCCTGTCACAGATGGATCAGGTGGGGTTGCAGAAGATATCAGTACCAGACTCTCAGAGGATGACATTTGTCCACTTGCAGTCATTCCACTGGTTGATGTCTCTGATGATGTCATGGGCATAGCCATTAAAGCAGTCATTGACTGTCCTGTCACTGATGGATCAGTAGAGGTTGCAGAAGATGTCAGTGTTTGACTCTCAGAAGCCACAATTCCTGTTTCAGCTGATGATGACAACATTGGGGCTACAGATATTGTATCTGCTAAGCTTCCTGATAAGGTTTGTGATGTGGTATCAGAGGATGACATTTGTCCACTTGCAGTCATTCCACTGGTTGATGTTTCTGATGATGTCATGGGTATAGTCACTGATGCAGTCACTGACTGTCCTGTCACAGATGGATCAGTAGAGGTTGCAGAAGATATCAGTGCTGGAATCTCAGAGGATGACATTTGTCCACTTGCAGTCATTCCACTGGTTGATGTTTCTGATGATGTCATGGGCATAGTCATTGAATCAGCCACTGACTGTCCTGTCACAGATGGATCAGTAGAGGTTGCAGAAGAAGCCACATTTACTGATTCAGCAGATGATGACAACATTGGGGTTACAGGTAATATGCCTGCTATGCTTCCTGAATATGTTGGTGAAGGTGTATCAGAAGATGACAATTGTCCACTTGCAGTCATTCCACTGGTTGATGTCTCTGATGATGTCATGGGCATAGTCATTGAAGCAGTCACTGACTGTCTTGTCACAGATGGATCAGTAGAGGTTGCAGAAGATACCAGTGCTTGAATCTCTGAAGACAACATAGGCATATCGGAGGATGCCATTTGTCCACTTGCAGTGCTGCTACTGGTTGATATCTCTGAGGTTGTCAAGGTTGTTGTCGTTGTTGATGGCAGTAAAGCGGTTTCAGCTGAAGCATTACAGATTTCCATCAGGGAATGTGTATGCTGATGACACAAATCTTGGCCATCTGCCAGCATTCTACCTATGCAATGCCTAAAGAGCTGATCTGCCTGACTACTTTTTGTCTAATCAACTATGTTAATGTAGAATTCAAGGCTCTACCAACAAGACAGTGGATCAGAGAATCATGAATGAATGTCACAGCAAGTTATTTTCCAGCTATATTATAGCAGTAAACAAATCTTGATACCATAATATACGTACCAGAACAGGGACATGGGTTTCTGAAAAATGACTCTATGCATTCTAATGCATCTTTTGCTAAAATTAATAATTCTGACAAAAATGGTTGAAAGCATTTCCGACACGAAAGCACTCAAAGCAAAATTCACTCAAGATTAATGGCTAAAAACCATAAATATGGTAACTACAGAATATATATATCATCTTCAAACATAATGACATTGAACAAATTATTTCTTATGACATATTATTTGGTCATAAACATAGGAAAAAATGGCATGACCATTAGTGTCTTTAAGTGGCATTTTAACAAGAGTGAGTATCAATTCATATTGATACAAATGTATTTTATGCATACATGATTTCTATGGCAAACTCTTGTAAATCCAGCTGAGAACAGTTTAACACAACACAGTAATCTAAAACAGCTCCCAACACAGCTCGGAAAGTAGGATAGTGGGCAGACAAATTCATGAAACATCTAAAAACCCTCCAAAGAATATAGATATATTTCAGCAACAGCAACAAAGAGTATTAGATCACTCTGGGTGAATGTTCTCGTTAAGTTTAAGTTTTTTTTAATAGAAAAAAAATAAGAAAGAAGTCACTTTTCTAGAATGTCATGTCTATATCTAAAGGCCCAGAAATGGTTTTTTTCAATTTCATGAAGACTAATAAATATTTGTTACTTGTATCCAATGGTATGCATGCATTAATTGGATTGTTTGTTGTATAATACGGCACACAGCAATATTCCAGCTATATGATGGCAGACTGAAAATAATCAAGTATGGACCAGACAATCCAGTGATAGGCATCATGAGCATCAACCTATGCAACAGGGATATGATGACATGCATCAAGCCAATCAGCCATCTTGACCACCCAATCCTGTCAGTTGTCTCTCATGACAAGCATTGGTTGCTGAAGGCCAATTCCAGCATGGATCCCCATGGATGGCATGCATCAAAAGGCCAACATAGGTAACTGTACTATACTTTAGTCACATTGACATCAAGAGTGATTTTGAAATACATGAAAACACGTTTCCCTTGAAGAAGGAAGAAACGTAACTCATCAACCAACCTGCCTTATTTTTATAAAACAAAGAAACAAGAAACAAAAGATGTATAATTTGCAAATGTCTAAATACATTATAGGTGTACATATGGTCTAAAAAAAAAAGTCTCAATGAGAATATCATAATTCTAAGAAACATGATTAGTGTTATGTATCCACACTAGATATGCATTCGACTAAATCTAGCAATGCATTACATTGTGCAATTGTGAAATAATGTTAAATGTGGTTAAAAAGGATCAAAATTTCACATGGACACTAGTAAAGGATAGATGAAAAATTTGTTCATTTCAAATTCAATATGAATATGGTATTTACTGTTTACTTAGTTATTTTCATACTTTGTGAAAAGTTTAAAAACTCAATGACATTATTGTATCAGATATGTTGTCTACATATTTTATTTCACTTACTTGATGAATGGAAAATGTGCCATGATCTAGTTACATATTACATTGAAATACGTGCCTGAATTTAAGATCACAATTTACATAACAATATTTCTGATAGACTTCGTTACATACATGACCTAAATTGACATTGGAATACTTATAAAAATAGAAAAGATGCCTTACCTGTTGTTGAAAACATGGTTGTGGATGGTGTGATTGATGAAACTTGAGATGGTGGTATGAGCACAGCTTCTGCAATTTCTTTGGTGCTGTTCTTGAAATTCCAGTTTTCAATTACAAAAGGTGAAAAGACATTTGTTGTTACAGATTTTCCAACATAAAAATTGCTTGGAGCAGTCAACATTGTTGAGTTCCTTGTTATGAAGCTTGTGGTTTGTGCTGTCAGCGCGCCATCAAAGTAGAGAGAAAGCCCCATCTGAACACTCCACGTGAACTCTATAGAAAAGAAAGTGTTTTCTGAGAACTGTGTTGTGGTGACTGTCCATATCTGGGTGGTGGTGCTCACAGTGCAGTAGAAGCGCCTCTCACGGATGTACATCGCTACACCATACCCAGCACTTTCCTCTCCTCCATTGGAAAATATAGTCATTGTGCTTCTGATCTCTGTGATCTTCAAGTTGAAGCCGATGGTGAACCCAAGTGCACATTCAGTAGGGTTCCATAGGCAGTTTCTAGGCAGCGTGCTGAAGTCAATGTATTGGTCTAAACCATTCAGAAGACATGCTTTCCCACCATCCATGCCCTCTACCAGAGTTGGGCTGCCAACTACAGGAATGTTAATGTCTTGTGTCACAAGCACAGAGTTCTTGATCCCCAGGAAGATGAACTGTACTATTATAATGTCTGATTCTGAAACAGTAACATGTGAGAACGTAATTGTAATTAACTATTAAGTAAGAAGGTTACAACAGGAGCTAAAGTTTATTCTTGTGAAGTTCAACCTTGTATAATAACAGATTTATTACCAAATCTGTGTAAATATTATGAAGGTTACTTTATGTCCCAATTAGCAATACATCTTCACAAAAACCTCATTGACCTGCATACAGATGAGAATGACACATAAACACCTGCCAACAGAGGATCTGATTCTTCCCACAGGTAGGTAATTCTAGTAAAACCGCGATATTTCTTATATTTATATACTTATCCTGCATTACTCTTCAATGCATTCACTACTTACTTTTGACAGAAATGAAGCTGTGATTGGTCCAGCTGATGAGAAGGAAAAAGGTTGTTCCATTCCAGAAGCAGGACCCCCAATCATCATCTGCCATGTCATGCAGAAAGTGGTGACGTCACAGAACTTTCATATTACTGTTGGTCACAAGTAAATTGTCTAAAGTTATTGTTGGGAGGCAGGTCTGTGACGGATAGGCCCTTAAATAAAGTAATGCAGGATACATATACAAATATAAAAAAACTAGATTTTACTAGATTTTTTAACTTATCCTGCTTTACACCTCACTACATCTGTATCTGACAGTATGGAGGCAGGGATACCTTCAGATGTTTCCTCAGTTATATAAACACTCTCATGGCTTGCAGTCGTGTCAGTCACACAGTGCAATTCTTCTGCGCAGATTGGTAACTGATCAACCAATGCTATCCAAGGAAAGGTAACAACAGCACAGGAGGGTAAACAATCAGTAAGAGCGAAAGCATGCACTAGGGTCTAAAAACTGGATTACTAAGCCAAGACTGCATTAAGGCAGTTTCGGTATCTTGATTATTTTATGATCTTCCGAGACTGCCAATACTGAATTTAATGTACCAAATACATGGTAATGGTGCTACACTTCAAGTGTCGTTTGGTATGTAAGTGTAGAAGATACTCAGCCAAGAATTGAGGCAAGGTTTTAGTGGAATCTTGAGCCGTTTCCTTACAATAGGACAAATGATAGCCACTTATTGTATTCAAGTCAAGGGTCTTTGTGCCATTGCAATGGCCTACACTGCTCATTACGAATGACATTGGGCTATAAACCAGGCATGCAGATGAACCTGCCTGGCATGGGGAGTGGTCACCTGCTGTGTGGGTGTACGAGTAGGTTTAGTAGAGGTGGTGGATCGCTTCCTGCAAGGTTACTTAGGTCCACAAACCACCCTCTTGTCAGCCACCAAGGTGCTATCAAAACGAGGCTTCTGGTTGCCCTTATCTTTTGCATCACCTTAAGAAGAAGTACTCTGGTGGAAAAGCATACGCTCTTAACCTCTCCCAAAGGATGCTTAGCACATAGACAGCCCATGACCTGTGGATCCGGTATTGGTGAGACGTACATTTGGATCTGGCAGTTATGGAGTGTGGCAAATAGGCCGATGTTGATTTTATCTAGGCTCTGACAGCTGGATGAGAAGGAGTGCCTCTGGGTGAAGCTTCCACTCCATGGATGCCACACTGCCTGGCCTGGATTGGGCTTCTCCCAGGAGATTCCGACAAACAGGTATGTGCTGGACCAAGAAGCAGTTGATCCACCAGGTTGAAAAAGCTGAACATCTGTTTGAGCAGAGAGTATGAGTAAGTGGTTCCCTGCTTTCCCAGGTGCCAGACGACTGTGATGTTGTTGGTGGAAATAGCTGTTTCCATCCAAGAAAGTTGGGTGTTTCTTAGGTGCTCCTTCCAATGTGTTATCACCAGTATGAGCGCCTTTAACTCTAGGTGTGCCACGTGCACTATGCACCAGACCACAGCCCTGAGTCTGTCTGATCCTCAGGATGCGCACCCCAAACCTGCAGAGATGCGTCTACGAATAGACGTGATGATGGGGATAACTCTTTTAAGGAGACACCTCCTTACACATTTGACTCTTACCATCCACCAATTGAGGTGAGTGCTGAGGTCGGCCGGTAGAGCGATGGATATGGACAGGTCCTGCCATCTGATGTAAGGAGCCAGGAACTGTTGGATCAGACATAATTGCAACCGACCCCTGATCATCAAGTCCTTTGCTGACGGAAGCAGTTCCAGAAGCACTTGCACTTGGTGAAGTGTGAAGGGTTGCTGAAGGGCCGGGTAAAGATGGCATAGGATCTAGATCCATTTGTGTCTTGGGACTGTTAGGAGGTCTAGATCCGTCTGGAACAGACCTCCAATGAAGTGAGTCGGTAGGATGGGATTAGTTCCGACTTTGCCTCATTTACTCCAACCCAGTTGATAAAGCAGGCGCCTGGTGAAGTCCTGGTGACAGGTTAGGATTGCTGCTACTGGATGATTCAGTATGTATGAATGACTCAAACAGAATGTTCCTCAGGTGCAGATAGGCAGGTATTGGCTTGGTAAGATGGGTAAAAAGCCATGGGGCCACTGAGTTGCCAAATGGCTGGATAGCCCACTGGTAGTGGATACCATTGAACTGGAACCCGAGGAACCGCCATCGCTGGGATGGAGGGGAACATGCAGGTATGCATCCTGCAAATCAAGGCTGATCAGGGAGTTGTAAGAATTGATCCTGCCCCTGAGCAGTTATCTTGTTTGAATTCGGAGAGTAGAATGCCGGTGCTAAGGCTGGGATCTGCACAACCTCTTTGGCACTTTTCCCAAACAAAGTCTGTAGGTTGGCCCCCAAAGGTTGATTTTGTTTTTTTGGGTAGAGCTTTGGAGCTGGTGCCATTATCAACAGTGAGTCTGCCTTCAAGTTGAGGCGATACCTGTACCTTATGATGTACCAATCCAATGTTTCCAAAACAGGCCTAGTCTCCCACCTACTGGTGTGTCAACTATTGGGACGACTGGAGGTGGGAGATCCCAGTCGTGATTGTCCATTGAGTCAATGTTTCCTCAACAAGTCACTGCTCCAACCTGGGAATTAACCCTACGGGTCCTTTCCCTTGAAAAGAGGACTGATCAGTGGTCTGGTCCTTGAGGGATGATCGCCTTAGTCGATAGGTGCCTGACTTAGATGCACGATGGCCAAGGTTCTGGGATACATGTTTCACAGCCTTGACTGTAACTCAAGACCCTGGTTTGCGTGTTAATAATCTGGCAAGTGCTGTGGAAGGCTAATAGGTTAATAGGCCTGGACGAGCCTGTCATCCTATGGAGATTCTCTTCAAAGTCGGAGCATGGTGTGCCACCCCGAAGGCATGTATGGGAAAATTATCCCTTCTAAACTTGGGACACATTAAATTGCTGTCATGAGGGTCATTTGAGAAAAGTCCTCATCCAGCTCTCTGGCCATATCCTCCAACATGGAATCAGGTGGGATGGAAGTTAGGCTCTTGTAGACACCTGAGCCAGAGGAGGGCACTACCGCTGAGAGATGGTCAGCCATCCAGTCTGGCATCTGGGCAAGACCAAGGTGTGTGTCGAACTCCACAAGACTGTCAAAGGACTTAGCTAATAAACCCTTAGAGGTGTCCGACAGATAATGCTCGGAACAGCAGACAGGAGAGCGGCTCCTGGAACATCATTTGGACTTAGGCACCCCTGAGGTGATCCTTGACAAAAATGGGGTACCTAAGCCTAACCCAGGTGCAGCCATGGACGTAGATGGGATTTAAACAGTTGCCATTGTCTTGGATATTACAAAAGCTTGGGTAGCTGTGCTAATCAGTGGTGCGTGTGATGTGCAAGGCTCCAAGAGAGCTGATGTAGGTCGCTGATAGGGGGGAACAGGTGCCTGAACCAAAGGGAGGCATGTGTGCTTGTTGAAACATAACATGCATAATTGATTGCATCCATGTTGGTCCATGGAAGAAGCTTGTTGAGCTTGTGGTGCTGCCGGGACCCAGGATGTGAGGTGAATAAATGGCCATGATCACTGCAGGTGTACACATTAGGCCCAAAGGCGCAACCAAGGTAGAGTTAGGAGGCACCAACATCCTGGCTGTAGCCAGTGGCGGCATCAAGGTAGACGCCTGAAGGAGCTGGTCTAGTAGATGTGACCTCAGGTGCATAGACGGGTTCTGCAGCAGACATAGTTGATGCAGTAAGCCATGGAGAAAGTGGAGAACAAAAATTACACTTGATTCTGGAAGTACTAATCTGAGTGCAATTTAAACACCGAGTGTGAAGATCCCTGGTAGATTTTTTACCCCAGCAATTAGTGCAATGTCCAAGGATAAATTGCAAACCAAACTAAGCTGAAGTTGTAAACAAGTTGAGTGTCCAAATTTATTACATTGGACAAAAAAAGTTCATTAAAGATAATGGATTTATGCAGAAGTTACGAATATAGTTTCATATAAATAATGCAAACGAGACACCTGCAATTCACAGGGGGAAGGAACTAAGTTGAAAGTTTAGCTGAAGCAAAACAGCATAATTTTGGGACCAATTTAGCAGTACAGGTTATCTGTTCTGTGACCAACAGTGATATGAAAGTTCTGTGACGTCACAACTTCTGGCATGACATGGCAGCTGATGACTGGGGATCCTGCTTCTGGAATGGAACAACTTTTTTTCTTCTCATCAACTTGAATTGACCAATCACAGCTATTTTTCTGTCAAAAGTAAGCAGTGAATGCATTAAGGAGTAATGTAGAATAAGTTAAAAATTCAGAGGTTTTAAACAGATATTAGATGCAGATTTTGACTTGGGAGTTTGAACTGTTAATTTCATGATGTGGCAACAGTTGAGTCATTTATTTTCAAATTGTTGAATGGTCGAATTCAAAGATTAGCAACAATTGCTTTTAATCTGTCTATGTATTTGTTTCTTGAACTCAATACAACATTTTAGTCCTTATATTTAAATGAATTAATTAACATTATCTAGCACAGATATCATAAATGCATTATTTATATGGTTCTCCCCAGACAAAATGAAGCAACTCTTCCAATAATATTTTCTAAAATATACGCCCATATTATGACAAATAATACATCATAATACTCTACAGAGATTGAGACATTGTAGATATGAAGTCACAGAATGTGATAGAGCATAGCAAGAAAAAAGGTATGTTGAAGTAACTGAATGTTCTCTGTGTCATTGTTCTTCAGATTTTTATTACAAAAAAGATATTCTAGGACCTGCTACGACCTTCATCAATTAAATAAAGTAAAATCGGAATTTGAAATTGACTACTGTTTGTATTTAAGAAAGAAGTGTTTTGGCTAAATTAATATTTTCTAATGGTGGACCAATCAGAATGCCGGATTCTCAAATGTCATGTTAGAATTAGACTTACGAGGGATTGGAACCCATGACGTGCCACCACTAACACAGCGTTCCACAGGATTGTTGATGTTGACAAAGCCATTGCCGTAACATGCATCATCGATGATGCAGACATCTTCCTGAATTCATGGAGGAAAATATGTGAGTTAGTTAGGATGGATGTGCTCTATTCAGCAATATTCCAGCAATATCTTGGTGGTAGATACAATAAATGGTCTTCACACATTGCATTCACCACTAGGCTACCCCAAAGCCCCACACATAGATTAAAAGCTGATAAAAGAAACATTATCTCACATCTGATCAAAGCACTTTGGCCAAAAAGTTATTTGCTTTTAATTACATACCAGACACCAGATGTAATCAGAACAAGAACATTACTTTCAACCTTTTACATATCAATACTGTAAACTTCAGGAATCAGTATGTCGGGTAATGGAACATGCAGTACGAAAGTATCTGACCTTCTTGCTACAGGCATCTGCTGTACATGACAAACACACAGAGTCATAGGCCAGGAATAGGACAGACGAACTGTTGATCGTCTCCGAGACAAACACAGACACATTATAGACACCAGTTGCGTTCAGATTACATCTCACTTCCTCAGATGAGATATATGTTGCAGTGACATAACCTGTCTCTCCTGTTGATTTGATGCTGCCACTGTCTTCCAGCTAAAATATTGGAAAGGTCCTTTTACACATCTCATTGGGCAAATTCACCACAAATGTGAAATATACTGCAATGACATATTAATAGCCTTACGCGTTTGTGTAGTATGATATTTTATACTCTACATACATGTATATGAATAATTGTGAAGTGAAGAGGATCATCACAGTTGATACATGAAAGTCATGCTGTATTCAGTGATACCATAAGATGCTCTCTGTGGCAGTTATGTGTACCTTCAGTATTTCAATGGAACATTTGAGCTGTTCTGTGTTAGCAAAGCCTTCTCCATAAACTGCAACAGTCAGACATTTGTCCAGCTGGGTGTCACAGGTTGGATCAGGTGGTGTGTACACGAAGGGGGGAGCTGTCAGGCTGATAGAACAGTCATCCCCACTGTAACCATCATCACAGCTACACAGACCTGGGGATGAATATACAATTAATAAAACATTGGCATATTCTGAACACAAACTGGTGTTCCATATTCTAAACACAATATGGCGTTCCAAATTCTGAACACAATCCAGCATTCCATGTTCTTAACACAATGTGGTGTTCCATATTCTGATCACAATCTTGTTCCATATTCTGAACACAACCTGGTGTTCCATATTCTGAACACAACCTGGTGTTACATATTCTGAACACAACCTGGTGTTCCATATTCTGAACACAACCTGGTGTTACATATTCTGAACACAACCTGGTGTTCCATATTCTGAACACAACCTGGTGTTACAATTTCTGAACACAACCTGGTGTTCCATATTCTGAACACAATCTGATGTTCCATATTCTGAACACAATCTGATGTTCCATATTCTGAACACAACCTGGTTTTCTTTAATATAATTCACATTGCAAAATGTTATGGTTCAGAAACTATAAAATGACCAAATATTTCCTGGCCTGGTACTGATTTTTGTAATCTTACCATCACTGCAGTTGCCATGGTCACTGCAGTCACCAGGACAGAGCACGCCCAGGAGGGCAACTGGGGGCTGAACCACACCATTGGTTTCCTGCCATAGCTCAAGGTCAAACAGGACCTTTGTCTCACATTTAACAAGGATGTTGTTGAGTGCAGATGCTGCCCACTCCTTGTCATCCATGATCTGCACATTGAGGGACATGATGGATGTAATCATTTCAAAACAGTGCATATTACAAACAAAAGATTTATATAAACATAATCTTTAAATAAGTTACAGAGTTGCCTAAAACATAAATACCAATTTACATTTTAATGTATCAAGACTGTGTCATATAATGCTTCTTCACCTGCTAACTCTCACACCTTTAGAAGTAAAGTAATTTTATTATACTCATTGATCAATAATTTAGCTGCCCTAAAATGGTAGTCCCAACACATTAATATTTCCTTTTGTTCATAGCACCTGTATATCCTCCACACAGGATTCCAGTCCTGCTGTGAATGTGGCCTGGACAACACTTTGACAGGCCTTGGCTGATGTCCTTTCTTGTATATAAGTCTTGCACTGATCCACAGCATTTTCATAGGTAATGTTACTTGGAGTTGGCCAGGTAAATTCCTGAAAATATTCAACAATTAAAACTTGTAAATATATGTGTGTTGCATATCAAGTAATAAAATTATGACACACAGATCACCATTTGAAGGATATTCCTGAGGTCAACTTTCTCAAACTAATAATAGGAAAAGGTTGATAGATTACCACAAACAGTTCTGCAAGCTTGTATTTGATAGAAAATATAATGAAACTTACAGCTGTTACATAGGCAATGTCAAACTTCCAGGCTACAAGTGACTCTTGTGATAAACACTTCTTTGGGGGATTTTCTGAGTACTGTGACTTGAGGAACGCTGTTGTCATGTCAACACCTGCCACAGATGTAAAAGAGTTAAAACATAGTTATGCCCAATTCGCTCTCCTTGGATATGTGCTGACTTGGCACAATGACCCCTCATCCAATACTTTTTCTGCTGACCTAATATGACACTGTATACGGTAACTAAAGTCACCATGTCTTTTGTTTTGTTTGTTTGTTTGTTGTTTAACGCTGCATTCAGCAATGTTCCAGCTATATGATGGCGGTCTGTAAATAATTAAGTCTGGACCAGACAATCCAGTGATTGACGTCATGCACATCGATCCACGCTATTAGGATATGATGACATGGATCAACCAAGTCAGTGAGTCTGAACACCCGATCCTGTTTGTCGCCTCTTACGACAAGCAGAGTCGCCTTTTACGGCAAGCATGGGTGGCTGAAGACCTATTCTACCCCGGATCTTCATGTCTCCACCATATCTAATAACATACCTTTGTTCTTCTTGTTCTTCTTGTCTTCTTGACTGCACGATAGGAAGCCAACATCAACACCACATGTTTCTGTGTCCGCCAGGCAGGAGCAGAACATGGGAGTTTCTTCTTGTGTGGTAACTACACATGTTCCTTGTGTGAGGGACTCCTCAACAGACACTCTACAACATAGAACATAACTTCATTCTAGTCCTCTTGACATACTTTTGAACATGGATGTCCTCACAACATCATGTCATATATTAATCAGAATAAACTTCATTTAAGTTAGATCAGGCTTTAGAGCAATAATTATCATCACACTGTGGTCAGTCCTATTCATAGCTGAATAGTACAGTAGCTAATTATTCCTTATGACTCACAGTAAAGTCTGACTATTATCACAGACAAATCAAGATTCTCATTAAATCAATATGTGAACATTTGACTAAATATCCTACCGCCACTCATTACTGAAACTGTCAGGCTTGTTTTCTCTGCCAGGATAAATGTTCCCATTGGGTAGCTTTAGGTCATTGCTGCGTTCATCATCAAAATAGCCACACAGTCCTTCAGTTTGTTGAAAGTCAACAGACGAGGCCCGTATCCACACATCAAGGTATGTTCCTGCCTTGAACCTGCTCTTCTGAACAGTCACATAGCCTCCTGTCATAAGGGACACCTGCGTAGCCACAACAAACAGTCATCACTCACTGACAAATGTCCTGTGTACAAGTCAACAGTGACAGACAGCTATCTTGTGTACAACTAAGTCAAATTACCACAAGTGTTGTAAGATGTTTTGGTTTGTGCAAATCTACATGAAAACATTTCAGTTTTGATAATTATTAATTAAACCAAATGTGCCTGTTCCCTATCAACTGTCACACATTAGTTCCAGACAACACCAATACATAATCAGAATGCATAAAGAATAAGAAAAGAACCAAAATATAAATCATCCCTCAGCCAATAATAACAAATGTGTTGAATAACATGTGAATACTTAAGAGAGCATATTTTGTATTTGTTTTGTGAGTGTAGAGGAGTTTGATATCATGTTGCCACGATCTGGTTTCTGACTGAACTATTACATAACCACTGTTGACTGTTGTTCAAGTTAATGTCATACATACCTGAGTCTTCTTGCCATTGTTGTACTGAATGAATTTTGTACCAGGTGTAAGTTCTCCATTGGTGTATGTCCGAATCTGAATGGGCTGCCGTTTATCAGGGCTTCCTCGCTCCTTTCCACATTTGTCTATCACAATGACATCATCTCCTGACATGACCATGACAGCACAGACACAGGCAGCTCCCCTCTTGTTGTTGCAAGGACGGAAGAACGTTGTCACCTGGAAGGGGAACAAGCAGTTACATCAATGCCTTGTCTCCAGTACATGTATCAAATAGAAGAAATAGAAACCTGTTGTCTTACCTTGACAGGGAGAGATTTGTGCTTGTACAAGAGGAATTCACCTTCAAGGTAAACATTAAACTTTCTGAAATAAAAATATACACATGGATAAATTCACGTTAAAAAAAGTGTAACATGAACAAATTTGGGACATCTTGAAATAACTTGATCAATAGTATTTTTTTAAATCTGTAACATAATGCCAGTCCTTACCTTCCATCAAATGTTTCAATGTGTGGGTCCCCTGTAGCACTGCACATGGATGTCTTGTCTTTGTCAATGATTGTCAACTAGAAACAAGTTGATTTCATATCTATTTACAGTCCAACAGAGTGACATAATGTTAGGAGTGATACTTAGAGTTGAACGGACACAATATGTTAGGAGTGATAATCAGAGCTGAACAGAGAGACAACGTGCTGGAGTGATACACAGAGTTGAACAGAGAGACAACATGCTGGAGTGATACACAGAGTTGAACAGAGAGACAACGTGCTGTAGTGATACACAGAGTTGAACAGAGAGACAACGTGCTGGAGTGATACACAGAGTTGAACAGAGAGACAACATAATGGAGTGATACACAGAGTTGAACAGAGAGACAACCTGCTGTAGTGATACACAGAGTTGAACAGAGAGACAACATGCTGTAGTGATACACAGAGTTGAACAGAGAGACAACGTGCTGGAGTGATACACAGAGTTGAACAGAGAGACAACATGCTGGAGTGATACACAGAGTTGAACAGAGAGACAACCTGCTGTAGTGATACACAGAGATGAACAGAGAGACAACGTGCTGGAGTGATACACAGAGTTGAACAGAGAGACAACATGCTGGAGTGATACACAGAGATGAACAGAGAGACAACATCCTGGAGTGATACACAGAGTTGAACAGAGAGACAACATGCTGGAGTGATACACAGAGTTGAACAGAGAGACAACCTGCTGGAGTGATACACAGAGTTGAACAGAGAGACAACCTGCTGTAGTGATACACAGAGATGAACAGAGAGACAACGTGCTGGAGTGATACACAGAGTTGAACAGAGAGACAACATGCTGGAGTGAAACACAGAGATGAACAGAGAGACAACATCCTGGAGTGATACACAGAGTTGAACAGAGAGACAACATCCTGGAGTGATACACAGAGTTGAACAGAGAGACAACATGCTGTAGTGATACACAGAGATGAACAGAGAGACAACATCCTGGAGTGATACACAGAGTTGAACAGAGAGACAACATGCTGGAGTGATACACAGAGTTGAACAGAGAGACAACCTGCTGGAGTGATACACAGAGTTGAACAGAGAGACAACCTGCTGTAGTGATACACAGAGATGAACAGAGAGACAACATGCTGTAGTGATACACAGAGTTGAACAGAGAGACAACGTGCTGTAGTGATACACAGAGTTGAACAGAGAGACAACATGCTGGAGTGATACACAGAGTTGAACAGAGAGACAACCTGCTGTAGTGATACACAGAGATGAACAGAGAGACAACATGCTGGAGTGATACACAGAGATGAACAGAGAGACAACCAGCTGCAGTGATACACAGAGTTGAACAGAGAGACAACATGCTGTAGTGATACACAGAGTTGAACAGAGAGACAACATAATGGAGTGATACACAGAGTTGAACAGAGAGACAACATGCTGTAGTGATACACAGAGCTGAACAGAGAGACAACATGCTGGAGTGATACACAGAGCTGAACAGAGAGACAACATGCTGGAGTGATACACAGAGTTGAACAGAGAGACAATGTGCTGGAGTGATACACAGAGTTGAACAGAGAGACAACGTGCCACCACGATCACTACAAGAAATCTCACTCATCAATATATTAGTATTTAAAAAACAATATGTATTCCTTGCATCACTTGCCCAGTACAATAACCAGCGATCATTAGCCTAGTGTGTTTCATTTTGAAAATATCATATATTAGGAATATTATATTTGGCAATCACACAAGGATAATAATTTCTTTATCACATGATGTCATTCTTAATATGATTGAAGTTTGAGATATAATTTCTCTCACTAAAGTACCTTCACAAATACGGTTTAGGTATACAGTGACTTAGTGAATCGCCTAATTTATGATATTGTGCCAAATTATTTGCAAACATGATATGTTCGTTTACATAAGCACACACATACTGGGAAAATTCCATTTGAACTTGTTGGGAACATTAGACCATGTCTGTTTGAGCAAGTAGGTGTCCCATCAATGTAAAGTGATTACTGAAAGTAGTTCCTGCTAGGTGACCTCATGTTCACATTTATCGTGATATAAGTTTATCAGATTGGTTTATCTCCTTAGAAAATCTATCCACTATATAATAAATTACAACTGAAATCTATCTGACTATCTGAAATCTATCTATTTATCACAGAAAATTATCAGAATCCAAATCCTATTTGTCTAACCAGATAATCTGTGAAACCAGTGGCTCCATATATACTCCTTCAAAAGGTAAAAATCCTGTTGGATCCAACCATTTGAGTTGGCCTACATAGAAATGGGAAATACATATGACCACAGCCATGGATGTGTCAGGTTGGAAGAAGAGTCGATGTCAGGTGATGACTCTAATACCTACCTGTACAGTTGTTTGCAGCACACTGGCTGACAGTGTCCCTGATACAACTAGACTGGCAGACAGCTGCAGCTCTTGCTTTTGGTCTTTATCCTTTAATCCATCCAGTGTTGCACGGACAGGTACCATTACACCTGTCAACCAGTTATCTGATGTCAGGATCACTCCACAGAAGGCATTAGCTTGTGCAGGTTGTGTCCAGCCAATCAGAGCCTGTGGGAAGTCTCTGCCATCTCCACACCTAATGGTTTTCTTGGCCTCCAATAGGACAGTATTCACGCGAACACTGCATGCCGATTTCTGGTTGTCTGGGCAGTACACACGAGGTGGAAATAGAAGTGTGACCTTGATATACTCTAACACAGATCCTTCCACCACTGTCAGTTCTTTGACAGACACCTGCAACAAAGTGTCAATATTACGAGAGGCATACACATATAAAGAGTATACAAAATTATACTAGGCTTTATACAAAGACAGAATGATTTACATACAACAATCTCTTCAACAAGATGTAAGGGATATATTCGTGATCAGAGACTGCTTCATTGTATGTTGTTGTATCTTAGGCTAAAAAAAAATAATCTTGGTTCTCGGGCACCGCTACACCATCACAAAGTCCGCCGCACATTTCGTTGTTTTTTTTCATTTTCCAAAAATAAAAAACAAGAGTTTGCCACTAACATGGCTATATCCCCGCCCCTGTTGCAGAATTTATGACATAATTAAATCTAAACAAACCCTAACCTTTTTTTACCCGAGGTGGAACTTGTCAAGGAAATTGTAAAAAAAAGATGCGTTTTGAACCTAATTCCATCTTGTTGCCATGGAAATGTAAAAAAAAAATTTTTTTTAAATTTCTCAATAGCAAAAGGCACCAGTTCAGCATGTACCTGACAGACCTGCAAAGTTTGATGAAAACATATTGAACGGTTTATGAGTTATGCTCCAGAAACGAACCCTACCCTCACAGAACCTAAGTCCACCTTGTTGCCAACGAAACGTAAAAAACAAAATTTCTAAAGTTTCTCAATAGCAAAAGGCACCAGTTCAGCATGTACCTGACAGAGCTGCAAAGTTTGATGAAAAAATATTGAACGGTTTATGAGTTATGCTCCGGAAACGAAACGTGACGGACAGACGTACGGACGGGTTTCTATATCCCCCGCCAACTTCGTTGGGCGGGGGATAATAACTCTTAAATAATCCTTAAAGATAGTGTAATAAAAGGACTAACTTGCGTACAGATTTCAACAAACTTCTTCTGGTATTGTCTGCTCAGGATAACGTCTTCACATTGTGAAATAATATTAAGGCTCATTGTGTGTATTATGCACACACTAGTAGTCCAACAGTTGTCAAATACTGTATTCCAGTATTTTACTCATCAAAGATTATATTCATGTAGGAAGGCCCTTTCCCAGGTTGATTCTACACAACTGTTTATTTGGTCAGATACTAGTTTGAACACACACACCCAAAAAAAATGGCCACCCACCCGCACTATATTTTCAAAAGCATATTGCCTGAGAACCAATTCTTTTATTTTTTTAAGCCTTAGTGGTGCCAACTGGGCTTGATTACTTTGCATGATGCTGTTACTGGAACATAATCAATTATATCAACTAACCTTGACTGATGCCTTGAATGTTTCACTGTTCCTAACAGTTCCTCTTGTGGCATTGCAGTTGTTCTCATAGCATGCTGACACACCACACGATATCTGGTTTATAGTCAAGATCAGATACATGTATTTTTAAGAGTAAAATATCATTTATACTTATCCTGACTCAACTATTGTTTATATGTTTCTTTATTGAATAGGTAGTTGAAACATCCTGTGCTGTGTACCCAGAGAACAAAGAAAGAATCTCACCCAAACACACCCTGGATCCGTGCAGGCAAACTGGAACCACATGACCATGACTAGTAACTCGTTACTCTCTCCATTTTCCTACCTATAACCTGACCTGTTCTATAGGTCCCCATGGACACCTTTTTGATAGTCTGCATTGTTTTCGTCTTTATATTTCTATTCGAGTACACCTTCCTTTTTTGGTGAGCAGCAAAAATATGGAAGTAAATCTTTTAGAGTTCGTGGATTTTGTAAGGTTTACATAGACTTAGAATCTTGTTTGCCTTAAACGACTCATCTTCCTGAGGCAAGAGAGTTAACTGACTTTAAAAGTCCAGTTTCCACCCTTGCCGAACTAGGCTGGAATTACTGGGCTCAATCGTAGCGCCACGAATGGCTATTACCAGTTATGTTCCTTCTAAGCCTCTCCTATGGACCAATCAGATTCCACCTCTCGTATCACTTGCGTTTGCTTCACACAAAATGGTGGCGCCCAGTCAGGATGATCTGATCAATGATCAAGATCTATATTGTGATAAAACGGGTCTTACATCGCGAAATGCATCAAATCAAGTGAGCACCATTAAAAACGTGAAAAGGTTTGGAAAATATCTGCTGACAACAAGTTGGCGGTGCACATGCTCTAACTTCATGAGTGTTGGTATGAAGTGCCAGTGTTGAGGCTGTAGCTCTAACTTCATGAGTGTTGGTATGGAGCAATTACCATGAAGTGCCAGTGTTGAGGCTATAGCTCTAACTTCATGAGTGTTGGTATGAAGCAATTACCATGAAGTGCCAGTGTTAAGGCTATAGTTCTAACTTCATGAGTGTTGGTATGGAGCAATTACCATGAAGTGCCAGTGTTGAGGCTGTAGCTCTAACTTCATGAGTGTTGGTATGGAGCAATTGCCATGAAGTGCCAGTGTTGAGGCTATAGCTCTAACTTCATGAGTGTTGGTATGAAGCAATTACCATGAAGTGCCAGTGTTAAGGCTATAGTTCTAACTTCATGAGTGTTGGTATGGAGCAATTACCATGAAGTGCCAGTGTTGAGGCTGTAGCTCTAACTTCATGAGTGTTGGTATGGAGCAATTACCATGAAGTGCCAGTGTTAAGGCTATAGTTCTAACTTCATGAGTGTTGGTATGGAGCAATTACCATGAAGTGCCAGTGTTGAGGCTGTAGCTCTAACTTCATGAGTGTTGGTATGGAGCAATTACCATGAAGTGCCAGTGTTGAGGCCGTAGCTCTAACTTCATGAGTGTTGGTATGAAGCAATTACCATGAAGTGCCAGTGTTAAGGCTATAGTTCTAACTTCATGAGTGTTGGTATGGAGCAATTACCATGAAGTGCCAGTGTTGAGGCTGTAGCTCTAACTTCATGAGTGTTGGTATGGAGCAATTACCATGAAGTGCCAGTGTTAAGGCTATAGTTCTAACTTCATGAGTGTTGGTATGGAGCAATTACCATGAAGTGCCAGTGTTGAGGCTACAGCTCCGACTTCATGAGTGTTGGTATGGAGCAATTACCATGAAGTGCCAGTGTTGAGGCTGTAGCTCTAACTTCATGAGTGTTGGTATGGAGCAATTACCATGAAGTGCCAGTGTTGAGGCTGTAGTTCTAACTTCATGAGTGTTGGTATGGAGCAATTACCATGAAGTGCCAGTGTTGAGGCTGTAGCTCTAACTTCATGAGTGTTGGTATGGAGCAATCACCATGAAGTGCCAGTGTTGAGGCTGTAGTTCTAACTTCATGAGTGTTGGTATGGAGCAATTACCATGAAGTGCCAGTGTTGAGGCTGTAGCTCTAACTTCATGAGTGTTGGTATGGAGCAATTACAATGAAGTGCCAGTGTTGAGGCTACAGCTCCGACTTCATGAGTGTTGGTATGGAGTGCCAGTGTTGAGGCTGTAGCTCTAACTTCATGAGTGTTGGTATGGAGCAATTACCATGAAGTGCCAGTGTTGAGGCTATAGTTCTAACTTCATGAGTGTTGGTATGGAGCAATTACCATGAAGTGCCAGTGTTGAGGCCGTAGCTCTAACGTCATGAGTGTTGGTATGGAGCAATCACCATGAAGTGCCAGTGTAGAGGCTATAGCTCTAACTTCATGAGTGTTGGTATGGAGCAATTACCATGAAGTGCCAGTGTTGAGGCTATAGCTCTAACTTCATGAGTGTTGGTATGGAGCATTTCATGAGTGTTGGTATGAAGCAATCACCATGAAGTGCCAGTGTTGAGGCTATAGCTCTAACTTCATGAGTGTTGGTATGGAGCAATTACCATGAAGTGCCAGTGTAGAGGCTATAGCTCTAACTTCATGAGTGTTGGTATGGAGCATTTCATGAGTGTTGGTATGAAGCAATCACCATGAAGTGCCAGTGTTGAGGCTGTAGCTCTAACTTCATGAGTGTTGGTATGGAGCAATTACCATGAAGTGCCAGTGTTGAGGCTGTAGCTCTAACTTCATGAGTGTTGGTATGGAGCAATTACCATGAAGTGCCAGTGTAGAGGCTATAGCTCTAACTTCATGAGTGTTGGTATGGAGCAATTACCATGAAGTGCCAGTGTAGAGGCCGTAGCTCTAACTTCATGAGTGTTGGTATGGAGCAATTACCATGAAGTGCCAGTGTAGAGGCTATAGCTCTAACTTCATGAGTGTTGGTATGGAGCAATTACCATGAAGTGCCAGTGTTGAGGCTATAGCTCTGACTTCATGAGTGTTGGTATGGAGCAATTACCATGAAGTGCCAGTGTTAGGGCTATAGCTCTAACTTTATGAGGCTTGGAAGCTGAGGGAGGAGCCAAACCAGCTGAGAATGACAGCTCTCATCCATAATGAAATAGTTGTTCTGGAGACTTCTGTAAGTGTATTCCTTAATAATGCCTCTTGAAACCTGGTCTTCTTGGTTGTGACTTTTGTAAGTATATACATAATGCTGTGACTGGGCATAGTGATAAATCCTCTGTATCCTCAGAACTTAGGATGGAGGAAAAAGCCGGGAGGAGGAATTGTCTGTCTGGTTGACCTGGTAATTGATTTTAAGCAATAAAGTCCCATCTCAAGCTGAGGTGAGCTGATGCATCATTACCACTGTCAAATCTAATGCAATTGAAGTGTATAGTATGCTCTGGACGCCTTAGCTAATGCCAGAAGAATAGGGTTAATTGTGTCAAGTGTTCAAAGTCAGCTGTTGAAGACGTTCATAAGCATCACTGATTAGATGTTGTAGCACTATATTTAGGTCCCATGCTGGGGCTCTAAATTATTTCTGTTGGTCACTAAGTCTGAAAGATCAGAGTAGAGCTATCAGTTCAGGAAATTTAGTAGGTTTATCCCATTTGACATGGTCAGTACAGAACTGGTGAAAACCCCTTGGATCTCTTTCATTTATCATCATAGAGATTCCTCACTGATTAACGAAGTGCTTTAGAAACTGCCCTAGCTGCTCTGATGCAATATCCCCGTTTAGTTTTGATATGATCCATGCATGAAGCTTGTATAGTTCTGGTCTTGGATGAACCTGGTTTGAGTGAGGATGTAGAAGAAGGTTTGGCCAGTTCAGGAGTTTAGTACCAGATTTCCTGCTAGCTCAACGAGGTCTGGTAACCAAGTTCTTGCAGGCCAGTAAGATGCTACCAGTATTAGGTTGCTTGTGTGCAGGATTTTTTGTAATATCTGTGGTATCAAGGCAGGTGGGGGGAAATGCATATGCATTTAGGCCCTCCCATGATATTGACAGAGCATCAATATACCAAGCTTGTAGGTCTGGCACTGGTAACACAAGGTTGTTATCTTATTGTTGAATCTCTTAGCAAATAGGTGTATTAATAGACAACATTTTTTCCCTTATCACCAGTTGGAATGCTTCTGGGTAAAGCTTCCATTATGTTGGTGATGTTTTGTCGGGTCTGGTTAGGGTATCTACTTAGATGTTTGTCACTCTTGCATTTTATCATTAGATTCAGGCTAACCACAAGTTCGTAAAGCTGAAAGGTCAACTTTAGGAGGGGCTTTGATTTTGTAATGCCTTGAAGATTTATACTGAATGCCACAGTAGAATTGTCTGTTCTGATCATCAGAAATTTGTTTCTCAACTGTGGAGCCCAGTGGGATATTGCTCAGATTACTATCGCATATTCTAGATAATTGATGAGGAAAAGTATTTCTGCTTCGGACAATAGGCCTGGCGTTAATTTTGCATGTAGGTGAGCTCCCCAACCTTGAGGTGAGGCATCCATGAGAAGGTGATTGTTGGAATCTGTCTCATTTCAATACATTCCTGTGCAGACAATCAGCTTTTCTGTCTGCCACAAGAGGTGTTTCCTCAAATTGAGTGGAAATTGAGGTTTTAAGTACCCATACTTAGGAACGGATGTAGAAAACTGAATTGGGCCCAAATCTAGTCTTCTTTGAACAGTCTGAGCGGACTTGAGTAAGCCTTATATCAGTTGCCAATTTTGAATGAGATTTGATTGTGAATTGCCGCTGGCAAGTTATTCTTGATTTTTATCCACCGATCTTCTGGTACCAGAATTTGATAATGATATCTCGATATGTGACATGAAAATCATCCTGCGCAGGAAACAAAGAATACTTCATTCTTGCCGGGGACAAAGTCCAATGCTCCATACACTGACAATTCAGTGTGAACTGTATGGTAGATAGACATTTCGGAGTAGATGTCTATCTTCCCTGTAGTTCAGATACTTCAAAACAATAATGTACTGCAATCACCAAGGCAGGGTTAGGATTGCTAGGTGAAAATCATGAAGGTTATGAATGATGTGCTCGGAATTTGGGTACCCGGTAGTATATGACTGGGAGTGCCAGTACGGATCAAGGGTGTGTTTGGGTGGGATGTTTTCTCTGTTGTCCAGGAACACAGCACAGGAAGTTTCCAGTACCTGTTCGGAAAAGCAATAGAGATAAGCAATAGTATGAGTCAGGATAAGATAAAATTATGTAAATGGTATTATGCATCAAACAGTATCACCAAATATTTAACAAAAATACTACTGTTACATGTTTCAGATTCTGAAACATACTTACATATTTACCAAATCAAATTGAATTTTTAATCAAACACAAATGCATGCAGTATCCATGTTAAATTTGCTGTGTCTAAATCTACAGCTAACCCAGCTCAGCTTGGAAAACACAGTTTGTTTATCTTCACTTTATCATGACAAAATTAAACACAAGTGCTGTAAGTGAGGAAAAAAAGAGTGAAGTGGCTGGGTGAAGTAACCACAACCTGCATTTCTCCATTTATAATTGCACATATCATTATTCAAAAATGTCTACCAACAATAACAAAAAACAAAGTACTTATATTATCAATGATGAAGTCATGAAATCAGCTGTTTCAATCTGAGGTGCTAATTGTGATTTGAAACTTCTGATATAACAATCAGAATCAAGTATTTTCCAAATTCATGGTAGAATATATAGTGTTTGTACATACCTCACTATCAAGGGAGAGAACTCCTAAAAGAGCTTCTGCAAGGACTGAGACAGTGTTGTTGCCTATGTCATCAACCTTGACCTGTGTGTCATTAACGTACCACATGACCTGGTACTGCAGTCCAACAGCTGTCAGTGCATGAAATGTGCAGTAGACACTCACAGTATCCTCTGTCTGGTTAGCTTTCACTGTAACCTGAGGACGCTCCTCAAATGTAGGTGTCTCTGAAATATGGCATGAACATGTAATAATTAGATCCATTACTCAGCTACCACGCTGTAAGGTTGACCAACTGCACACTCTTCCTGTAACCAGAGGCTGCTGACCAAGTACATATAGAGCTACAATCTACCTGTAACCAGAGAACACTGACCAAATACATATAGAGCTACAATCTACCTGTAACCAGAGACGGCTGACCAGGGACATATAGAGCTACAATCTACCTGTAACCAGAGAAGGCTCACCAAGTACATATAGAGCTACAATCTACCTGTAACCAGAGAAGGCTGACCAAGTATATATATAGCTACAATCTATCTGTAACCAGAGAAGGCTGACCAAGTACATATAGAGCTACAATCTACCTGTAACCAGAGAAGGCTCACCAAGTTCATATAGAGCTACAATCTACCTGTAACCAGAGAAGGCTCACCAAGTACATATAGAGCTACAATCTACCTGTAACCAGAGAAGGCTGACCAAGTACATATAGAGCTACAATCTACCTGTAACCAGAGAAGGCTCACCAAGTTCATATAGAGCTACAATCTACCTGTAACCAGAGAAGGCTCACCAAGTACATATAGAGCTACAATCTACCTGTAACCAGAGAAGGCTGACCAAGTACATATAGAGCTACAATCTACCTGTAACCAGAGGCGGCTGACCAAGTACATATAGAGCTACAATCTACCTGTAACCAGAGGCGGCTGACCAAGTACATATAGAGCTACAATCTACCTGTAACCAGAGAAGGCTGACCAAGTACATATAGAGCTACAATCTACCTGTAACCAGAGAAGGCTCACCAAGTACATATAGAGCTACAATCTACCTGTAACCAGAGGCGGCTGACCAAGTACATATAGAGCTACAATCTACCTGTAACCAGAGGCGGCTGACCAAGTACATATAGAGCTACAATCTACCTGTAACCAGAGGCGGCTGACCAAGTACATATATAGCTACAATCTACCTGTAACCAGAGGCGGCTGACCAAGTACATATAGAGCTACAATCTACCTGTAACCAGAGGCGGCTGACCAAGTACATATAGAGCTACAATCTACCTGTAACCAGAGGCGGCTGACCAAGTACATATAGAGCTACAATCTACCTGTAACCAGAGGCGGCTGACCAAGTACATATAGAGCTACAATCTACCTGTAACCAGAGGCGGCTGACCAAGTACATATAGAGCTACAATTTACCTGTAACCAGAGACGGCTGACCAAGTATATATATAGCTACAATCTATCTGTAACCAGAGAAGGCTGACCAAGTACATATAGAGCTACAATCTACCTGTAACCAGAGAAGGCTCACCAAGTACATATAGAGCTACAATCTACCTGTAACCAGAGGCGGCTGACCAAGTACATATATAGCTACAATCTACCTGTAACCAGAGGCGGCTGACCAAGTACATATAGAGCTACAATCTACCTGTAACCAGAGGCGGCTGACCAAGTACATATATAGCTACAATCTACCTGTAACCAGAGGCGGCTGACCAAGTACATATAGAGCTACAATCTACCTGTAACCAGAGGCGGCTGACCAAGTACATATAGAGCTACAATTTACCTGTAACCAGAGACGGCTGACCAAGTATATATATAGCTACAATCTATCTGTAACCAGAGAAGGCTGACCAAGTACATATAGAGCTACAATCTACCTGTAACCAGAGAAGGCTCACCAAGTTCATATAGAGCTACAATCTACCTGTAACCAGAGAAGGCTGACCAAGTACATATAGAGCTACAATCTACCTGTAACCAGAGAAGGCTGACCAAGTACATATAGAGCTACAATCTACCTGTAACCAGAGACGGCTGACCAAGTACATATAGAGCTACAATCTACCTGTAACCAGAGGCGGCTGACCAAGTACATATAGAGCTACAATCTACCTGTAACCAGAGAAGGCTCACCAAGTACATATAGAGCTACAATCTACCTGTAACCAGAGAAGGCTCACCAAGTACATATAGAGCTACAATCTACCTGTAACCAGAGGCGGCTGACCAAGTACATATAGAGCTACAATCTACCTGTAACCAGAGGCGGCTGACCAAGTACATATAGAGCTACAATCTACCTGTAACCAGAGGCGGCTGACCAAGTACATATAGAGCTACAATCTACCTGTAACCAGAGGCGGCTGACCAAGTACATATAGAGCTACAATCTACCTGTAACCAGAGGCGGCTGACCAAGTACATATAGAGCTACAATCTACCTGTAACCAGAGGCGGCTGACCAAGTACATATATAGCTACAATCTACCTGTAACCAGAGGCGGCTGACCAAGTACATATAGAGCTACAATCTACCTGTAACCAGAGGCGGCTGACCAAGTACATATAGAGCTACAATCTACCTGTAACCAGAGGCGGCTGACCAAGTACATATATAGCTACAATCTACCTGTAACCAGAGACGGCTGACCAAGTACATATAGAGCTACAATCTACCTGTAACCAGAGGCGGCTGACCAAGTACATATATAGCTACAATCTACCTGTAACCAGAGAAGGCTCACCAAGTACATATATAGCTACAATCTACCTGTAACCAGAGAAGGCTCACCAAGTACATATAGAGCTACAATCTACCTGTAACCAGAGGCGGCTGACCAAGTACATATATAGCTACAATCTACCTGTAACCAGAGAAGGCTCACCAAGTATATACAAAGCTTCACTCTACCTGTAACCAGATCCAGCTTCTCAACTATAGCGTCTGTGGCATATGCAAAATTCCATCCTTCCAGCAGAATGTGAGAGAATGATGTGAGGGAAGCAGTTGTACCAAAGTAGAACTCTGTCTGTCTGGTCCCTGTAATTGTTCTCCGGATGTAAGTTTTCTGTGTGGCAACCACTTCACCATTCAACAACAGCTTCAAGCCTTTCTGAATACTCCAGGAAAACTTGCACTCAAAGAGTCTCTCCAAAGCAACCTTTAGAGTACAGACTGTCCATTCCTTGGTAGATGTGCTGACACGAAGACAGAGCTGCTTTGACTTGATGGAGTACCACATTGCCATACCATATGACATGCTGTTATCTGCAACACTACTGAACACCATTATCTTGTCAACCTCTTTTCCTGTTAGCTTCAGGAATTTCAACTTGAAAGACACAGTGAGTCCAGTGGTACATTTCTCCATATCACCCATACATTCAGAAGACTGGTTTGCAAGCATCATGGACTGGTTTACACCATTCAGTTGAATAGCCAGGCCACCACTCACACTCTTTACCAGGCTTGGTGCTCCTTGCAAAATCAGGTCAAAGCCTGTTGTTTTGAGAACATTACCAATTATCTCCAAAAAGCTGAGACGATACACAGTAATGTCAGTACCTGAAAAACAACAACATCTGATGACCATTCTCTACATCTAGATCAGAAGCAAACTTTTCATGATAATCTTGTCACAGGTCTTACATATTTCTGCCATAGTGTCACAAAACAATTGTCCTCAAAAGTGTTCTGGATTCCTTGAGTAACAGAAGAACATGGAAGGACTACAATGTTTATTGTGAGCTCAGCTAAAAGCACTCAGAATCTTCTCTTTTCCTCACTTCAAACAAATCATTTTATTTCCATTTGATTCCCAAATACTTCATTTTGACAAGGATTCGCGTCGGAACAGTTTAGGGATTGATAACTACACAAAGATAATAATGGTGAGAATTCTGTGCATAAAAACTGAATGGTGCTTAATCAAGTCATGGCATTTAATCGAGACCTGATGTTTATGTTTTTTCAGATAAATCAAAATCAGATTGAAGGAAGCAACGCAATGCTACTCCAAGCTGTGATTGAACCATGAGAATGACACTTTGTTGTTGTTGTCATTTGGACAAACTAAATAAAAAGGAACATTGGATATAACATTAATCACATTATACCAAATTGTTCCATTGGTGAATGCCACTATTCCAAATATCTAAAACTCGAAATTTCCAGGTTATCAGTTACTCATTATCCTTAAATCCCTGTAAGTCCCTTACCCCCCTCAGATATTAACAAAAATATTTCCAGTTGGAATGCCATCAAATAAATGTTACCTTTGCTGCTATACCAGCCCCTTCATGGAACACTGCCAACACTCAATAGCACAAGCCCACATCCCTTCATCAAAACTTCCCCCCTCAACCCACCTCCAACCCTACCCAATAAAACCTTATACTGTGTAAAAAGTCTGAATTAGAGAGTTGTAGGTAAGTTTCAGTTATTAAGGAACTGAGGGGACTGGAGAAAAAATCTGATTTTCATCAAAATCCGATTTTGACAGAGTCTGATTTAGACAGATTCCACTGTATATCACTTGTATGCAGTTGCATTGCTATAGATCTATAATACTGTTACTTGATGTGTCTTGAATTCCCGGATATCTCAAACATACAGGGTTATAAGTATTTACCAGAAACTAAACAAGTCTATTATTTTGTTCGATTTAATCACAGTGCTTTTAGCAATACTTCAGCAATATCACAGAAGGGGACACAAGAAGTGGCCTTCACACATTGTACCCATGTCAGGAATCAAAGCCGGGTTTTAGCGTGACAAGCAAACACTTTAACCACAAGGCCACCCTTCAGGCAGATGAGCTTCCAAAGTGGCATATCAGAAAACTAAAGTGTCTCACCTGTGATCTCTTTCCACCTGTTTTTTGACTCCAGATTGCAAATCAGGGATGCATTAGAGGGATTAGTGAATCCTTCCTCATAACAGTTGCCATCAATCACACATTTGTCATCCTGAAATTCATTAAAGGCCATAAGGATAGTGCACCTTTATACATATCTTGCTTATACCTGATACATTCTTGATCTCAAATCAATTTCTCCTAATCAAGTAGCATTACTGGAACCATTTTTCTTGAACTACAATCAGAATTTGGCCTTAAGACAATATTATATTTTGCAACACCCCCACTCCCATCCCCTACATTTAAATAATTTTCAAGCCTCCAAATACAAGAAACATTTTTTCAGACACTGTTTACTGACTCCGAGCCGACCAGTCCTTGTTTTTAGCCCCTAAAAGCCGAGTGCCAGACAGGGTAACAAGTACCTTCTTAAACATTTGGTATGACGCGGCCAGGGATGGAACCCCGGCAAATCGTTCTACCACTAGACCAGGGAGGCAGTTGTATGTGATGTAGAGTATACAAAGTGAAATATGCATGACATGCTGGATAGTTTCTTGGTTTACAAAACTAAACAAATTTAGATCAATTCATGTGGCCAGTATCTTATACAGTAAACTGCAGTTACAACAAACTGAACAAGGACCAGAGGACCTGGCACCCCCTGCCCTTCATTAGGTATCTTGAACAATTATTTAAACTAGAACATGTTTTTATTGTTTTACATGTTTTTAGTTTGAGTTGTTACTGTAAAGGTGTTTGTAATAAAAAAATCAATATTAACAAATTTGGCACAGAAAGATAATAGTTTCATGCAGAAATATTCATTAACTGTAGAATTTTGGCGAGAAACAAGAGCTACTTGTTTGAGACTTAGTCCAAATTGTTTTCATGGAAACACAACAAATTAAGAACTTTAAATATATGAAACGGCAATAGTTAAAGATATGGTCATTGCACATGTTTCATGTAGCAATATTCATTAGTTTGAAAGTTATGGCTCAAAAAACAAAGCCTAGTGTTGTTGGAGACTAATTGCATTTAGTACTCACTACTAAATGGCTTTATTGTGCATATCCAAACCATTGGCTAATTACTGGTGTAACTCAATTACCCGTTGTAACTAAATCACCTCAGGGTCAGCACCATGCACCATGCCCAGGACAAGCTGGGTGACAATGCTATCTCAGCATATCGCGTGGGTGTGTAGTAGCACTTTGGTGCTTTGTGGCATGATTCTTGTGGGCTACCTGGCTAGTAACAAATTAACTTGTTTGAAAATTAATACTCGCACTTAAGGCGACTGGGGTTACCTGCTTCTTTGTGGGAACGTTGTCTTTCCCGACTTTTCAGCCGTGGAATCGTAAAATAGCTTACAATGGGCAACAAATTGCCACGTATATTGGCCCGGCGGCAGTAGTCGTCTTGTCAGCGGTAGTTGACATTTGGGCCGGTGGCAATACGCCACAATGGTTTTAATAATTGGGCCAGGCAGCAATAGTTGCTTTGGACAGTTATCTGGGGCCGGGCAGCGGTAGCTGACTTAGGCCAGCAGTAATAGCTGCTTTTGGAAGCGTGGTAGTTGCCAAGCAATGGTAGTGTTTAAATATGCTACCAAGGGGGCTGGTCAGTGGTAGCTGCTAATTGCCGTTGGCAATGCTAGTTGCCATGGCAAAGGTAGCTTTTTCATAAACCCAACTGGCAGCTTAGTAGCCCACTAGTACTGCAATTTAACCCCCTGGATGCCACAGGGACATATATGTCCCTCCTCTACAACCCTCACTTTGAAGTCGAATAAAATTCAAAATACATCATGCACACTAATACACTTCACAGTTTTGAATAAGGTGGGAGATTCCCTGTTCTGTGATATCATCCACTGGCATTTTAGGCCAAGCAAAATTACTAGAAATGACCTCTGAAATTAGGTACTTCGTAAATGTTGCCATTTTTTACACATTACTAAATCACCACTCACGGTGTAATTTAACACATGTTTTGAAATCTAAATTTTGGATATTTACTCTGAGAAATGAATTTAAAAAATAGCATATTAGTGATCACGGGTACCCAGCTAACACACGACGTTGTCACAACGTTGTGGAAAGGTTTTGGATTGGTAACGTCGTGAAATAACGTTGTCACAACGTTATTATAACGTCAACGTGTAACGTTATTTCACAATGTTATAACAACGTTGCACATTTACGTTGTGAAAACGTTGTGCATCGGACATCACACAACGTTTTGTAACTACGTTTCTGGAACGTCGGTGAAACGTTATAGAGTTTGCTTCTCGATAGTCATAAAGGAATAGAACTGCTTTATCAAACTCAACATGAATTTGTCAGAATACCAAGGCAGTAATGCATTACCTGTCTGTATATTCGGCATTTGAATTTTCATCTCTTAAAAAAATTAATACTAAAATTTCAAGAACATAATATCTCTATGACAACGTTAGTATTACGTTACATTGTAACGTTATTCCACAACGTAACAACAACGTTGCAAATTAACGTTGTGATAACGTTGTGCTTTGGACATTACAACACTTTTTGTAAATGATGTTTAGGAAACCACTTATAGATCTACCATCTCTTAGTTTTAGTTTTTTTTAACATAGATATGTATTAACGAAGTTATCTGTCTACTAAATGTTGTCACAAGCAATATTACAGTTAAAAACAATTAGTGCGCATTTTTTGCGGCGTGAGAGGGACTGCTGAAAAGTTTAGCCTGTTGCCTCGTGAAGTGACGTCAGAATGACGTCACATCGTCGCAAAAGATTTGTTGTCACCAGCCATCTTAGTTCAAGCTCACTCCGGACATATTACAACTAAGTGATTGTGCAGCAACTGGAACTGGACAGATGATCTGTTAATTCGGATGAGGTAAGTTAATTTTTCAAAAGCAGTCTCCGCTTGTTGATATGTTTCTGTACATGCAGATAGCCAAATGATTTAAATGTATCGTATTATTCAGAAGTGGCGGGGTTTAGAATGCAGTTTGCCGGTCACTTTCACTGGGCGTCAGTATTTGATACACAGAACATGATGTATATATAGAGGTGAAGGAGGCCCAAGATTTTTTTTCATATTATTATTTTATGGATACCAAGGGTAATTACCAAGGGCAAGCAGTATATGTTTGACCAGAATTCAGTCTGGCGGCGTTTTGTGGTCGTCAAATTATGTTCGGGTTTCGATCGTAAGCGTCTGTAAATGTAAGGCCTAACTTATGCATCGCCTACTGACCACTGACAGTTATCGCCATTTCTTCCTTGTTATTTCTAAAATCATTACTGTTTAAAGTTTACATGTACTAATCTTCTGACTTTGATTTTTGTGAAACAATGTGGCTCATTCGGGCCATGGGAAAGGTTGAGTAGATTTCTCTTATACAGCGAAGAGAGGGAATCAAAACAATGGAAGTATTTTCAGATCGACTCTCTGTAGGCTGCTAGTTATAGCCCTAGTCTAAAGCGCTCAATGTTATGAAAAATTGTATTTTCGGAAAGAGACAGAAACATACTTGTTGTTTCCGAAAAGGCCTAATTAGCACTGACTGAAGTAACCTAAATGTGGATCATCTGGTTGTTGGTGCTGTCTATAAAGTTTATTTTAGCAAGGCGCTTATCATGTGTATTTTCAATATTTCCAAAAAAGAATCAATTCATCATTTTATCGATAACTAGATCTATGTCCGACGCCCTTCTAATGAAAACGAGCAAAAGAGAAACGTGTCCCCGTCACGCGCTATAACGGGGTGTTTGAGGTATTGTCCTCGCTGGTGATGATAAGCTAGTCGATAGTCAAAAGTTAAATATCACCATATATTGTCAGTGAGTTGGTCATCGTTTGTTGATTTTTAAGGTGAGATAGGTGTAGCCAATGTGCACCAATGAAAAATACAATGGAATTGATAGCAACCATATTCGTTCGGTTATCGAACTCCATATGTTGCCACGTAGGCTACCATACTACAGAATTATATTTAACGATATTGATCTGTATTATGTTCACTAAATGTAGTAATAAATAAATTTCATATGATACTTGGTTTGACAATGAGAGAGAATAAAATGGTGATCGAAAGCTGAACGAGTAAGTTCCAGTGCTCGCTACGAAATCGTACAGTAGCTATATAAACAGCGCTGCGATGAAGATATGGGGCCCAAGATATGAGTCGTAATTAGCTACAATGCCTCTCTAATATATCTGTTCCCGTTTGGATTCCGGTTTAGAAAAGGTCCCCAACAAGCCATATGTTTGTACTAACATGATTGTGTGTCATTGTACTCCGACAGAGGTTGTGAGACGTGGCTCACTATAACAATCACTGGTTTGCCTGACCGGTTTGTCAGACCGGTGTAGATCTATATGGAAACCAAATTACATTAGATGTTTTTTTTATGATGGTACTCATAATTTTGTTACTTATATCTGTAGCCTGAGATATTTCCGATCGGACGTTATACATGGGGACTTTGGATTTACAGTTTTTCCTAAATTTTAGGCAATTATACAATGAATGTTATCTTTTTGGATAGACTATAGATCTAAATGTATGCTTTTTGAATATAGTTCTAGTTTTGACTTTTTTTTATATGTTTTCGTTGCAGCAAGGGGGAAAATGTTACACGACCATTCCAGGAGATAAAATCAAGAATGTTGAATCATTGAGGAACACACCAAATAAACCCTGGGCTGTGAATTATGTTAACGTAAGTACAATTGTTTGCAGTTACATTCCATTGTCTATATCAATGTTAATTGGTTGGTTTTTGTGTGTGCTTTAAACGAATGCTAAGAATGTAGATCTATTTATATAAATCTATGCTTTCCATCAGACACTTGCATTATACATTATTGTATGAATACTGATAAAGCCTTATCTCCAAATGAATGTTTCTCGTCATATAGTATCTTTCAAATACCTGCTCGAGATTTATTAAGCTGTTTGTATTTCAGGGAAGTGGAAGTGAACACCAAAGAGAGAAGATTCTGGCATTCAATAATTTCGAAAAGTGTATAAATTTTCAATTATCTAAAAATATTAAAATATCAACACAAATGTGTCTTGGAGTTCTTTGTTGAATGATGCCGTCGCATGACTGAAAGTTGAAGTATACTATTTGGACTTGATTAGAGACCGACCATTTAATATTCAAGGAGGTGGGGACCTGGAACTTTTCTATTGAGATTACATGTTTTCGGTCACAGCTACAAAAGCAGATATGTGATTTTATTTAACTCTGAGCCTGAAGATAAACACCTTGCAACTAGATTTTAGTGGCAGGCATTTTTTTTCACCAGTCTGAACCGTAATTATTTTTGTCAAGAATTTTCGGTGACAATATATTTTTTCGATAAAATTCCAGGACCCAACCCGCCCAAGAAAATATCATATGGTCAACCCCTTACAATGTCTGCCATTCTTATTTTGTTTCCTGCAGTATTTGCCTAAAGGGTAATGGTATCTGCCTTTGTTATAGTCTTATGTATCTAGTTAACAGCTCAGTGGTGTTTTTACTTTTTGAACATTGTCAGCAAGGCAAGATCTAACTGTTAACTAGGCTATTCGACGCCCTGGTTTTAAAACATTGGTAAAAGGTATCTCGAATCATACATATTCACGTGACTAAAGCATATTCTAAAAAATTTCCGGAACATGTTTTTGGGTTGTTTTTACAACATTTTAGTAGGGAATGTTCACAACGTATTTCATCCTTGTAACACAGTTATTTCACGTGGTTGTGACAACGTCCATGGTAGTACACAGAATAACGTTGTAGGGACGCATTATTATAACATTGCCACAACGTAAAATACAACGTAAAATACAACGTCATCACAACGTTGTCACAACGTGAATATGACGTAACACAACGTTAGGCCATGACGTTGTGACAACATAAATGAGAGTCCACAGAATAACGTTATATGGACGTAACATTGGCAACGTTACCACAACGTTGTCACAACGTGAAATTGTTAGCTGGGGTATCTGTCCTTTATGAAATCACCAATGATCATTCCAAAACGTCTCCGATAACCCTAGAATCATTTAGAATGTTTTGAAAAATACGAACACAAGAACGCCGAAGTGAACTTTCCGCCATATTGGATAGTGTTTACAAAATTACGTTTCAGGTACACCAGTTATGAGGCGCCTGTAACATCACGTATATTTCAAACTTAGATGCAATACACACATCCTTGAATTCCTCATACATTTTAGAATCGAATGAACAATGGTCTTTGTCACCAATACGAAGTGGCTGGATAAAATCAAGCAAAACAAGTTAGGTGTTAAAACGAACACTGTGCTCGAAAAACTGCACTTGTTTGAAATGTAAACAAAGCAAAATACAGATTTTACAGTGTAGCATTTTCTCCTATTTTGAGCTATCCATTCGTCTATTCGTTCAATATATTGGCTCAACATTTTCAGAATATGCATGGGAAGAGAATCGTTGGAAGAATTAGGGAATTTAAAATAGACACATTGACAATTTCTGTTGAAAATATCAAATCATTGCAAAGTAACCGTCCTGTGTGACGCCATGACTGATGCAAAATCACGCACAACGACAACGGTATTTAATAATAATAATAATAATTGATTTGTAAAGCGCCTAATATCCATCGACAGTTGCTCACTGGCGCTGTGACAAAGTTAAAATGTAATGTCTATGTACATATGCCAACAATCAGGAGATCTATTGAAAAGCTGAAGTGAAGAAGTGGGTTTTGAGGAGAGACTTAAACGTTTCCTTAGAAGCAGAGTTTCTCAGATTCAAAGGCAAAGAGTTCCATAACTGTGGACTGCAAAAGGAGAAGGCACGGTCAGACATAGCAGAAGTAGACAGAGGCTGATACAGTAGAGTTCCACCAGAGGATCGGAGAGCACGCTCTGGAGAGTACAGGGATATAAGATCTTTGAGATAGTCTGGATAGTCGCTATTGTTGAGGCAGTCGTGAGTGATGATACATATCTTATAGTTTATACGAATTTATCGGAATTTATGACTATTTCGGTTTGTTTCAATGAAAATTATAACAAATAAGAGTACATAGATTGTCAGAATGTTTCTGATTACATACATGTCACATTTATGTATATACGATCCCTGAGTCAACAAAAGTCCCCTTGTAAAATTCTGCATACTGTTGACAGTGAACATGCCATTTTGTAAAAGTCGGTCACATGTAGTGATGTCATACATGAACATTGTTGTACATATTTGGTAATTTCTTTGAGGTGAAGGTCCTTGAATGAGAGTGCACCTTGAATGAATGTACCATGCTGTTTACAGTTTCAGTTATGATGTAGATTTTGCATATCTTTTATACATTTTTTCACAGAATTAATTTCACTTTGTCATTGTTCAAAATGCTATCATACATAAATATAGGCCATAACATGTATGAACGAACCTTTGATAATCTCCTGTTTGTTTGAACATTGTTTACATAACAATTGATAGGTTTTTAGTGTCAATTACGATATTTCTTTCCTTTAGACAAGTGTTACAAGATGAAGTGTAAATGTAACTGCAGCATGTGCGTATATCTTTGGATGTGGAATAGTCAATATTATAAGTTCATATTAGCAATGTCCATGAATAGCCATTTCATTTTATTTTATAACTAAAACTGAATATATTACTTTCACAAAATGAATAATATTTTTTCGGTAAAATATATGCACACATTTCTGAAAGAATTGCCTTGGTCTTGGAATTGTTTTTTATGTCGTTTGATATAAAAACGATTCGCCAGGTGTGCGTTAGTCACAAACAATTTACGAATTATTCCTCTCGTTTTGCATTATATAATCAATGGGTTCATTCTTTTTTAAATATTGTGATCACAGGATATTAAACTGTTTACTTAATTTCTCTAGGAATTGTAAAATGTATGAAATAAATCCTGATAATTCTATACCAATAGAGCTTTCTTCGCATCTTTTATTGTGTGATTCTGAGATGAGATGAAGAGAAATAATAACATAATAATGAACAAATATATGTCCAATATTGAATATAATTTTGGTTGTTTTGAAATATTCTTTTGGGTATTTCATTACGTAAATTGATGCCAAACAGGTGCATGTCTTGTCCAATTAAGATACACGATGAACTATCTAATTGTTTACATATTCAAAACATTATTTACTTGGTGAAAGCAGTAATTTCATGTTGTGTCGAAAAAACATCAAATTCCGTTTTACACATCGAGATTTTCCATACCATGAACTAAAATTATGGGAGATATATATTAATCAAAATACCAGTGTCGTTTTTCTCCGATGTTATCAAAGACATAAAACCAGCCATGTCGTCAAAAGGACTGGTGTTATTTTGGGGGTATTTCATTACATTTGATGATAAGGCTAGTGCTCCATTAATAATGATGCAACATTAGTCAAATTACACTTACACAATCAGGAGAATGTTGGAATCTAAGGACTAAGTAATAGGTTAGATAGGGCCATCCTATTCTCTATTACCTCTTTTTTTATGAAGTACGATTTCATCATTTCTTATGGTTTTTTTAATAACTAAACATATACAGTTTCAATATGGATATTTGTGTTGGAATAGTTTGGTTCCTCGTGAACGAAACACCGCGAAAATATATTGTCCTTACCCACAGCTAATTCTCACCAATTGACCTGAGTTACAATAAACTAGTGCTAAGCATAGCGGAGTTATGCCCCCTTTTCTTTGTACGCATGTAACCTCTCTGTCGCCTTTTGACGTCATAGAGAAAAATCAGTTTTCGTCATTTACGACATGCTATTTTTGGCATTGAATGTATGTAGTTATACATACCCATATAACTCCATTTCATATATAGTTATGTCGTTCAGATATTGGGCAGTATTTTGTTCACTGACAGCTTCCGTAAAGCTTCGAAATAAAAAAAATCGTTGCACAGTACTTTTATCGGTGTACGATAAAAAGCGGAGAAACTTACTGTTTGTCAACGCAGAATAAATTATCGGACAACACTTAGAAGCATATTTTTTTTAAACCGGTTTAATATTTGCAGTTAACATTACACCATCAAATAGCAAAATTTAATATTTTCCACCTCTGCGTAATTTTATAGCCAGAGGTATATCCAGTGCCATGTGAGTGCAATTCTCGCACAACCTTCACTTTTCCGATCTTAGGAAAATGTGCGTCAGAAAAAAAACTCGGCATCCAGAGGGTTAATCCACTCTCATCTCATGTTTTATTGTAGGCATGGGCATTCAGAGTTTTATGGCCTGTGCTTCTCCTTTGGTATATCACACAATAAGTTGAAATTGTTTCCATAGAAACATAAGAATATAAAATTAGAACAATTTCAAAATAGCAAAAGGCACCAGTCAAGCTGATGAGCAATGCATATCCAAAGCTTTGTTGAAATATGTTGTACAGTTTTCAAGATGGCACCAGTCAGGCTGATGAGCTATACATATCCCAAGTTTTGTAGAAAAATGTTGAATGGTTTTCAAGTTATGGCCCAGAAATGAACCCTACCCTCATTTGATACTAAATCAAAATTGTTTCCATGGATGCATTACAAATAAAATTTGGTAAAATAGCAAAATAGCAAAGGGCACAGGATTCTGCAGATGAGCAATCCATATGGCAAGTTTTGTTGCAAAACATTAAAGGGGCACTGATCTAACGGACTGGTTGTTGCCTTTGTTATTGTTTTTCCCCCGTGAGTACCCGGATGATACGCAATGCAACTGAGCGTGACCAGAGACTGGGCTACCGTCTGCAAGGACAGCTAAATAAACTTGGAGCCTGGAGGCAATATTTATTTCACGCATTTTTGCATAAACACTGATTGGTTAACCGTGATCTATAAAGTTTCGACAAAGGGCGCATGTTAATTAATTTCTTTAGCCTAAACAAACAGACAAAAACAACAAGGGAGCTCATCAGATGTCGTCATTTGCAAATACCCCAGATGGTTTTAGTTTTATACTAAAAAAAGTATCCATGCAGTGAAAGCATTTTCGGATTTCGGCTTGCGTCGATAATACGATTACTACTCCCTTGTTGTCATCCACGTTTTCTCGTATAACCCTACACTTGTGTATTTGTCGTCATTCACTTGATGCTCAGTTAATGAATTTATTACAGGTACAATTAGTGGTAGCACCACTTAGATTACCTGACAAAGGTTCCCATTTGGCATTTATTGTGTCTGGGGTAATTATTCAATCTAAATCCAGGTTTGAAGTGAGGTGAAATGTGTGTTATGTAATATGCACGTGGCAGCCCAGCAAGAGATGAATGATCAGTTGATTTACTTTTTTTGTAAATCAACGGATCGTTCCTAGTCATCAAAGGATTAACAGAAAATATGTTGATTGATTAATCACTGTTATCTTGCACAGTGGATATGTCAAGAGTGAGTGTTTACATGTCTAGGTTTACTATAACAAAGGGAATACACTCATATCATGGCACAAAGTGCCGATGTAAAAACAACATACTTTGTTCAAAGGGTTAACTGATAACACGTTGATTGATTGATCATTGTTATCTATCACTCAATGGATTTTTTAGGAACCGTGGACGTTATGAAAATAGTTGTCACGTGGGCTTTCTAAGCCGACCATTGAGACGCGACACCTATGTAAAACACCTGAAACAATCCAAGCGATCAGTTGAGAAACGAACACGGGTTATAATATCCCGAAACGATATATATCTTTTAAAACATTTGATTGTTACTGAGACACGTGACATCGAATAAGTTTCTTTGTACAGCTGCAGACGAGTGGGATATTGTTCCTTTGTGTGGATATTCACGGATACATTCCTCAAACTAGGAAGCTGCCTAAAACTTATACACATAAATTTGGTAGGTTGTAATTATGATATTTGCATTTTGTTTTCCTTCATTTGAACCGATTCGTTCTTGTTTCTCTACGTCTTGGTTGGGAAATTCTTCAATGCGCGATAGACGTTGTCACAGGTCTCTTCCTTTGTAAGCGTGTATATATTACCGTCAATTTGTAAAATGTGATTCTCTCAGGCAATTTATAAAATGTGTAAATATTTGAGTCATTTTGACTAAAAAATCTGTCCAGACTGATCAAGACGATCAAAAGGGCCTACAAACATCACAACAGATTGTTATGTAGGATTAAAAGCCAAACAACTTAGGAATGTACTTTTCAACGTAACATTTTCAGTCTCTTGGTGATGACATTAAACATCAAAATGTTTGGAATTCATTGTCATAATAATACAGATGGAAATGTTTTTCAGTCACTTTGTAAAATAACTGAATATTTAGACGTTTAATAAATTTGTTACACATTTGACAGTAAAAAAATATACACACTATAAAAAAGCATATGCTCAGGTGAAATATTTACTTTGTGTTGCAAGTCAAAATAGTGTAAACGAAAATCGGAAAATTACCAAGCAAGTGACTTGTCAAAACTTCGTCACCATTACCGATGCTACTCACAAAGATACCTACATTTCCTTATTATCTCGAAAACTGTATTTCATTGTGTTGATCAATGTGACCATACGCCATTACTACCCATAAAAGTGACTAATGCGCTTACGAATGGCGCAGCAGAGGTCGCGAACTAGTCTTGATTTCTGCTATACATCCGGGTACTCACTGGGGAAAAACAATAACAAAGGCAACAACCAGTCCCGGGGAATTGCGTTAGATCAGTGCCCCTTTAATTAAACATTTTCAAATTATGGGATGGGATTGCCGATGCCAACGCCAACGGGAATGGAGCTAAAACCAATGTCTCCCCTTCCTTTGAGGGGAGGGAGACATAATGACTGTGACTCTACTGATCCTGACTTACCCTCTCACTACAGCTGTCCTCTATGCATGTCTCACACAGAGAGGAGAACACAAGGAACTTGATGGAAACACTGACAATGTTGCCACTGTTGCTTACAGAAACTTCGTAACTGTCGTTGGATGGTAGTTTGCACTTCACCTCTTCTTGTGACACAAACACAGCCTTTGATGTCATTATGTCTGTTGATACGGTCAGTGTTGTTTTATTCTACAAAAATAGTGGCAAATAAAAAATTATTCATGTTGGGATATGAAGGTCACGCTAAGTAGTGCTATATCTCCGTTGTTTTCAAAGTAGTAGTTTGCCATATAATCAGTAGGGAAACAGTATTTAATACTCATATGTTTGAATACAATTTATTTTATTTTTCCACCTGTAAATTGTAGCATAATGAAAACAGTTCTTGCCAACTAATGAAGTTTAACTTTCCCTACATGTAGACTGCAGATGGGACCACATGTTAGAAAGTCAGTTGTAGCTTCTTGAACATCATGTTTGTGGTTGGCTTAGCACTGATCTTTCCTCAAATGTAGGCTAAGCTTGCATGGCTAGGTGGGGATTATCCTTTTGACATGGGCTCACAGAAAAGTGATCACAACAAGTGAGCCCACATTTGTGCATCACAGAGCTTATTTACAAAGAAAATAGTTTAGTGAAACGAAACTCACTTCAAATTAATCTTCGAGGTGCAAAAAAACGGGGTATTTCCTAATCAATCAAATTTCTGAAGCTATAAATAATGTCTCAGCTTGAAGACATGAATGTCATTCATAATGTCTTTGACAACAATCCTTTCTCTTTAATAATTTTAATTTTGTTTCATTTTGATATGATGAAGTTAATAAAAAGGGCTAAAATGTGAGAAAAACATTTTTTTTTTAAAGTTTTGGAGAAAATCAAACAACAGTTATCATTTGAATACCCTACCTCTATTACATCATAGCCATAAATTCCCCATTTTAGCTGTCTTCACACCATAAAATCTTTCAGATTTTCAAAATAAGTCCTACATACATAATGATTAGTTTTGAGGTATACCCTATCCTCAGGGACTACTTCCTGTTGTTATAGAGGTAGTATTCTTAGAATTATGCACAAAAACTACTATTGTTTAATAATTCCCTCAAATACCCAGCCTCTATTGTAGCCAGTTATATTCACCAGACGTACTGGGGGGTTTGGCATCTAGTAATTCCAAATAGTTGGCAGCATGCAGTGAAGTAGAAATATAGGATAAATTGAAGTATTATGCCCAATCTCTGGATTTATACTCATAGAAACTCATTTATGATGTCATTTTTGGTTCTATTAACATCTTGAATTTGGAGTGCACAAACTCTTTTTTGCACTTGTAGCACCGAGGGTGAGATTCTCCAATGACTTGGCCAACAACGTTCCAAAAATGTGCTAGAATGTGATCTCATATTTCAAATAAGTGATGTTTTCCCACCTTGCTCATGCACAGTTGCATTAGCCTAGGGATAGGGTTTACCTCAAAACTAATAAAAGATATTTTAGCAGTTAAGAATAACATGTGGTGTGATGACAGCCAAATTGAGGAATTTATGGCTATGGTGTATGAGAGATAGGGTATTCAAAGGAGTTATGTGTTTCATGACAGTCTCAGAATATAATGTTCTATCTTTCCCGCAACTAACCATGATCTTCTGATAGTTACAGGTGAGATTGTCAGTGTCCGCAAAGCCAAACCCGAATATTGTGACAGGGTTGCAGGGGGACAGCAAAGTGTCGCAGAGCAAGCCGCCTTGGATGGAGAAGATCTGAGGAGGGTCAGTCAGGCTGATGGAGCAGTCAGGACCTGCATAGCCTGTGTTACAGTCACATTCCCCTGAAACACAGTTATGTTAATCACTACATGTAGAATCCTTAGCAATAAACCATCCTCAAAGCGCGTGCCTCTAATCTCAATGTAGTAGCAGGAGGTGTTTTTTTTTTGCTTGTTCAAACTAGTAACCAAATATACAGTTGTGTACCATCAAACTGGGAAAGGGCCTCCCTACATAAACAAGCATACAAACTCTTATTGCGACCATGACCATAACAGGAGATGTGCATAAAGTAGTGTGCATGTAAAGGGAAGTAACTACGTGCTATATTGGATCACATTTTTTGTATGTGGCAGACTTTATGATGATGCAGGCGGTGCCTGAGATCCAAGACTTTTAATTTTTTTAGCCTAATGTTACATGGAACAACTGGTTCTTGGCTCTGTGATTAAAAGATTACAACATGAGTGTCTGTCGGATACAATTTATAGATAAACAAGTTGTTTCAAAACATATCTAACAAGCAAAAACAAGTCAGATGCATTTGAAATGCTGAGTTGTAAGATAAATGGAATCTGACAGGCAAAAAAAAAAAAGAGTGCAGTAATCTGTTTCTTATACACTCTAATATAACACAATGTTCGGATATTTAGAGGCATATTTCTTCTATTTCTTCTATTCTGAACATCGCATTGGCATATTAATACATGACACATAACACAACAGTCATCAGTGACACTTGGCTTACTGCTCAATACCAATACCGGGTGTGAGCCTCTACAAAAATGTATCTGTGGATTATCAAGGCGATGATTATAATGCAAACAATTTAAGATCAAAGAACATCATTAAAATACCCTAAAACCATAACTTTTCGACACAGATGAAGGTGTAATTGACTGAAGTACAAGAAACTTTTCAATGAATTGTAATCAGGAAAGTAGGTCATGATAATCTGACCCTACGTCATCAGCATGGAGTAGCCAGTCACGGACCTGCAATTGGGTCTCACACATGTTTGTTACCGGTTATCTCAATTGGGTTTCTCTCCTACAGGGCCCACAAGCACAAAGCGATCTTAGCGCTACAACTATTGTAAGCCTATGTTAAAGCATTGGAGTTACGATCATCTTAGCGCTAAGATCGCTTTGTGCAAGTGGGCCCAGGTATGTAAGAAAATGAATGGGAACATACAAAAAACAACTGAATACCAACATCAAACATCTTTGCATACTGGTATATATTTGACACAAACACACACCCGCACACCCACATCAACTGACAGTCTGTAGAATATCACAATACAATAACTGGACAAGAAGATGTAAAGAAATAGGGAAGTTTGGCTGGGTTACCTAGGCTGCAGTTGCCATTGTTACTACATTCATTAGGACATATGGCATCAATGACAGCAGGCAGTTGTGTTTCTCCATCAATCTCTAGCCACAGCTCTGTGTTCCTCTCTATGGCAATTGCACACAGCTCCTTAATGTTCTCCCGAGACACCTCCATCCATGTAAAGTTTCCAGTTATCTGATACACAATATATATTGCCCAACTATAATAAACATTCATTTAATAATTTAAAAGCAAAAATAAGATAAAATCTCATGACAAGGAATATTTCAACCTGTATTTGACCAGATCAATATTGTTCTGGTGCACCGATAAGATAAATACAACACTTGTGTGTCATGCCTGTTAATCCATATGTCCCATGAAAAAAAAAATGTTATCATATTGCTTGACAATAATGTTTACAATCAAAAATCCACAGAATTATGGTCTTGCTGCTTATTAGATAAGGAAAGTCAATTTTGTTCTATAACATTTCCAGGTGGATGAAATAGGGTTTTTTTCAATCAGGAAACCTTTCAACACAACACAACACAATCTTTATCTACCCGTCCTTCAGACCCACATCACAACCTTTCTCTACCTGTCTATCTTAAGCGAGATGCAACATTTCCCCACCTTTTCCCTCAGATGCATGAAACAACATATCTGTCAGACCCTCACACAACATTTCTCTACCTGTCCATCAGACACTCACACAATATTTCTCTTCCTGTCAGACCCTCACACAACATTTCTCTACCTGTCCGTCAGACCCTCACACTACATTCTCTACCTGTCCGTAAGAAGCAAAAATGCAATATTTCTCTACCTATTAGTAAGAAGAAAGAACACAATATTACACTTCCTGCCTGTCAGACACTCACACAAAATTTCTCTTCCTGTCAGACACTCACACATCATTTCTCTCTACCTGTCCATCAGACACTCACACTACATTTCTCTTCCTGTCAGACACTCACACAACATTTCTCTGTCTGTCCATCAGACACTCACACAACATTTCTCTTCCTGTCAGACACTCACACAACATTTCTCTGTCTGTCAATCAGACACTCACACTACATTTCTCTTCCTGTCAGACACTCACACAACATTTCTCTTCCTGTCAGACACTCACACAACATTTCTCTGTCTGTCCATCAGACACTCACACAACATTTCTCTTCTTGTCAGACACTCACACAACATTTCTCTGTCTGTCCATCAGACACTCACACAACATTTCTCTCTACCTGTCCATCAGACACTCACACAATATTTCTCTTCCTGTCAGACACTCACACAACATTTCTCTATACCTGTCCATCAGACACTCACACAATATTTCTCTTCCTGTCAGACACTCACACAACATTTCTCTATACCTGTCCATCAGACATTCACACAACATTTCTCTGTCTGTCCATCAGACACTCACACAACATTTCTCTTCCTGTCAGACACTCACACAACATTTCTCTGTCTGTCCATCAGACACCTACACAATATTTCTCTTCCTGTCAGACACTCACACAACATTTCTCTATACCTGTCCATCAGACACTCACACAATATTTCTCTTCCTGTCAGACACTCACACAACATTTCTCTATACCTGTCCATCAGACATTCACACAACATTTCTCTGTCTGTCCATCAGACACTCACACAACATTTCTCTTCCTGTCAGACACTCACACAACATTTCTCTGTCTGTCCATCAGACACCTACACAATATTTCTCTTCCTGTCAGACACTCACACAACATTTCTCTATACCTGTCCATCAGACACTCACACAACATTTCTCTACCTGTCCATCAGACATTCACACTCCACCAGATCCTCACACAATATTTCTGTCTGTCCACGAGATACTCACACAACAATTCTCCATCTGTCTGTCAGAATCTAGAAGACAAAACCTGTCTCTAACCATCTGTCAGATCCCCACACAATATTTCTCTACCACTCTATCTCTATTCTCTGATATTTGAAAACTAGATCTTCACACATCATTTCTCTACCTGTCCGTAAGAAGCAAGAACACAACATTTTCTCTCCCTGTCCATCAGACCCTCAAACAACATTTCTCTCCCTGTCCATCAGACCCTCAAACAACATTTCTCTCCCTGTCCATCAGACCCTCAAACAACATTTCTCTCCCTGTCCATCAGACCCTCAAACAACATTTCTCTCCCTGTCCATCAGACCCTCAAACAACATTTCTCTACCTTCTGTCTGTCCACCAGATACTCACACAACATTTCTCCATCTGTCTGTCAGAATCTAGAAGACAAAACCTGTCTCTAACCATCTGTCAGATCCCCACACAATTTTTCTCTACCACTCTATCTCTATTTTATGATATTTGAAAACCATTTGTTAAACTTCCACATTAATACTAGTCATTCTTGATTGCCTGTTGTTTTCAAAACTTAACTCATGAACAAGAAATGATGTCATAACTTTGATCTCTGTGTTGGTTTAAGTTCATAACAATGTCCATACTTAAAATAGCTGGCAGTATATAAAAACACAGGGGTGTTGTATAAAACCAAGCGGTTAATAAACATTGTAATAACCTGCATCTTCACTGAAATGTCTCTACAAACATTACCAATGAATGTTTCTCTGGCAAGTTGTTACTTACCCCTATCTCTACCTCCACCTGTCATACCTGCATAGCCTGTTCAATCAATATTTCCAATTACTGGGATTCGAACACCATCAGACAATTCCCTAATTATTCCCAATATCATCTGAAAAAAAATAAAAGACACTGGTACACATTGCTTTATACAATGTTGAAACTCACCAGCAGATCTTCTACACAGAAATCTATAGCTAGATCAAAGTTTGTCTCTATGATGCCCTTGCACGTCCGAGCTGACTGAGATATTTGCACTTGTGACCTACAGAAATCCTGAGCCTCGATTTCTGTGATGCCAAAATCAATGAACTGAAAACATAACAACACTTGGTCAGTAGAATCAAACGTATCAACATTCAAATAATCAGTAGTTTCACGGTATTTATGTTGAAAACGTAGTTTTATCATGATGTATGTGGCCATGCAAAGACCAAAAAGGAAATAACCCGAAAGCTCTCTTAAATGTAACATTTTATGGCACAAACCATACATTAACTGGATATTGAATTTTACAATAACAAATCCCCACATGGCTAAGTAACGAACAATTTTTTAATTTTCAATGTAGAGGATCTCATCATGGTGATTGTGAAATTAGGAAAATAATTACCACATATTACTTGACCACATTTTAGACACAAATTTGTTTGATGGTATAATTTTATACCTGCCTTCAAATATATAAACCTTTACAAATATACAATTTAATAAATGCAGCAATCAGTCGTTTTACTTTTGATTTCCAATGTCGTTTCGTGGTCCCCATGCCTGAATCTGGTCACAAGGCTTCAACTCACTAAGGAGGATCATTACCTGATGTACGTATGTAATGTTAAACTGGAAGGTGACTCTTGGTTCACTGGAGGTACACTTGAGGGGAGGAACAGCTTCTTCTAGAAGACCTTGTGTTATGTCCTTCCCTACAAACAGATCACAGTCAACAAACACAATCTACACGGGAAACACTTTCAGCAGCATCTCCACCACACTGGCTTGGTATTGGTCAATCTGAATGAAGTCAATGTACAGCAGTCACAACTGAAACTAGTCCTCTCTTAAAAAGAAATACATAAATTCTTTGATATGCATTACATGTTTTTGGAGGGAAATAAATAAGTGTTTTGATCGTAAGTTTTGAAAATGCTTTAGTTGTTTATACTTTAACAATAGTATCTGAAATGTGATCAGGGATATGAAGCAGCTATTGTGATACATGTTTATTATAACTTAGTAACAACTGACCCTTCTTCTTGTTTCCTCGACCGCCATGATCCTGGTCACACGAGAAGATATCCTTTCCGATTCCACACACATTATCTTCCCCAAACATACAATCACAATACACCTGGGATGACCCCTCTGATAATGCACCACAGTAGCCATCATACAAGGAATCCGCCTCTGACACCCTGAAAACATAACATACAGTTGCCATTATATAGGGAATCTTCCTCTGACAACTTGAAAACATAACATACAGTAGCCATCATATAGGGACTCTTCCTCTGACACCCTGAAAACATAACATACAGTAGCCATCATACAAGGAAATCTTCCTCTGACACCCTGAAAACATAACATACACTAGCCATCATATAGGGAATCTTCCTCTGACACCCTGAAAACATAACATACAGTAGCCATCATACAAGGAAATCTTCCTCTGACACCCTGAAAACATAACATACAGTAGCCATCATACAAGGAATCTTCCTCTGACATGCTGAAACATAACATACAGTAGCCATCATATAGGGACTCTTCCTCTGACACCCTGAAAACATAACATACAGTAGCCATCATACAAGGAAATCTTCCTCTGAGAGCCTGAAAACTTAACATACAGTAGCCATCATATACAAGGAATCTTCCTCTGACACCCTGAAAACTTAACATACAGTAGCCATCATACAAGGAATCTTCCTCTAACACCTTGAAAACATAACATACAGTAGCCATCATACAAGGAATCTTCCTCTAACACCTTGAAAACATAACATACAGTAGCCATCATACAAGGAATCTTCCTCTAACACCTTGAAAACTTAACATACAGTAGCCATCATATACAAGGAATCTTCCTCTGACATGCTGAAACACAACATACAGTAGCCATCATACAAGGAAATCTTCCTCTGACACCCTGAAAACATAACATACAGTAGCCATCATATACAAGGAATCTTCCTCTGACACCCTGAAAACATAACATACAGTAGCCATCATACAAGGAATCTTCCTCTGACACCCTGAAAACATAACATACAGTAGCCATCATACAAGGAATCTTCCTCTAACACCTTGAAAACATAACATACAGTAGCCATCATACAAGGAATCTTCCTCTAACACCTTGAAAACATAACATACAGTAGCCATCATACAAGGAATCGTCCTCTGACACCCTGAAAACTTAACATACAGTAGCCATCATACAAGGAATCTTCCTCTGACACTCTGAAAACATAACAAGGAATCATCCTCTGACACCCTGATAACATAACATACAGTAGCCATCATACAAGGAATCTTCCTCTGACACCCTGAAAACATAACATACAGTAGCCATCATACAAAGAATCATCCTCTGACACCTGAAAACATAACATACAGTAGTCATCATACAAGGAATCTTCCTCTGACACCCTGAAAACATAACATACAGTATCCATCATATACAAGGAATCTTCCTCTGACATGCTGAAACACAACATACAGTAGCCATCATACAAGGAAATCTTCCTTTGACACCCTGAAAACATAACATACAGTAGCCATCATATACAAGGAATCTTCCTCTGACACCCTGAAAACATAACATACAGTAGCCATCATACAAGGAATCTTCCTCTGACACCCTGAAAACATAACATACAGTAGCCATCATACAAGGAATCTTCCCCTGACACCCTGTAAACATAACATACAGTAGCCATCATACAAGGAATCTTCCTCTAACACCTTGAAAACATAACATACAGTAGCCATCATACAAGGAATCGTCCTCTGACACCCTGATAACATAACATACAGTAGCCATCATACAAGGAATCTTCCTCTGACACCCTGAAAACATAACAAGGAATCATCCTCTGACACCCTGAAAACATAACATACAGTAGCCATCATACAAGGAATCCGCCTCTGACACCCTGTAAACATAACATACAGAAGCCATCATACAAGGAATCATCCTCTGACACCCTGAAAACATAACATACAGTATCCATCATACAAGGAATCCGCCTCTGACACCTGAAAACATAACATACAGTAGCCATCATACAAGGAATCTTCCTCTGACACCCTGTAAACATAACATACAGTATCCATCATACAAGGAATCATCCTCTGACACACTGTAAACATAACATACAGTAGCCATCATACACTGGATGAAATTGTCATTGAACAGTTGTCATAAATGAGTGAGGAGGAAGGTCTCCATGATGTTGCCACAACTGAAGAGTCAGATTCAGAGAACCTGGAGGCCTGCATCTTCTGCAAGATACTTTCCAGGTGGTGAGACAGAGTCTGGGAAGAGAGGCATAGAACATGTCCTACTTGGGCTGGCGCAGAAGATCTCTGTGAAGTGGAAGGCAGAGAGGATTGTCCACCAATAGAGATAAGTGACTGGTAAAACAGGTCCTGCTCCTCCAGACTGGAGCGTTGAGGATGAGCTTCTGAAGCACTTTGTCTAGGAGAGAACATGGAGGGAATGCGTAAGCGAAGAGACCCTTCCCTGTCTGTGGCTATCAGGATGGATGAGTTGAGAAGACGATCCTACTAATTCTTGTGAGCGTATAAGAACGCGTTCATCTCCCTGCAGTTGATATGGAGATCCTACTCTCTCTCGGTCCATAAGCCCTATGTCTAGATATCATCCATATGGGCTCCCCAACCTGAGTCCGAGGCGTCCACAAAGAGGTTGTGATGTGGTGAAGGGGAATCCCTGACATGACATGATCACTTCAGTCCACCAGGGCAGGTCATGAAGGAGATAGAGGGGCAGGAGTACCCGGGAGTCCAGGGCAAGCGGTTGAAGGGAGAGACATCCACTTTCTGATCCATTGAGTTGGTTGATCCTGTACGGTGTGGAGCATCATTAGAGCCTTTGTAAAATGATCCTCTGGAGGGCAGATATACCCTCGTAGAGGAGAAATCTGGCCCCGATGTGAGTTGTGTGAGTTTGTTGTGGTTGGGAAACTTCATGTTTGGGCGTTAGGCATAAATCCAGGGAGGGAGGGAATAAAATCTTTGAAAACTTAATCTGTATGTGACTACTTCAGTATGTGAAAGTGGAAGAATATCTAAAATGTTTGAAATGAATATTACATTAAATATGAAAAGGGAAATGTACCAATACACTTGGCCTAGGTTGGAGTTAAAGAGAGGGGAAATACCTGTCCAAGGCTGAACCTTGCCCAAATCAACTGGAGGGGGTGAGGTTCGGCCCAGGCTATTACTTCCCTGAGGAAGAACTTGCCTAGGCCAGATATTCCCCGGGGACGAACTGGGCAGAGGGATGTTTCAGACTGGTTATGGCAGATGCTGGACCAGTGTACCTTAGTAGCAAGGAAAAGAGCCAGCTGCCAGCTCATTGGAAAGCTTGGGGATGCTTGGTCTGTATCTTATAAAGCAGAACAAAAATCTCACAAGAATCTGCATCCACAGCTAGGAATCACAATACATGTGAGGGTTGCCAAAGTGAAAGTAAACATAACATTATTCTCATGCATTATGCTTGAATGAACCATTGAAACAATTAGTAGGTTTTACCTCCAACTTTGTGAAAAGTTCTTTGGCTCTTTGTCCGTTTCATCAGAAATGACACCATCAATTTTGAGAAGATCATTTTTCTTGTTGCCATCATATACACCACATAAGCCTGGAATGACATGAGTATATAAAACAGAGTCACAGTCCACAGTCTTAACAATGCATATCTAAGACAATAGGAAGGCAGGCTTTGTTTCAATGTAAATGGCCAAAATATATAACTACAAGAACTCATTATATGTGAAAGGTGTGATGAAGTTATTTTAACTATCTCCTGAATTGGACATTACAAAGTACTTGTTCTAAATACTGAAAGGAGCCCTGAGATTCTTTAATGAAGATAATTTAAACTTCATGCAATTTTTCTTTAATGCCTGTGGAGTGCTGCTGCAACATCTTGTTTCGATTTACATGAATAACGAAATTTTAAAATGGTCGAAGATGTTATCCAGCAATGCAACATAATGGAATGATGCACATTCAGAAGGACAAAGGTTGTTTGTATATCCGGTGCCAACACCAGAGTGGTGTGTTCATCATCTTTCATCCTCATAATATCTGTGCAATACATGCCACATTATCATGTTCTGTTAGGCACGTGTTTTAATTAGTTTATGGATCCACAATGCAAATACATAACATCTGCAGAATAAAATTAAGATTTGGAGGGCTGTCTTCTGAAATATTCTGAGTGATGAAAAAAAATTCAAAGTAGGTCCATTTAGAATCCAAGTTTTCTTTTAACTAATCCTCATAACACTTTTTCAATTCTTGTTTATTTCATTCAAAAATATTTTCAGAAATCACTTCAAACAGTTCATAAATGTTATTTTCTATTTTCTATTGTGAGCACTGATCCTGCATTTGGGAAACAAAAGAGGCCTTGAGGTGATCATTATAGATAATATGCATTCCAAACATTTCAGTTTTAGGTTTTTGATGTGTCTGAAGTTATTGTGTGATAGATACATGGCTGCAGTTGTGTACCTTCAGTTTTGTTAAAGCCAGCAGCAGATGCAGTAAGATATACATTGATGAAGTTCCTACTGCGGCCCCGCTTCTGCACCTTCACCTTCAGCAGGAAGCCATTAGGCAGGTACACCTGACAAGACACCATCAAACATTGTACAACATTCACACACAGCAACATATCAAACACAAACACTGGCATGATAAGGTTAACAAATATAGTCTTGGTTCTCAGGCACCAAAATATTATCATACAGTCTACCACACTTTTCGCTTTTACTTCCATTTTGAAAAATATTAACATGTAAATATTCTGTCTCAAACACAAGACACAAGACAAAGAAATGCTGCAATACTGAAAGTATCACTTCCCTTTACTGCACATCTCGTGTCATGATCATGGCCGTAGTAGGCGTTTGTATGCTTCTTTTGCTGTTCACAAACTTGGTCAATAATAATATGAAATTTACGATAAAACATCACTAAACATGATGGGGTACCAAGATTTATAACTTCAGTTGCATTTATTTGCTGTATTCTCCTGTTTTATATGCTGAGATTAAATTTACCGCGTGTAATTATCTTGTAACATAAGTTGGAAATAGCAATCAGATGTGCACACATTTTTGGGTAATTCTCTTGAAACAATACCTACCATCATCACTGAATATATCAGGGAAACATTGCATCTCTAACATAAATCTGATCATAGTTGGTGTAAATAATGGTGAGTTTGGATAATTCCTGTGGACATGAAGCAAATGTTAAGTACATTAATACTGAATCTAAGAGAAAACTGAATATTATGAATCAAATATTAACATCCTGTCATGGATCTCCAATTCTATATGCAATATTTCATGTAAATAATAACTTTGATAAAGTTCCAATCACACATAATGCCATTATATCTATCCTCTGAGTATTCAGAGATTCTATACATCAATAGACACCAGGGCAATACTGCTAAGATTGAATATATAACAATGCCTTTACAATATTTGCATATGAAGAACTCTGTGTCCATGGTATGGAAACATTAAGACACTCACGTTATACTGTTCATTCTTTCTCTTGTATATAAAAAGTCCTGGCGTAAGATTCCCATTTTTGTAGATTTTGACTGTCATTGGGTAGCCCTTTCCCTCTGAACCACGCTGAGCTCCACATTTATCTAGCAAGATGACATCATCATCCACCTTCACAGCCACGGCACAGTTACATGATGCTCGCTTGTTGCAGCTGCGGTAGAAGGTGTGGATCTGGAGCATCGGGAACAAAGCATGAAACATACAACCCACAACGCGGCACGCAAACATAATGTATACATGTATCACACATTACTGTCGTTAACCAATATCCATTCAATGTGCACATGGAAAGCTTAAGGTACACAGATGTCAAAGATCACATCTAATCATATCAGAAATGTGTCTGTATCAGACCCAATAAGACATGTATAAAGTATTCTTACCTTGATACCAGAGTCAATGATGTTGGCAAACACAAATTCACCCTCGAAGAAATTGTTATACTTCCTGGAATGTGAAATATCAGATGTAAGTTGCCAGAGATCTCCACACACAATTATAACACCATGTAACACAAAGAGACACACTGAGACACATACACAGACACACTCACACAGCATCAGATACAGTCTTGTTATATCAACTCACAGGTTGTCAAAGGTGTAGATATGAGGATCGTTGACTGACATACATATAGAGTTGTCATCCATGTCTTTCACAGTCATCTGTAAGGACAAATATAGCATCAGTGTGCATTGTATGCATCAGTAGCACCAATCATTACAAAAATCATTAAAGAGATGATATATAAATGAATGTATCAGACATCATTCATGAGCAATAAACACAATAAACAAACAGCTCATCAATCACCTTGATATTTCCAAGCTGAAGTGTGTTGGAGTATGTCTTGGATGTTACCGTGGCCCACACACTGACAGAACGTACTTGGTCCTTGTCTTTGACACCATCAATGACACCCTTTACATCAATTCTGTGATTTTTTTGCCAATTCTCTTCCAGCACTAACAGCCCACAGAATGGAGTCACCTCCCTTTGCTGCCACGACAACACAGCTTGTGGGATGACTGACTTGTCAGGACACTTCTTCTCCTTGCTGGCACGGATTCTGGCATGAAGCTTCACCTCACATGTTGTTCTCTCAGATGCTGGGCAGAAGAAGGAAGGGGGAATGGTTGTTCGGACATCAATGTGGCCCATGGATCCTTCCATGATAGTCAGTGACTCAGTCAGAATCTGAAGTCATAGAACACACGACAGCAGTAATATACACTGTAGCTCACTTAGATGTGTCACTGGATGATAAATTAATCACATAGCTTTTGCTGCTATATACAATGACATGATACACATGTCAGTAATCTTTTATTTGGAAGTTTACACGATATATAGATTTTCAATTGGACAAGAGATCAGTCACATGACCATGAAATTGACGTTCATATGTTTTTCATAAGACCTTGTTCTTGAAATTACTTAAACACTGATGGACTACTTCCACATTCTTAGGGGACCCCTGGGAATTCCCTTGCATTTCGACCCTTTAATCTTGAGCATTTTCATTTACATTGAGAAACATCAGAGAGTTAGATTTGACTGCATGATCGTTTATGAATACCCTCGCTACAACTATGCTTGTGAACAAAATGAAGAAACAGACATCCAAACTGTTGCAGTTGCAACTCAATCCGTGTCTTGACCGATTTACCTTAGTGCCTATTTGACACATCATTAATCACCTTTCAGTCATCGGCTAATCAATCAGTATTGACTAAAACATGTAACTGCCACAGGCTCATTTAACAACTTCCAAAATCTCTCCCATCACATTTATCGTGTCGGCCATTTTGAGATCTTGTACTTAAGGTAAATGTATTACAATGCACTGTTCTAGTTCTAAACAGACCTTTCTTGCCTAATAAGGATATTATTTGAATACTGTAAACAGCTTTATTTCTGCACCGTTAAAATATTGCGAATACCACACCAAAGACAATACTGCGACGAGATATTTTTGCGAGTTGCCTCGTTGAGATTATCAAATGAGATAATTGACTCAACTCAGTGTCATGACTGAGTTTGAATGCAAACTATATAAGAAGTATTTTAATGAAAGTTCGTCACAAATTGTGACAATGTGGAGATACGTAACGTAACGGCTTGTTTCCTGTGTGGACAAAATTGCAAAGGACACTGACGCAATCAAGCAAGGTTGGAAGAAGGCAGGATTACTGTGAGGTAACAGTGACACTAATTGGTCTGTTTACACTGTCATTTGTGATGTATTGGTTGACCATTCTGCATTCATTTGTGTTTTTAACTTATTGAGTAACTTGTGGTTCTGGTTGATGATTTCAACATTTGATGACGTGTTGCAAGGAAGAAAGTATGTATGTATTATTTATACTTATTTTTGCGTTTTTAATTTTTGCGATTGAGTCTCGTTCTCAAAACTCGCAATAATAAAACGGTCGCAAAAAATTCCATGTTTTCAGTATATGTGTTGTGTCCGATATTTCTGAAGAGCAAGTTGTACATACATAGAATCATGTCACATCTCGTTTTGAGGAACTATTTTATTCTGCGATACAGCAGGTTGTTGTATGGCAGTCAGTGTAAACCTGAAGTCACACGTACTAAACAAACTTGGATATATATCTGGGCCTACATCCTTGAGGTACAAAATTGTGCTAAAAAATTATAAGAATTGACTTTAAATTTGTGTGAGTTCATTGGCGTATGAACCTTCATAGAGTGAGGGCCAAGCATAATATTGTATGAACGTCGTCACAAAGTCAGACGTTCATACACTTTTGCCCTCTCTCTATGAAGCTTCATACTCCAATGAACTCACACAAAGGGAAAAGGTTTGCTCAACACTTTGAACAACTTCACTTCATATTTCAAATCATCTCATTAATAATTGCTCTGTTGGCATTGATAGGAAAAAACAGTAGGCTGTTAGCCTAGCCTTTGACATCACTAGATGTAAGTATATACTTGTAAAAGAAAGAGTAACAAGTCGGGTGTGAGATTACCTGAATGCCTAGTGTGATGACTGGACTCCGGGTCACCTCGCCTCGAGTCCCCTCGCAATCAACACTCAGACACACAGTCACCTCACAGTACAGCTGAAATACACAATACACAAGCTGCATGAAAGGCAGCAATTCAAAAGTTTGGTATGGAGTGTTTAAGAGGTCTGCAATTTCCTATCCAAGCTCTATAATCATCATATTTCTTCTCTTAGATATGCAGCTTCACTTTCACAGGCAAAGAAATATGCCTTACAGGAAATATCATACCATTCTAAAAACCTTCCTTGGCATGTTGCTCCACCACACCTGTGGTGCTCTGTTTCCAAGTGCAAACATGGTTCTTTCCAGAAATTCTCTTAGAGCATGTCAATTTTGTCACAATGAAGTTTTAGAGCGTACCGTATGTGGGTATGCCTCAACACACCTTTTGAACTTCTCTATCTATCAGAAAAGATAAAATGATTGACTTGTTTGATAATTATACTTTAATTTTTCAAACTGACACCTATTAGTTTGATTGTATGGCATAAGTACCTGACTTCCAAGTCTGACATTAGGGTAGATGGTCTGATTGAGGGCTGGAATAACATCTGTGGAGACAGTTTCACTGAGAAGTTGCTCTTCATCCACATAATATGCCACAGCATATTTTACACTGACTCCTTTCACTAATGAGAACTGGCACATGAAGTGAGCTCCAGCCTCTGTCGTCTCTGTGACTACAGTCGGTGGTGAAGGAAGCTTAGGGTAGCCTGAAACACAAAGTACAAGTAAGTTGAAGGGGAAACTCTGTGTATGTCAGTATAATGTGCCTGACAATGTTATAAATGCTTAAGTCATAATTAGGATGCACTGATGTTGCAGCATTACTCTTTCATGTGTCATTCATCTTATTAGACTGATGGAAGCATAGCAGAAAAGAGATGTGAGATACTGCACTTTCCTACATACTGCACACATTAAATGTTTTAGAACATATCCATCATCCAGCTGCAATGTGCCTTGTCAGCGTAATTCCCTTCCTACCTGCATATGCCCATGTTTAGCTCACCTAGTGGGATGTTCAGTCTGTCTGTGACCTCCTTGGTGGCAAACACCATCTGCCACTGCTCCAGTACACAGCGAGCATATTTTCCGCCTCCTTGAATTGGGCGTCCAAAGAAGAAACCTTTTCGTATGACATTACCAACATTACGCTTTTTGAACTTCTTTGATTTTCTAATAAGCCTTCCATCAAGGGAACAGGATAATCCACGCTGTAAATTCCATGAAATTTCATAATCTTGATATCTATTTATGAGAATATCCTTTTTGTGGATGTACACTGTCCATTCCTGTGTCTGTGTGCTGACCGTAATGTACAGCCGGTTTCGTTTGTAGTACACAGCAAAGCCTGTTGAGTCTGGCAGGTCGCCACCATTTGTGACAATGTAAGTGTTGTCTTCTAACTCAAGGAACTTGATGGTGAAGAGGAAGGTAAAGCCCAGTCTGCACTGACTGGGAGAGAACACGCAACTTTCTTTGATGGACTGCAAACCAGACAGGTCAAGGAACTGTGAAGCACCATCCAACTCCATTGAGAAGCGGTTGCGGCTATTTCTGGTCAGAGTGATGCCTCCTTCGAGTGTGATGTTACCCAGTGAAGTTTCCAAAATGTTACCAATGATTCCTTTCCACCTGAATTTCAGCTCCTCAATACGGTCCACTGAAAACAAGAACAAAGCACAGCTACAGCTTTTCACATTCATCGATATATGAAGGTATGGCTACCATAATTCCCTTTTTTGTGAACAACATATTCATTTTGGTATTCACACAGGTGAATGAGTGAGTGAGTGAGTATGGTTTTACGCCGCTTTTAGCAAAATAGAAGCAATATCATGGTGGGCGACACCAGAAATGGGCTTCACACATTGTACCCATGTCAGGAATCAAGCCCAGATCTTCGACGGAGTGATGAGCGAACGCTTTAACCACTAGGCTATCCGACCGCCCCACAAAACAGGTATACCTCTTATTGTAGTCCAAGCAGTTGAAGAGATGATAAGGTTGCACATTTCATCTGGGCTTTCAGGGTTGAAGAATCCATCAGCAAAGCACTTGGAGTCAATTTTACAGACATCATCCTGGAAAATCACACAGCATATTTCTGGAGTTTGTAGTCATTGATAAAAGTTCAACATGACAAGCTAGTGTTTAAACCACAAGGCTACCAACTGCACAATAAAATAATGATAACAATAACAACAACAACAATGACAAGAAGAAGAAGAAGAAGAAGAAGAAGAAGAATATACATACATATAGAACAGAGAGGGGACATTAAGAGAGTAAACATATACACATTCAGTGATAGCGTTCAAAATGGCAATATAAAGCAATACATATTTCTTGACCACAACTATTCCTGAAGTGTGGATAACTACACATGTGGAAATATCTGTATAATACAGCGTATATTGATATGTAACCCCTCTTCTTCATCTATCACGGGACAATAAAGGGACAATTCATTTCCTTCAATATCACTATCATTATGACTATGCTTAACCTGACTGATGACTGGAATCTGGTGAAGGTGTTCACCTACCCTGCCCTGACAGCTGGTCACATTGTCACATGTCTGACAGAGGGAATCAAATGCCCTGTAGAGTAGAGTCTCGTTGCTGGTGGTAGCACCATCATTGCTGACAGAGATGTGGAGGTAACCAGCAATGGACAAGGAGCATCGGATCACTTCTTGACTGACAAAGACAGCCTGTTGTGTAGTCACTTTATCCTGTGGGGTACAATGGCAAACACATTTAGTGGATCAGCTACATCATGGCTTACTGCATGACATCATATTAAACTGATACTGAATCTGAAGAGGTAGTGGAAGTAATAAAACCAGAAACCATTTTCGATTTGTGTTCACTGGGGTTGTATATGCCTGGATTCTTTGACATCCTTAACAAATAAGAATAGACATGTTTGTTTGTTGTTTAACGCCGCGAGCAACAATATTCTAGCAATATGAAGGAGGTCTGTAAATAATTGAGTCTGGACCAGACAATCCAATGATTGACAATATGAACATCAATCCATGCAATTGGGATACTTAGTTATATGACATGTCTGCTAATTAAGAGAAATTGTTTCATACCCATCGATTTGTCTATGACTGTATGAAGGAGAAACGACTCATGAATATATCAGTGTTTGTAAAAGTAAAGTTATAATTTAGAAAACAGCAGTTAAAGCATTAGTCACTGTGTGTGATCCATGACTTTCATAATGATAGGCCTTGGGCTCAAATACCTAGATTACAGGTGAGGTGAGGTGAAATGCGGCTTAACGTCATGTCTTAGATTACTGCATTTGTATAGTGATGTGTGTGTGTATACACGTGTGTCTGTCTGTGTGCTTGTTCTTGTCTGGACTGATGCCACAATACCCCACTCAGACACAGTATACTGTCTCTGAGCCGATCAGTCCGTGTTTTAGCCCTTTAATGCCCCAGCACAAGGCAGGGTAACAAGTACCATGTTTTAACGTCTTTTGGTATGACGCGGTTGGGGATCAAACCCACGGACCTTCGGCTCTCCAGGCAGATGTTCTACCACTAGATCACGGAGGCGGTCACCTAAATTAAAAGTCACTTGATATCAAAATAATGTATATGATTAATCACAAAATCTGTTTTTCAAAGCAATATCATGAGATGCCTTATATCATTTGATTAACTGATAGTTTGTTGATAAGGTTAACGTTTTACTGAGTATATGCCCTCTTCTGATGAGTGTTCTTGAGGAGCAAATGAACATCCCATAAGATGAAGCCGATCTACAATTGGACTACAATCATAACATATAACATTAATTGTGTTGGCACCAAGCATAAAAATGTCATGCACTCAAGCATGATAGAGTGAAAGGTTTTATTAATTTATATAGTCAGTAAGATATTGTTCTGTCTGTCATGTCGAATCTTCACGAAAGATTTGTATAAACCTACCTCCACTCTTGCATATAGTATTGTAGGTATCTTGCTAACTCATAGTAACCTTGTGACTGGTACTACATTCAAGTGAGACCTGCTCAGAAGCTTTACATTTGAATTGTAAGAACTGCTTGGAGGTTTCAATTTTGAATTGTATTAACAGCCTTCTAATATGCGTCTAATATTGATTTTTGACTGGTTAAAAGCCAATGATTTTAAAATCAAAATTCCATTACATGAATCAAACCTGCAACCTCATATCTCATGTTTAGTATTGTAACCAACTGTTTTCCTAATGAACCAGCAGGGCAGGTGATGAAAGGGTGTTCTATTTTACATGTCATGACCTCAGTTGCCTACATGCTGCATGTGGTCTTTCTCTCACCAGCTGTCATCCATTTTTTTTTAAAACACCACTACTATACAGTTTCACTTAACGGTATCCCAATGTTTTCTTTCTGGTATTTCTGGCATATAGATTCTTTCCTGCACTTAAAGTTTTACATGTTTTAGACATATAAACTTGAAAACAAAACTTAATTTCTTCCATCTCATATATTTTTAATTTAACACAAAACATACAACATTTCCAGTACATAAATCAGATCCTTCACTCCAAACATGGTCATATTCTAATACTTTCAACAAAGAATGAGAAAATGGATATTGGAAATTCAATACATACTTATTGTACAAAGATGAATTAACTTAAATTATTGACTCTCATGGAAACAATTGCAAAGTATGCCAATCCATCAAGTTTTATAGAGCAAATGATATCAAGAGAATATTCACTCAACAAAATAGAAATTTTGCATACAAGCTGGTGAAGCACTCAATTTGAAACAAGTAACTAAATTTCACTAATTTCAACACATTTTGGGCAACAGATTCTGATAAAAAGGTAAAAGCTTATTCTGGCAACATCATCTAATTTGAATGCTGATCATGATGCACTGATATAACAAAACTTCTGTGTTCTGTGAAGCAACAAGGAGTAGACCAAAAACATTTGTGTTTCAGTTCATGTATTATGCCCCACTACAAGCTACAAACAAACTACAACTTGACTGGTTGTCATTATTGATGTGATGCCACTGGGTCTATTTGATAGTCTATCATAAACACTTGTTAATGACATAGTCCAAATCTTATAATGAACTCTTTCAGGCTAAAAGAATAATAGTCTTGGTTCTCAGGCACCACCTGCATCATCAGAAAATATGCCAAACATTCCATTTTAATTCCATTTTTGCACAAATTAAAATGCCTAATACTTAAAAACATTGCGATCCACTATAGCACACAGTTACTTCACATTACATGAACACTGCTTTACTGCACATCTTGTGTTGTGGTCATGGCAGCAATAGGAGTTTGTATGCATGTTTATGTAGGGAGGCCCTTTGCCAGGTTGATTGGACACAACTGTTTATTTTGTTACATACTTGTTTGAACAAGCAAGAAAAACAAAAACACCGCCCACCCGCACTACATTTTCAAAAGGTTTTGCCTGAGAACCAATACTTTCATTTTGTTAAGCCTCAGCAGAGTTTTTTTATGGAAAGTGTTTTGGCACTTTTATTTCATGAAACTATTGCTAAACCAAATTTGGTCAAAAGAATGTTACAGTAAGTACTTACCTGTTCATTCTTAAAGTGACATATGAGGTTATCACTTTCCACGAACATGAGTCCATAAATGGTGATCTCGTCACAGTCATCAGTAGTGGTGTCACACAGTTGTGTGTCAAGAGAGAGAAGCACAGGTGGCTGTGCTGACTCAATGTCACATGCAGGTCCCAGCCAGCCCTCATCACATTTACATTCTCCTGAAAATGACAATTTTGTGGATATTTTATAGTCAAATCTTATTCAATGATTGTTATCCTCATTATTGTCATATAGACTGTAACATAACAAATACAAGACAATTCTTTAAAAAAACATAATATGCATGGACACCTACCATCCTCACACTTGCCATTGTCACCACATTCCTGGTCGCACAGCCTGGCAGTTACCTCTGGCAGGATAATGGCCCCTGAGTCTTGGATAACCCAGAGGTCAATATTGAACTCAATCTCCACAGAGCATGTTTGCACTATGTCATAAAACATGGACAGTAGCCAGTCAAAACCACCAGAAATCTGTAAAGGTATTTAAAAAATATAGTCAAACATTTCATTACCTACAAAAGTTGCAACATTCTGTGATCCAAAGTCTGACATACATGTACCAGTTTGTTCAGCTAGCCAACATAGGAGGGACATTCTGTGATCCAAAGTCTGACATACCAGTATGTTTAGCTAGCCAACATAGGAGGGACATTCTGTGATCCAAAGTCTGACATACCAGTATGTTTAGCTAGCCAACATAGGAGGGACATTCTGTGATCCAAAGTCTGACATACCAGTATGTTTAGCTTGCCAACATAGGAGGGACAATCTGTGATCCAAAGTCTGACATACCAGTATGTTTAGCTAGCCAACATAGGAGGGACATTCTGTGATCCAAAGTCTGACATACCAGTATGTTTAGCTAGCCAACATAGGAGGGACATTCTGTGATCCAAAGTCTGACATACCAGTATGTTTAGCTTGCCAACATAGGAGGGACAATCTGTGATCCAAAGTCTGACATACCAGTATGTTTAGCTAGCCAACATAGGAGGGACATTCTGTGATCCAAAGTCTGACATACCAGTATGTTTAGCTTGCCAACATAGGAGGGACAATCTGTGATCCAAAGTCTGACATACCAGTATGTTTAGCTAGCCAACATAGGAGGGACATTCTGTGATCCAAAGTCTGACATACCAGTATGTTCAGCTTGCCAACATAGGAGGGACATTCTGTGATCCAAAGTCTGACATACCAGTATGTTTAGCTTGCCAACATAGGAGGGACATTCTGTGATCCAAAGTCTGACATACCAGTATGTTCAGCTAGCCAACATAGGAGGGACATTCTGTGATCCAAAGTCTGACATACCAGTATGTTTAGCTTGCCAACATAGGAGGGACATTCTGTGATCCAAAGTCTGACATACCAGTATGTTCAGCTAGCCAACATAGGAGGGACATTCTGTGATCCAAAGTCTGACATACCAGTATGTTTAGCTTGCCATCATGGAAGGGACATAGATGTGGGAGAAGAGAAGACATACCTGGATGTCAGCAACACAGCCCTCAAGTGCCAGTTCAAAGTCAGCTGAGATGAGAGATTTGCATGCCTGTGCAGCAGCATGGATTTCAATAAATGACTTGCATCTCTCCAAAGCCACCTCTCTAGTGATGCCATTTACTGGCCAGGTAAACTCCTGAGGAGCAAAAAACATATCTGTTTACATCAAAGGTACATTTAAGTATTATTAAACGACAAAAGGTGCTGGGATAATCAACATTTATATTTTGAGTTATATCCAGTAAGATTGAAGTATGAATGTACCTGTCAATATCTCCAAATCAAAGATTGACCCTACATCCAACATAAGCTGCAAAGCATGTCAACTTACCAATGCTACATAGGTTATGTTGTATTCCCAAGTAATGACCTCCCTGGGCACACACAGGTCCACCTTCCTGGCAGCCTCAACAAGGGACTGGGTGATGTCTTTACCTGGTGTTACAATCTCAAGTCAGTAACCATAAAGACGATTGCATAACATGCAATGATCTTTCAACTCTTTCACCAAAATTATATTCTAATAAGAGCCCCCTATTTGTAATTTTGAGAGCGCCTTGGGCGCTTATTACGTCAAATACGGTATGTTTAATAATTTGACCTCTTGTGACCTAGATCTGATATAGGGATCACCCAAAAGTTGATGTGATCGAGAGATTGCCTTAGAGATCATGATAGAAATACTGGAGTTGTCTTGTACACGAGCCGTATTGAGTGACCTGATTGACTTGAACTTCAAGGTTACCAATTCACATGCAAGTACATTACTTTTTGTAAACTTGAGTGGTGTTACAAATATGAAAGAAACTATTTACAAGTCATACATGAGTAAATGACCTTCAAACTGACCTTGACACAGCCATGACACATGACAGTTGTTGAGTTAATTTATTGAGAGTCAATCATATTATGGAGAAAATGCTTAGATTTGTAATAAAAAAACTTAACCATTATTCATAATTTGATGTCTAGTGACCTTGTCTTCACACAGAAATGACACGATCAAGCCCCCACCTCAGAGATTATGTTTCAGCAAATTCCACTCACAAAGTTATTGTGTACACAAGCTTTTTTGACACCTAGTTCATACTGACTTTAAGGTCATCCAATCATATGTCAGAAAGTTTACCCATTGCAATATAGGAAGCCTCAAACATCGGTCGTAAGCACATGGATGAGAAAACCAACTGTTTCTTTATTTGTAACGTGTATTTTCATTTCATTTGGACTGATGTATGACAGGACTGAATATTTGTCAGCAGTGAGTGGGCACTACCATGTCTCCTGGATCTCCTTCCTCTGCGTGCTTCTGTCTCCTGACAAGTCTGTACATCCAAAGCACTGCTGCAAGTCATGTCCTCACCCTCAACGCAGGCACAAGAAATGTCAGATCCTACCACCTCAACTTCAGGGCAGATGCCATTATAGTGGGATTCACTTGATGTCACCCTGCCGACACAAATCAATACCTGCAATCTCTTCAACATTTAATGCAAACCAATTTAGTATCTGAGGATCATTTGTATTCATTCATTTAATATATTTAAAGAATTAACTTACCTCCAGGTCTTTGAAAATTCAGTTGGACGCTTTGACTTTCCTCCAAAGATTTTGCCACTTTTCATTGTAAGGTCATTTGTTTTATCATTATCAAATGTACCACATAAGCCTACAAATGTAGATAAATACATATCAGGAAAAGAACAGTTATGAATATGAAATATCACTGATGGGCTTAACACGTTCACGTAAAACTACTAGGAAACTTTCACCTGGCATATTCAAGTTAACATTCACAGAAACATGACTTAACAATGACAGTAGGTTGGGTGCCTACCATTATGCTACTTATATAAAAAATCAACTCTTTTAGCAATTGCCATGGTGAGCTAACAATACTTGTATATTCAAAGCAGATTCCAAAACAATCCCATACCTTCTGAATTCATGAAGTCAGCTGCAGAGGCTTTGAAGTACAAGTTGAGGAATCTTTCCCCAAATAACTTCACCTGCTTTACTCTCAGTTTGCCTCCAGTCGGCAGGGTCACCTAGGAAAACAGTACTGTTGTATAGTACACCAACATTTTTTAATAGCAGCATACAAAGAATGCATTATAAAACTATCTTTAAGAGTGGTCAAGGTTCTGTTATATATGTGAGGATGGCAAACACATGGAACTCACAGTGTACTCAGCACCTCCAGACTTCCTACGGATGATGGTTCCGGGGGTGAGATCCCCATTCATGTACATGTTGACTTGCAATCGTTGGTTGGAATTCTGGCTAGACTTCTTAGGCCCACACTGATCAAACACAATGATATCATCCCCTGACTTGATGGAGACACTACACAAACAGGCTGCTCGCCGACACGCACGCTGGTAGCCTCGGACCTGTTCACATACAGCAGCACACATACAGCACTGGCAAGCAGTAGCTTCATATACATAGTTCTGTAATAAAACCCGCCCAGCCCACAACAAGCTTCTTTGTACTAACTTGATGAGCACATTACCTCAAATGGCAGTTTCTTGTGCCTGTACTGGATGAATTCACCTTCCAAGTAGTTGTCATAGTATCTGGAAATCCAAGACATAAGAGATATGACACAAGACACAAGCGATATTACACAAGACACAAGAGATATGACACAAGACGCAAAAGTTCATGATGCTTTTATCACCTATAATTAAGATTAGGAAAAGGATTCAAAGAAAACATCTCTGATTTTTAAGAGAAATTCTTCTGTTCTGCAGTCCCTAGCTAGGGAATGCAACAGTGCACATTGAATTGTGGCACCTCAAAAAGGGCTGCCTCATCCTTAACTCTACATATACAAAAACTTACAGAAGGATACTCTCTTTGAATAAGAACCAAGAATCTATTACCTAATACCTGCTTTCCAAAGTCTTAGCATGAAATTTAAGTGTTAAAATCTACCTTTAAAAATTATGCTTTATGTACATGTTACTAGAAAACACATTTTGTCTATACTTTATCTTGACATTTTAACTTAAATTCCATCACACTAAAACCTCTGCTTATGCCAAGTATAGAGTGCAACATCCTCCATGTCTGTGATGTCAAACAACTAGAGGTGTTTCCAAGCAGCCCTTTCACTATCCTCAAAGCTCCCAAAATTGTAACATACACTGTGCTACCACTCGTCCAACACTATTACTTCCAGATCATGTTTGTTTATAGTTTAACGCTGCTCTCAGCAATATTCTATTCTAGCTATATGATGTCCGTCTGTAATAAATCAAGTCTCAACCAGACCATATAGTGATCATAAGCACAGATCTATGCATTTGGGATATGATGACATGCATCAGCCAAGTCAGCAAGCCTGACCACCTGATCAACTCAGTTGCCTCTTATAACAAACATAGGTTGATGAATACCAATTCTAACCCGGAACTTCACGGGTATCTTTGATGTCCAGACCTGCACCTCAAGGTAGCGCTATAGCATGGTAATTAAGCTGTTGGTAAGAGGGCAAAGCTGCAGCTGGTAAACTGCATCGTTGCATTTCATATTCTAGTATTTGTAAAGATATATGCAAATATAAACTTTTATATCTGTAGAGGTAAATATGGCTCAGAAACTGACAATTATTTAACAATGTTTTACAACAATATATATACCTTTAATATATTTTTACCAAAACAGGGATTTACATAGACCTTGAGAATGTAAACACAACGTAAACAAAGGCATCAAAACCTTTTGAGAAAATGTTACCACAAACGTTTTTGTGACTTGTGTGATATATCATATAACCTTTTACCTTTAACCTTTTGACATGTGCCAAAAGTAACTTTCAAGTAACTAGTAGTGGTAAATGTAACTTGGTATCAAAAGTGAAACCATTTTTTTTCAATTTGGCTTTCAATTTTTGTTGGAATTACAGTTTGTATACCATAAAGAATCTTTTATTAGAAAAGTTAAGGTTGAAATGTTCATTTGAGCAAAATTGCCACTCTTTTGGTAATGGTCTGAAATTATACCTTTTTCAAGTTAGATTTGGAAAGAATACAACGATAAGTTGGACAAACCTTCCATCAAATGTAACAGTGTGGGGGTCACCAGTAGACCTACACAGACCACTCTTCTTGTCCCTGTCCTTGATAGTCACCTGCAACAAGTGGACACAGCATAGTAGCCAGATCACACAAACTAAACTACCATAATAACCAATTCAAAGGGACAACCACGTACTTAATTTTGTTCGTTATAACCGTAGTTTGTTATAAGTATATATACAGCATATATACAGCAAATGGCTGAGACAAAAAAAAGTTCATAAAATCAAGATATTTTTCATATTTGTATATCTATCATTAAATTAAGGAGTAATGCAGGATAAGTTAAAAAATCAGTTCCTTATATCTGTCAGTTTGTTATAAGCATGTTCATTATAAACATAGTTTACTGTATACAAATACCTGGAACATTTGCTATTGACTCTCAAAATCTGAGATGCATCTAAAATAAATTGGAACATTTGTTCTGAAAAAGATTGGCTATGGCATTACAACCAGTTTGGCATTATATTCAGGAAATTTTAAAGGTGGGAAATGCTTCCTGGCAACCTTGAGCATTATAACCAGTTTGGTGATATCACCAGGGCATTATTAAGGGTTTTTGTGTGTAATACTTGAAATTGACTATACCTTTACTTGCCCAACTTTCAGTGTGCTGTATACCAGACCACCAATCTCAATAGTGGCTGTGACCTTAAAATCTCGCTTTTGGTCTTTGTCCTTTAGCCCATCAACAGATCCACGGATTGGGATCTTCAGGATCTGACTCCACACAGACATACGAATCTCATGGTGACATGGTCTTCGTTCTGTGGAGGACATGTCCATCCCAAATACTGCCTGGTAGATTACTTCATCACTGCCAGGACATTTCAGCTCCTTCTTCTCCTTCTCCATCACAGTCTGTACAAACAGCTTGCAGGCACCATTTCTATCAGGTTGAGCGCAGAACAGTCGTGGTGGGATGGTGGCTGTTACCTCGATGTTCTCATACATGGCTCCCTCCCAGACAGTCACTTCCTTTGTCAGCAGCTGTGTAACAGGTTGTCATCTGGTCTCATGTACTGATGTTATCACAATATCGAATTTACTTGATTAACAAATTAATTCTGCATAACAAATTGATATGACACAAAACAGACCTCAATATCAATATTCAAAATATATTTTTTAGAGTAAAAATATTGTTTATTCATATCCTGACTAATACAAATTGCTTGTCTTTTTATTTTCTGAAACGTAGTGGAAACTTCCTGTGCTGTGTTCCTGGAGAACAGAGAAAACATCTCACACAAATGCACCCCCGATCTGCGCTGGCATACCGGAACAATCCTCATCATGCTATTTCCCAACTTAATGGTCCAAAACACATCAGTGGAGTGAGGGAAAGACCAGGAGAGTACTTATGCATATGAGTCAGGATAAGAATAAATTATATTTTTACACTAAAAAAATACATATTTTATGTGATCCTGACTCATACTAATTGCTTGAATCTCACAGTAGGCAGTGAGTTACACCTGCATGTGTGATTGTCATTGATCTGTTCTATAAAACCCAATGGAAATGTTGGCTGATAACATGCATTGTTTTTCTTCTGCTTTTTCTAATAGGGCAAGACCTTCCTTTTTATGAAAAAGGAAAGTAAATCATTTTAGATTTTGTGGCTTTTTAAGCTTTAATGAGATATTGAATCTTGTTTGCCCTAAACGATTAAGGTGTCAAGAGAAGAACGATAAACATAACACAATCATTCATCACTCATTTGCTAAATTACACAATTCAACAGGGGGCAGTCATTGCTTATGGAACAGTAACCTGTCTACATGTTTGTGGGTGAGTGTAATCTTTAGATATCATCTGGTAGACATTGGAAGTTGTTGCTCAACTACTAGAGGTCCAAATTCATAAATGCCAATCACGTCCTCTGTATCAAAATCTCTGAGATAGTGATTGGCAAAAACTGTATCTGATTTCCAGAAACAGCCTTGCATGATTGTCGGGATAGAGCAATTACCATGAAGTGCCAGTGTTGTGGCTTATATATAGCTCTAACTTCATGAGTGTTGGTATGGAGCAATTACCATGAAGTGCCAGTGTTGGGGCTACAGCTCCGACTTCATGACTGTTGGTATGGAGCAATTACCATGAAGTGCCAGTGTTGAGGCTATAGTTCTAACTTCATGAGTGTTGGTATGGAGCAATTACCATGAAGTGCCAGTGTAGAGGCTATAGCTCTAACTTCATGAGTGTTGGTATGGAGCAATTACAATGAAGTGCCAGTGTTGAGGCTATAGCTCTAACTTCATGAGTGTTGGTATGGAGCAATTACCATGAAGTGCCAGTGTAGAGGCTATAGCTCTAACTTCATGAGTGTTGGTATGGAGCAATTACCATGAAGTGCCAGTGTTGAGGCTACAGCTCCGACTTCATGAGTGTTGGTATGGAGCAATTACCATGAAGTGCCAGTGTTAAGGCTATAGTTCTAACTTCATGAGTGTTGGTATGGAGCATGGTAACATAAGTGTTGGTATGGAGCAATTACCATGAAGTGCAAGTGTAGAGGCTATAGCTCTAACTTCATGAGTGTTGGTATGGAGCAATTACCATGGAGTGCCAGTGTTGAGGCTATAGCTCTAACTTCATGAGTGTTGGTATGGAGCAATTACCATGAAGTGCCAGTGTTGAGGCTATAGCTCTAACTTTATGAGTGTTGGTATGGAGCAATTACCATGAAGTGCCAGTGTAGAGGCTATAGCTCTAACTTCATGAGTGTTGGTATGGAGCAATTACCATGAAGTGCCAGTGTTGAGGCTACAGCTCCGACTTCATGAGTGTTGGTATGGAGCAATTACCATGAAGTGCCAGTGTAGAGGCTATAGCTCTAACTTTATGAGTGTTGGTATGGAGCAATTATCATGAAGTGCCAGTGTTGAGGCTGTACCACTAACTTCATGAGTGTTGTTTTGGTACAATTACCATGAAGTGCCAATGTTGGGGCTACAGCTCCGAACTTCATCAGTGTTGGTATGGAGCATGGTAACATGAGTGTTGGTTTGGAGCAATTACCATGAAGAGCCAGTGTTGAGGCTACAGCTCTGACTTCATGAGTGTTGGTATGGAGCAATTACCATGAAGTGCCAGTGTTGAGGCTACAGCTCTGACTTCATGAGTGTTGGTATGGAGCAATTACCATGAAGTGCCAGTGTAGAGGCTACAGCTCTTACTTTATGCGTGTTGGTATGGAGCAATTACCATGAAGTGCCAGTGTTGAGGCTACAGCTCTTACTTTATGCGTGTTGGTATGGAGCAATTACCATGAAGTGCCAGTGTTGTGGCTACAGCTCTTACTTTATGCGTGTTGGTATGGAGCAATTACCATGAAGTGCCAGTGTTGAGGCTATAGCTCGTCACCCAAAATGTCCCAATTCTTCCAATACACTGTCAACCTTCCACCTGCAGTGGACCGCTGAACGTGAACGAATAGGGGGTGAAGTTCCAAGTGGTTCACCAGCATCTCTTCACCGGTAATCACAGGATTCACTGGATGCACGTCTTGTGGCTTACAAAAGGAAGATAATTTTCCCCCTCTGTAACTGTTAGAGTATCTGTCTTATGTTCTCTGGATCCCGGAGATGATTATAACCTCCATGCACACATACTCTCTCATAGGGGGAGTTGGCTTTGAGATGAGCTGGGCTTCTTACTACTTGAAGAGGCAGCTGGAATAAGTTCAACTTCCTCGAAGTCAAAATCTCTCCCTTCCTCTGAAGATAGACAAGCTGCTTCTTTTTCTTTATCAAAACCAACTCCAACTCACTACGAAGAGATATTTGGCAAATTCTTCTCCTTCCAAAGGAGTGCAGAAAGTGCACCTACTCTCTATAGGGCAGTGTTGTAAGATACAGGTTGGGCAGATATATTTAACTATATTTTACAAATGTTACAAGTTTTCATTACGAAAACAGAGGGTCTGTTTAAAGTCCAAAAAATGAGATATATATTATATAATATATAAGTCCAAAATATTGGCTGAGATGTTTTCTCTTGGAACACAGCACAGGAAGTTTCCACTACCTTTTGGAAAAGAAAGAGATAAGTATAAGTATGAGTCAGAATAATATAACATTATGTGATTTACAAAGTTGAAACAGTTGTGTCAGTCAGTCACTATAAGCATTGATTTAAAAACATATGTCACAACACGGCATAGTTTTCTTACAGATTAGTGACCCTCAGTGTCTTAGGTAAGGTAGTGTCTGCAATCACAATAAGATGTTCATCTAAGCTATAATGTGTCTTGTCAGGTTCATTATGCTCCTGACCAATATCCAAACACTCACCATTCATAGCCTTCATGTACCGGGTATTGTAATCATGCATCTAGTTATATAACATGGAAAAGACAACTTCCTAACATCCCACATGACTCAGAATTGTACACGTTAAAGGACTACAGTAACTGGCAATAAATTACACAATCACATTTCACAATCACCTCAAAGAAGTTCATTTCAGAACAATTTCTAACGATAATCTTTCTGTAGAAGATACTTGAACAATCACTGCTGGCAGCGGTCAGAATGTGACAAGACCTTCAAGCAGTGCCACAGTGCCACTCACCTTGACTTCTGCTGTCAGGTATGCACTCTTACGTGCAGGTCCACAGTTGTCCGCCTCACAGGCATACACTGAGCAGGACAGCTGTAAACAACAATCAGTGAAGGAGAAACGCTTTTCTAAGACCTTCATTCTAACTGTGGCTATTCATATTGACATATATGTGATTACTGCATTGAGAAGTGATAATTGTTAATTACCATGTAGACATTCAGCCATTCATGCATTTTGCCAGACCAATGTAATTACTTCATTTACAGATATTTAACAAAAAAAGTACTGAAGTTGAAAAGGAAACAATAAACAAAATAATTACTGCTTTTCAAAATAAAAAGAGTCCATGACTCAATTTTGTACTGCACAGTCTCATCTTTCCTGTTTAAGAGGGAAAGTTGCTGTCATTTAACTTCTGGTGAAGTCAACATAACTGTCAGTTTTGACATTACTAGACATAATTATTTCCATAAAATGGCTAAAACCTTACAGCTAGATTGGCAAAACAGTTAATTATATTTATCTGGCAGGAGTAGACCATTGAAAATGAATAATAAAGTAAACTATTACCTTATCATTAAAATTGACCGTTCCAATATCCTCTTCCCCAAGTATATTGACATAGTAACCGTTTGTCAAGTTGAGCTGTCGAACATCAACAATATTCTTCCCATTCTTATACCACTCTACATAGTATTGAAGTCCCTGTTGCGTGAGCGGGGAAACTGTACACATCAACTCAACTCGGGATTCGTTCATCAACACAGAGAGCTGTGGGGACCGTGACAGCTTGGGCAGTTCTGTCAGTAAAAGTTAAGTTCTAGCCATGTTTTTATATCCTTCCACATAAAAGGATATATATTGCCGTAGTTTCAATAAATCCCTTTTGCATCTAGTGCATTTAGATCTCAGTAAATGAAATAAGAAAACATACCTTTGCATACAAACATGAAGAATTGCTAAAATATGAATGAAATTATTCATTTGTTACATAAATGTTTTTATGTATCACATATAATCATTATTAGTTTGTATTGAATGGTTTAATCTATGATACATTAGTTTATACATTTTGATAATAATGATATGTTATTTTTTTTTATTAATATAATTGTTAGAAATGAACCAAATGACTTAGAAACAAATATCTCTTTAATTTGAATATCAACACAGAAAGGAAGGGAGGATATATTATTTGCATCAGATGTCAATTTACATTATTAATGCGCAAGATCTTTATGAAAATATTAGCTCACCAATATCAATACTGAATGTTTTGACAATGTTCTTTTCAGCAAAGACAACATTCCAGTCCGAGATGAGGCACGCAGCATACTCCGCCTTGCTGAAGCGCCGCCCAATGTAAAACCTTCTGGTGTGTTTACCCTTGTGTTTATTCTTCTTGGGCTTCACATCTGCATCTACCAAGTCACTATTGAGATACATCCGGAGTCCGGACTGCACACTCCAGGTGAACTCCACCTTGACAAAGCTGTCAAACACAATGTCCCCCTTCTTGTACTTGGCCTTGCATGTCCACTCATACTGGCTGGTGACCAGTCTCAGGTACAGCTTGTTTCCTTGCCACCACATGCTAATTCCAGATGTGTCCTTGCTATCACCTCCACTGGACACAATGTACATCTTGTTTCTGAACTCCACAATACGCAGGTTGAATGAGATGGTAAGTCCTAAGAGGCATTTGTCAAGGTTACCCAGACAGTCTTCTTCCGGTAGTTCTCCGTAGTCCAGAGCCTGGTCTCGGCCATTTAATTGAACAGCATTACCTCCAATAGGGCCAGTGGCAAAGCTTGGCATACCCTCCAATGTAAAGTTGAATGATTGAGTCACGAGGACATTGCCAATAATCAGTGAAAATAAATATCTTGTAATGGTGATTTCACTTCCTGAAAAAGAAGACACATTCTTCATATGGCATGACCCTGTGGTTGGTCAAAGTGCAATGGTCAAGTTATGATATGGCATTTGAGTTGAATATGACATGATTACCAAATACTGAATTCCAAATTTGCCCTCAACACAAAAGCCTATGTTGATAGTGACATCAAGGATATAACAAAGGCCCTAAAAATTAAAATATTTTTTTTACATTTGTATACTTATCCTGCATTTCTCCTTAATGCATTAACTAATGATTCTAGTCATGTGGCTAAGCCCATCACACAGTTCCTACGTGCCAGAAACTATAATCAACCAACTGTTTATCTACAGTCAATTCAGTTGTGGTTGGAAGAAATGTCTTACGAGATGTGACACTCAATTGGTGATCAGCTGTCCAGTTCTTGTTATGAAATGTATTTCACATAAAAAAATTCTTTTCCAATCAGAGTGGAATTACATGATATTCACTATAAATTTAGTCTACTACATTTGGCTGAACTTACTCTGAAGACCACTCCACGCATTTGCAGATAGATTGGGGCGACAGACTTGGCTTCTGTTGACGGGGTTGCTGGACCCAGCCAGGTAGCACTGGCCCGCAATTTTACATATATCTTTCTGAAAATACCAAACACAGCACACAAACAATTAAATTGTAGTGTCAAGGAAAAGTATACCAAGTACCAGTACTACTTCAACCTACCCCTGATACACTGGATCTGTTAACATGTCATAGGCCACCTTATCATAAGATGGTAAATCTTGTAATTGTGACCAAAATAAACATGAAAAGTTGAAGTTAGTTTACAGGATACATTTGTGTAATTTTGTTACTTCAAATACAAAAGCATAGGGTCTATAATGGAGGTTTCATTCACATTGTCATTTGAAATATATTATAGTTAGGATTCGCTATATCTGCAAAGCAACCTCTCCCTCACCCTTTCAACACACTTGTTTCCTTCACACAATTCACAGTTGGAGTCAAAGGTGATGTAGAGTATCTCATTGCTCATGTCTTGACCATTGTTGCTGATGCCAATGGCAAAGCGGTCACTGGAGTTCAGGACACACAGCACAGAGTCCGAACTGATATACAGGGCTTCTACAGAGGTACTGGTGGCTTCTGCAGATTTCCTGAATACCCCATCTGTGACAACCTAGCACAGAGATGATGCATTATTTATGATAATTTTAGTAATGATAATACTGAGAAACCTGTCAATACCAGATTTGTTTTGATATATTCCACTTGATCTAATAGCAAACACACAAAAAACACGCAATAGTTACTTACGTTGTCATGTACTAGAATGTAACCCACAACTTACCTTCCTAACCAGAAAAGAAATATGACATTTTCAATTGAACATCATTCACAAAGAGAGATATAGTCATGCAACAAAGTTCAGCTGTACTCACCAGGGGAGTCATGTGGCATGTCAGATTAGATGACTCAACAAAGTTTTCACCATACAAGAGTACTTTTCCACAGGTTGATTCTCGTATGTTACAGAATGTCCCTGTGATGATTTGAAAGATGGACGGCGGGACTTTGGCACTGATGGAACAGTCCTCGCCAATGAAGTCTTCCTCACAGTTGCAGATACCTGGACATATGTAACTATGTCACATTTCTCAAAGTATAGTAATGTGCACTTCACATTCATTTATAGTGACGTAGTTTGTGATGTATTTTATTCAACTGATGATTACCCAGAACAAAAAGGGCAGGGGTAATGGCCACAAGAAGTATCAGTTTTCAGTATGATCAAAGGGCAAAGGACAAATCAAGGTCAAAATTTCAAAGATTGAAAAAAATGGAACATATATATTGAGTCCCACTACAAACTACACATTAGCAAATGTAATAACATTTTATAGTAGCCAAAGATAGGTTTTTCAATATGTCCGCTGTGGTGGTCATATTGAAAATCGGATTCAAATTTGGTAGTCAGCGAAAATTTGACTGAAGTCATTCAAAACTGTGTCTGTAGACTCAAAGTTTATGATGTATCAATTGATGATTACCCTAATTACGCAAATTCATGTCACCTGTCACTTGTTTCACCATCTGGACCTCGACTAAAAATAGGCATCATCAGATCATGGAGAACCATCCCCTTTAATGCTTATAATTATATATAGTTACATTTGTATACTTATCCTGCATTTACTGCTGTTTTTTTACAGAAAGATGAAGCTGTGAGAGGTCCAGATGCAGAAGAAGTTGTTTAAACCAGTTGTGTGGCAGTATCCTTACACAACTGCAACGTGATCTGGAAGTGGTGACATCACATAAGAGCAAATTACTGCTTTAAATTAAGACTTCGTGGGGAGGTAGTACTGCAATGGGAGGGCACTTAGACGAAGTAATGCAGGATAAGTATACAAATGTGAAAAATATTTAGATTTTACTATTTTTTTAACTTATGCTGCATTACTCCTTAATCTTCATCAGACTGTATGGAAGAGGGCATACCTTCGGATGTGATCCTCAAGTGACCCACGTTAAAATGTCCAAAGAACCATCAAAGTATCCTTTGCGATGACCAGAACTGTGTGACCATTCTTGTTAAAAAGAAATGAGAGTGTGAGGGATGCAGGATGTCCAGGTAACAGTACAGTAATAGAGCTAAGGTCTAGAACTGACGTACCACGCTAATACATGTAAACCTTCTAGTCAGCGGTGACAAGCACCAGAGAGGTCAAAAGGTCAGCTCAGCTCAGGGAATCAGGAAGAGTCAATGGTTCTTGGAGTTGGTGACCTGCTGGGCAATAACCAAGTGGCCAAAGCTGTGGATGCCCTACACATCCTCTATGGCTATGACTCTCCAGTAGTGGCTGGTGAGGAATGTCAGAAAGTCAGAAGCAACCTTGCCATGGAGAGCCATGGTGGAGGCAATTGCTCTGACCTTGTGAGGGTTATTGGCACTTCGGTGATCCAAGCCAGCAGTCTGATAAGCCTGTAGAAAGAGAGCTCATAGCCATAAGCAGATCGTGTTAACGGCTAACGTCTGTCTCCTAGGTCGTGGAAAACCGGGAGGAATAATCATCTCCTGGCACTAGGTGGAGCCTTGGAGCGTAGGAGAAAACACCTCAGTGCACAAACTGGAACTGAGTTCCTGTTCATCTTTGGCACCCACCATCAAAGAGTGAGGTGGGATGATGAAGGATCAGTCTTGCTGCCTTGGGAGTTGATTTTTGGCCATGAAATCCCATCACAGCCCAAGATGAATGGTACTGTGCACCATGCACTAAAATCGGACAAGGGTGATGTCAAGTCCATGTAGCTCACTCACCCTTGCTGCCTCAGCCAGAACCAAAAGGAAGACTGACTTCTTGGTGAGGTTGTAAAATGAGTGAAGTGGCTCAAATGGGGCATCACGCAGCATCGAGAGAGTTACGTTTAAATCCCATGCTGGGAGTCTGAACTTCGCCTTCTGATTCTTTAATCTGAAGGAGTTTCATAATCTGTGTCATTCTGCGAACTTCTGGGACTGCCAATACTGGGGTGAGGTGAAATGGTGTTTAACTTATATAGCACTTATATAGCAGCATGCAAGCACGTCTGTGTGTGGGGGCCTGCTTGTACTAGTCTGGACTGATGCTGATTTTATAGTGCTAGCCCACTGAGATACCATGCCGCAGTTTAATGTGCCCCACTTAGACACGGTATACTGACCAGTCCAGTCCTTGTTTTAGCCGCTTAATGCCGAGTGCCAGGAAGGGTAGCAACCATTACCTTCTTTTTACATCTTTTGATATTATGCGGACCTGACCTACCACTCTCCAGGCAGACGCTCTACCACTGAACTGCCAATGCCGAGTTAAGGGCCACCAGGTAAGTAGTAATGGTACTGCCCTTGAGGTGTCTTTTGCTGTGCAGGAATAGAAGAAATTCGGTCAAGAATGGGGGAGATGCAGTAGTGGGGTGGTGTCCTCATGTTTTCCTTGAAAAAATTCTTTAAGGATCACCACTTGCAAAATTTATAGCTATCACTGCTCTGGCCCAATAACCCTTGGCCTTTTGCAGATGTACCAGGCACAAATGTGCGAGGCGTCTGTTTGGCCAACCTGGTAGTTTGCGGGGGTCCTCTACGGACATGTCTTTGAGATCAACTAACCAGCCCCTTGGCGGGCACCAAGGTGCCATCAAAGTCAGAGCAAGGCTCTTGGCTGCCCTGATCTTCTGCATCACCTTAGGAAGAAGAATGGTGGCTGAAATGCATACGCAATTAGTCCTTCTCAAGTGATGCTGAATGCATCCACCTCCCAAGCCTGCAGGTCTAGGATCAAGGAGACATCTGACAAGGTGTAGGCAACCTCTGCCTGTCAAATCCTGGGCTGATGTGAGCAATCCCATGAGCAAGCGGCTGTAGAAGAGAGGGTAGCAGATGTAAATTAGGCTGTCTATGAGACTGTAAAATTGAAAAGTCAACTCCAGGAAGGTTTCTGATCGTAATGTGTTTGCTTCCATCCCCTTGGTGCCATATAAGTGCTCCAAGTCCTTTTTAAGGTGATACTGAAAGGCAGTGTCTTGTTACTCCGCATGAAGGCATCGGAGGTCTAATGAAGTTAGTGACAATGATGTAATCAACGGGCGTCTGATCGAGGGATTGCAGCATTAAGTAAAAGGAAGCATGCAAGAGAAAACAATGTATAAATAAGAAGCAAAGTGCTGGAAAACTGAAGAGGCATTATATTTTCATAAACATGTATGTCTGTGTTGAGTGACAAAGCTGTATTAAATGTGCTCTTTAAATATGGCAGCTGTGTGAGGCCACTTCCACACATCTAGTTGGAACAACTTCTTCAGCAGCTTGACCTCTCACAGCTTCGTCCTTCTGGCAAAAAACAGCAGTAAATGCATAAAGGAGTAATTCAGGACAAGTTAAAAAAAATATATTTTTGTTGTAAAGATCTGCTTTAATTTTGTGTATACTGGCGTGATTGAGGGATGAGACACACCTTCTTCGCACACACCATTCCCACTACAGTCATCAGGACACATGGCAGCATAGATGGGCGGGAGAGTTGCCACCCCGGTCGCAGAGAACCACAGGGAGATGTTGAACTCCAGGGAGAAGGCACACTGGGACTCAATGTTGTCTCTCATTGTCAATGCCCAGGACAAGTCACTTGTTAGCTATGAAACAGGAAAACAATTAACTGATTGTAATGTATTTAAACTGGTACATATTCCCATTTCAATATATATTGCAACCTCCTTGGTGATAAAGAAGAGAGTGAGTTGTTTAGGGCTTTCAGATTAAAAATCATTTTACATATTTTGCAAGATCTATGAACTTCGTTGAGAGGCATTGAGAAGTACTTAGTAAGGATAAGATATATGGATGAACAACTTCTTTATTAAAATATGTAGTGACATTTTGGTGTAGGTTCTAACACTGTTATCAAGCATGTGATGTACAGAGTATGGTTGACAAGCATATATATAGATATGAGGCAATGTTTTTCAGTTGAGTAGATTGAGATGCAATGACACAGGAATGGAGAAGCCTGTTATGTACACAAAAGAGGAAATAAGGAAGGTGTTCATCCATATATCTTATCCTATAAAGATTACAAATTATCATCAGGAGGAAGAAGTATAAAATAGATCACAAAACCATTTGTATGTTTGGATCCATTGAAAGTTTCAATCAAACTAACCCAAACATAGATACAGCTTTTGGGCAAAGTAGTTGTGCATTTTGTGATTAACCAAATCGCATTCAGTAATTGTGTGATTTTGTTGAAAGATATAACCAGGTAGTCCTAGTACTGTCATACACTTTACATAGTTTAAAGAAAGTGTCAAAGTTCAAATACTTTGTGTGCAATGAAAACCTACAACTCAAGCTATTTACTAAATACAGTCAGTGAGTGAGTGTGTTGGCTCCAGTAATAACACATGAACTGCTCAGTGCAGGACTAAGTCTGATACTCTTGTTAAACTAGATACTGAGTTTACATGTGTCCTCCCAACAGACCAGACACAAATAGCTGAGATCATTGCACTTCAACAGTTGAATGTTTGGATATTCCTGGCCATGTTAAAGTGAAATACAAAATGTGCAGTACTATGTTTCATACATTTTCCCTGTGTTTTGGAATCTTCTTTAAGTATTCATTTTCAAAACTCTCTATTTGACAATTACAACTAAGATCCACATACACGCTACAACATACCCAAAATTCATTAATCCAGCTACATTTAAAGTGCAAGTGTCACTGGTATATAAATACAACTTTGCAGATTTGTATAGATTGTAACAGTGTTAATGCAAACATGTTCAAAACATCGAAAGCGGTGTGTAAATAAGGTTTATTTGCACTTTTGTCCTCTCTATCAATTTCAAAGGCTATTCAGAAAATACAGAGTCCCATCAGGAATTTGAACCCACATCGCCAGCACACAAAGTCAGCTACCTAACCCACTCAGCCACTGAGGCTTCCACAAAAATGAAAGTACATTTACAGATGCTCCTTATATGGTCTTGTTGGAGTGAGTGAGTTCGGTTTAACGCCGCTTTTAACAGTATTCCAGTTATATCACAGCGTGTCAGCTTTATGTGGGAGGAAAGCCCGAAGTGACGCAGGTATCAGACGTTTACCACTTCGGTGAAACCCACGAGCACAGATATGGTGCTGACAAACCTAGAAACATAATTGGGGCGAACCGGGATTCGAACCCACGATCATAGGTTTCTGGCGTGTCCAAGGGACGCAACTCTGCACAGCAAATCGCGGCGCTTTAGACGACTGGGCCACCTGTGCCCCTTGGTCTTGTTGGAGAAATGATCTCAAAATTACACACTTGATCGCACAAGCTAGCTAAAACATTACATGCTTGATCGCACAACAAGCCCATCCCTCTGTTCACATGAAGGCATGAGTATGAGTGAGATTAAAGAATTGAAATATACTCCTCTTTCTTTCAACAATGGAAATGTTACAAAGCCCATTTACATCACAAATTAAGTTCACTATTCGGTGAGAAAACAATGTGCGAAACATACTATTTCTGCAATTGAGTTTATAGTTTGTGTTTCGGTACTTTCATTTATTTTGTTGTGAGACTTTTCTGTGTTTAAAAATATTTGCTGATCTGTGTATGAAATGATCGTACATTGATCGTACTTACATCATTCCTTTCGGTATCCTAATCAAAACTTGCCAATATGTCTGACTCTGACGGTGACAATAGTTTTCGAGTTATCATGGAATGTGAATGTTTTTCAGAAAACGAATTGGTGATTTCGGAAGAAGTACTAATAAACCCCTACCTGTGACCAACAACAGTGAGAAATTACAAGTGATTGCAAAACACAGCTTGGTTTGTTTGTTTAGTACATTTCTCAAAAATCACAATATCCTGTTATGGTCTTGAAATAGCACTACAAAGATAAAGTGACATGTCATAGACCCCATGAATCCATGTCACTTGCTAACGTGTTACAATAGTGTTTGAGCTACCTGGACTAACCGCTGGCATACATCATGTAAAAATCTACTGCAGTTACATGTTGTTGTGAGATGAGTGAGTAGGTGAGACAAATGATGTTCTGGTTAACTATCACTGATTGGCTATAAAGATCAATCAATGTCTATCTTTATAATGGCATAGATTGAGGGTGTGGGTGTGGGTGGAACCTGTGAACTGAAAATTGAAAAGGAAAAAATCTTTTGTTGTTAAAATTATATAATTTACTTGACACGCCCCTACCAGGCATACTCATGACATACAGGTAATCCATACCAGTATTATGTATTCAACATAGGTCTCCCAACAACTAATGAAACAATCGTGAATATTCTTTACTCATCTGGTGGTAATATCCAATCAGCTTGCAGGCCCAGCAGGCAGTGTTTGTTAAGCCACACCTCCTTGTTTACGCTTTTAAGATTTGTTTGAGTTGTGACAAATGCAGACTTTTGATTAAGTGCAACAGCTCTAACTTCTCACAATTCTCACAAAGTTCTCACAACTTTTTCTTGGCGTATATATTTTACATCATACTGGCTACAAAATTATGAAAGAAAAGTTATTATTCTTCATGAGACTTGCTCTTTAAGGTTTCAGGTTGTTTATTCTAAATGAACAAGGACATTACAACCCATTAATAAGGTGGATATGCATGTACATAATATTTTTTCTGTGGTCTGTCTTCATGCTGCATATTCTGCTTGAGAAATACTTTGCTTGCACACTTAATCATAATTCTACAATAGGCTGCCTCTGTGGTCAAGAAGGTGGTAGAGCGGAAGGGATGGTTGGTTGATCCCCAGCCATGTCATACCAAAAGACGTTGAAAGATGGTACTTGTGTTTACCCTGCCTGGTGCTCGTCATTAAGGGGCTAAAACTAGGACTGGTCAGCATGGGGTCAGTATACTGTGTCTTAGAAGGGTATTTATGTTAAACTGAAGCATGGTATCACAGTGGGTTAGCACTATAAAATCAGCATTAGCCTGGCTAGTACAAGCAGCCACACACACATGTGCATGCATGACGCCATATAAGTGCAAAAATCTTGGTCTTAAACCGCATTTCACCTTTACAGATAAATCTACCATTAAGGTGCTGCCATTTGCCATTTGTCCAACACCTAACCTTGTGAAGGGAATAAATGTCTTACTTTGAAAGCAAAAATAGGAAACAACTTGCAAATATGTGTACTGTCTTTCATCTTCAACATGATATTAGAGAAAGACACACACATGTTACAGCAATTGAAATATTAAACACTAACCTGAATGTCAGCAATGCAGTTGTCAACTGAAAGGTCAGCAGTGACCTCTGCCATCCCCAGGCATGACCTGGCAGCAAATGACACCTGTATCTCCCGCTCACAGTGCTTCTTCACATCCTCTATCTCAAGACCAGTACGGGTAGGCCACGCTGCAGGCTACAACAGTAATTGGTACTTTAGGCTCCTCCATTCTGTATGATTACTATATCTATTTCTCTCTTCAGAGCTTCTTACATTAGACTTTGTTTGAAAGATAATATTAGTAAATTGCCTTGGAACCTACTGGGGATATGTAGTCCACTTCATATTCAAAAATCTCTCTCTCATCTGGATTGACACACTTTGATGGCTCCTCTGCCTCAGAAAACAGTTCTGTTGTGACATCAGTATCTGTGTGGGAATTGTAGCATTAATTATCATTATTTTCTGACACCAATCAACTGTCTGACAAGAGAGAAATAGAAGTATTGACACCTACATCTTTTCCTCCTGGCCTTGCCTGTGAGCCTCGGTGGAGCACAGTCCAGGACATACTGGGAGGGTGAGCAGGTGACATTCTCCCCTTTACGGCAGTCACAGTACATGGCCCCAGACACCTCCTCATCCTCAGGGCAGAAACCATCAAAGATAGAATCTTCTGAATTTACCCTGAAAGATTAATGTGACACTAGCTCACTAACTGTACACATCAAGTTAACAACTGTGACAAACATTGCAATGGAGTGTAGGGACCTGACAAACTGCATCTGCATGCTAACAAATACCTACTGAACACATGTTAGATATTTAGTTTAGTTTGATAAACTGACCTCCAGGCCCTTGAGAAAGTAGCTGGACGCTTGGAACGTCCTTTGAAAATAGTTCCATCTGGCATGAGGAAGTCATTGTTCTTGTTGCCATCATAAGTACCACACAAACCTGCAATGAAAACACAGAGCTTGGCTTAAACAGCATTTTAGATTTGGGCATTATATTGCTTGCAACAAGATTTTTCTCTCCCATGAATTCTGCCAGTCACATCCTCATCAATTGATGCAGGAAAGAAAATATCAAGTTCTGAGTGTGGAGTAAGGTTTTGTCTTTATATTACCAAGACTTAGTCAATGTCATATAACTGTCACCTCATGGAAATTTGCATACTGAAGTCACAAAATTACCTCCTGCTGACACAACAGCTAACCACCAACACGAAATATACTAACGGGCAAAAGAAAAGCCACTAAACATTTTTCTGGTCTAAAACAAAACAGACGCAAAATTTAGTAACAGTTGATGCTTTATTATAAAAAGACAATTATTCAAAAATGGTATTTGAAAATGACAAGATCAAAAACGATGTACCCGGTACTTAAAGTTCTGCAGACATGTTTATCATGCTGGGTGCATTGTCCAGTATTCGATCACACCCGCAAAATTGATGTCGATCTCTTTTAAAGGCCTGTGCTACACATCGGATATGACCACTCCAGCAACGTTGCAGGTCCTAGCACGACGTCGAACTGAGTACACGAGTCACCTGACATCCTGATTCGGGTTCCTGCGCCATTCTTCCTGCAGGGCAATTTCCAAGGCATCCTTTGTCAATGGTGGCTTTTGAGTTTCTGAATCGTGCATCTAAGTTGGTCCCAGAGATGCTCTATGGGCGACAGGTCCGGTGATCTGGCTTGCCACTGTAATAGAGTCACGTTGTTGGCGTCCAGAAAGTCTCTCGAGTGACTCGAGCTGTGTGAGGGGTGGCGTTGTCCTGCTGAAACAGTGTCCTTGGGTGTCGTTGCAGGAAAGCCAGTACCACAGGCTGCAAAACCTCATCAATGTAACGACATGCAGTGAGATTTCCGTCAATTTCCGCCCAACTGTTTTTTCGCGCTGTTTGGCAAATTTGTTGAAAACTGACGACCATTATTTATTTGGTGGCGTTTCTTTCGTCCCTCAGTTTATAAGAATCAATATAGTTTCAAGTTTTAAGCCTTAGTGGTAACACTATACCTACAGTGCATTAATTGGAAACAGACTGTACTGCCCTCCTTCTTTACCACAATGGTAATGATATATACAGGTGAAATGATTGTATTGTCATACCATTCTTCCTCATCCAAGTAATGGTATGGACAGCAGATTCTACAGTGATACCATCCTTCTACATTTTTACATGGGTATTGATATATACAGTGATACCATCCTTCTCCATTCCTACCAAGGTATTGATATATACAGTGATACCATCCTTCTCCATTCCTACCAAGGTATTGATATATACAGTGATACCATCCTTCTCCCTTTTACTGGGGTATTGATATATACAGTGATACCATCCTTCTCCATTTTAACATGGGTATTGATATATACAGTGATAACATCCTTCTCCATTTTACTTATATATACAGTGATACCATCCTTCTCCATTCCTACCAAGGTATTGATATATACAGTGATACAATCCTTCTACATTTTTACTTGGGTATTGATATATATAGTGATACTGTCCTTCTACATTTTACTGGGGTATTGATATATACAGTGATACCATCCTCCTACTTTTTACTTGGGTATTGATATATTCAGTGATACCATCCTTCTCCATTTTAACATGGGTATTGATATATACAGTGATAACATCCTTCTCCATTTTACTTATATATACAGTGATACCATCCTTTTCCATTCCTACCGAGGTATTGATATATACAGTGATACAATCCTTCTCCATTCCTACCAAGGTATTGATATATACAGTGATACCATACTTCTCCATTCCTACCAAGGTATTGATATATACAGTGATACCATCCTTCTACATTTTTACTTGGGTATTGATATATACATTGATACCATCCTTCTCCATTTTACTTATATATACAGTGATACCATCCTTTTCCATTCCTACCGAGGTATTGATATATACAGTGATACAATCCTTCTCCATTCCTACCAAGGTATTGATATATACAGTGATACCATACTTCTCCATTCCTACCAAGGTATTGATATATACAGTGATACCATCCTTCTACATTTTTACTTGGGTATTGATATATACATTGATACCATCGTTCTCCATTTTCACTTGGGTATTGATACATACAGTGATACCTTCCTTCTCCATTGCTACCAAGGTATTGATATTTACAGTGATACCATCCTTCTCCATTTTCACTTGGGTATTGATACATACAGTGATACCTTCCTTCTCCATTGCTACCAAGGTATTGATATTTACAGTGATACCATCCTTCCACATTCCTACCAAGTTATTTATATTTACAGTGATACCGTCCTTGACAGGCAGTGCTCCGGTAGGATTTCTACTCTATATGCAGGATCAAATTTCACAAACTTGTCAGTCACAACTACAGATGTAGCAGATAATTCAATGATAATACACATAACCACAAGAATTGATGTCATTCAAGAATACTTCTTCTACACTTCAGAATGCAGGTTTCCTCTTACCTTCAGTGTGTTCATAGTCAGCTGGTGATGACCGAATCATTATGTTAAAAAACTTTGACTTTCCCCGTCCCTTGATGACATCCACTGCTGTACCAGTAGGTAAAGTGACCTAGCACAAAGAAATCAATCAGGATATCACTTGACATAATATAATTACATCTCATATATCTGATTCTAGAATATTTAATATGCACATACTCTGTATTTCTTGTCACCATTGTGGCGGGTAATTCGAACACCTGGTGTCATCATGCCATTCTTGAAGACTCGAAGCCTCAGTGGGCTTTTCTTGGCAGCACCACACTGATTGACAACAATGACGTCATCATCAATCTTGATAGCAGCCCCACAGTTACAGGAAGCCACTCCACCATTACACTTGTCAAATCTTCCATGAACCTGCAATGTCATCAGCACACTCTTTCAAATCTCTACTGAGCACCCTGGGTAATAAGCCAAGGTAGGAGAGGGGTGCTTTTTGTGAACATGTTTAGGATGGTGCCTAGAATATAGAAGTGGAACTTTCCGGCCTTTCAACAATTTGTACTCACCCAAATTATCATGCAGTTTTCAGTTTAAGACCAATATAAACTAGTGCTTTTACAATTTGAGTATAACCGCTCTTGAACATTAGGGGTTGACGGTTATTGAAATATGTCATGTACGTTTTAGTTATCATGACGACAAATACTACGCCTTATAAAGGTTTGATACACATATACATAACTTCTATTTACTAACAAAAGAAAAACTATGCAAGTTATATCATCCAGCAAATCATTGCTTCTTACAGGCTCCTAATGACTGGACAAACAAATGATCAATATATTCAACAAAAGCAAAGCTACTCAATTCAAGCCTGTTATCACAGGAGCTTAGATTTGAATATTCATCAGTTACACATGTTTCAAGTGAAGAGAGTATATGATATATATAATAAGTACAATCAAACACCCCTACCTCTGAAAGACCAAACAGGGAATTAGTTTGACTTATCCGGGGTAGTACACATCAAATTTGACTGTATTACCATTTGACCTAACTTAGTTATTTAGTCACGGCAGCCATTACTCAAACCAGACAAGAGTTTCCTGTCCTTGATGGAACATACTAACTTGTTTAGGCCATTATACGTGACACAAATACTAACTTGTCCTGTGTTGTGTAACAAAAGTGTTGAGTTTGACATATTCTTAGCTGTTGGAACTTCAATTGAGTTTGAGACAACTGGGAATTCCACACATCCAGGTTCAGCTGGTGATTAATGTAGTAAGAGTTTGTCAGTTTAGACTGTGTGTTCTGTAAATACTTCTTGTACTCACCTCATAAGGAAGGCTTGTGTGTTTGTACAGGACAAAATCTCCAAGCAGGAAGTTGTCAAATGACCTGGAGACAAAAGCACCATTCTGTTTGCTATATACTGAAACCATCACGGAGGGTTAACATCGACAGTTCTTGCAGATATTCTAAAAATACTTGAACATATTAAATTCAGAGGATATCCATTTTATTACAAAAAGTAATATGCATACTGTCTAAAATATTAAACTATATTGTATCTGATTTGATTTGTGATCCCTGATCTCATTTTTGCTTCTATGACGGGCGGTCGGGTAGCCTAGTGGTTAAAGCGTTCGCTCGTCGCGCTGAAGACCCGGGTTCGATTCCCGACATGGGTACAACGTGTTAAGCCCATTTCTGGTGTCCCCTGCCGTGATATCGCTGGAATATTGCTAAAAGCGGCGTAAAATCAAACTCACTCACTCACTCTATGATGCACATGAATAATCATCTTCTTTGGAATTGAGCAGTGTTTGCAAAACAGAAGCCGACCCATCTGTGTCTGACCTACCATGTTCCTGTTTCCTACCTAATGTTGTCTCATGCAGCCCAACGTAGTCCGGAGCCTCTGACTACCCAAATAACAACCACTTCTGGGTGTAAAACAAAGTTATAAGTTCTTCTGGTTCTGGATTCCGGATTGATAAAAAAACATGAAAAAACATGCCATACCATAAAATTGATACCATAAAAACAAAGTTGTTAGCACTTACATTTTAAATTGCATCACTTCCAGCTTGAGAAAGCATAAACTCAAAACACTACAACTTTGAAATAAAAGTCCCATTCCTCTAGCTACCATGATAAGAAAGGCAGTCATAAGCAATTCCATTCTTATGACCTTAGCTGCTAGAAAATTTGAAATTGAAGGCATATGGTTACAAATGTAAATGTACTGTAGAATAATGTAAATATAGTTTGAAGTAAACAGTTCACAAGACTTCAAATGTGTGACTGACCTTGACACATGGCAAGCATAGGTAAAGGGGTTTATGTATACACTGTATTAATAACTAAAACATAGTTTGTATCATGAATTAAAATTAAGTATTTCATGTTTTTCTGATAACTTTGACCTTCGCGAAATTGACCTTTAGCACCATCCAATATGAAAACAATAGTAATTGAACTCTTTATACCATGTTTACAATATTTTCTTATTGAAACTATTTACAAGTCATTTCATGGGTTGAAAACCTTCATAGTAACCATAGTAATTAAATCATTATTTTAGAGTCTAGCTATCATAACAGATTGAAAAAATGCTTTTAATTTAACTTCTTGTGACCATGACATTTTTATGGGGGGTGACTCCAATGTTGCCGCAATTGACAAATTCAATTATAAATTTGTAAGTCATCGTGTACAGAAGCTTTATTAATGCTTAGATCATTACACTGAGTGACCATGATCTTGACATCTAATCATGTGTCAGAAACATTCCCACAGGTATATAAAAGGTTTAATACTAAGGTATTGAGTCTCTAACATCTGTCATAAGTCTGTCATTGCTAAACTATGACTTCAATGTTCATCTCATTCAGATGTTTATTCCCTCAAAGGATACTCACAATCACAGGACTATGTAACAAATAATAATAATAATAAACAAACTCGCAAAAACCTTGTAGAAGAGGCTGTATGCCTTGTATGTGACTTTGTTTGTTATTATTAGTTACATGGTCCTGTGATTGTGAGCGTCCTTTGAGTGAATAAACATCTGAATACAGATCTGCTCACAATACAGGCCATCCACTGCACTAGCAAGTATTCTAAATAAGGACCTGGCAATATACTGAACAACAAAAGTTCCTGTGACATTAAATAAGATTTAATGCAAAGTTATGTCTTTTACCAAATCTGAAACAATTTTGGTTTGCAACAGATAAAAGACTCCTGTAAGTGTTCAAATGGTTTAATTTGCCATACTGACTTCAGAAAATGTGTGATTTCATAAAAAAACCATGAACATGTCTCCACCTCTGGTTGCGATGCGAGCAACACATCTTCGTCTCATGGAATGGACCAGACATCGCACAAAGTCCTATGGGATATCTGTACCTATCTGCTGGAGCATGTTTCGAAGTTCCTGGAGTGTCTGTGGAACACGTGGTTGACGTCGAAGGTGCCGATCAATCTCATCCCACACGTGCTCGATTGGTGAGAGATCAGGGGAGCGAGCTGGCCAATGTCGAACAACATTCACGTTGTTTTGTTGAAGAGAATCCTGAAGTCGAGCAATATGAGGCCGGGCATTGTCATGTTGAAAGGTAATGCCTGGGCCATGACGACGCAAAAAAGGTAGAACATCAGGGCCGATGATCTCGTCGTAGTAGCGCTGTCCATTGAGATTTCCCTCTACCACTATCAAACGGGTCCTGTCTTGCTGTAATCCCACCCCATACCATAACGCTGTCGCCCCTGAACCAATCTTCCATGACACAATGATTGACGTAACGTTTGTAGTTCATCAATGACCAAGACAGACATGTGCCTGTTAAATCAACCTGCATAATCATTCTATGACAATGTTTACCTCGACATCAGTACACTTGAATCTGGCCATCTCTGTGGCTGAGGTGAAAACGAGACTTTTCAGTGTATAGAACTTGTCCCCGCTGCATGGCCGTCCAGTGTAGATGCTGTCTGCACCACTGTAGACATGCTTGATGGTGGTTTCCTGTCAAAATGGGACATCTGGCGGGTCTTCTGGCGACAATCCCTGCACATCTGAGGCGACGACGGATGGTTTGTGATGATATTCGTCGAAGGCCAGGGATGCTTCTTGCAGTCACTGTTGCTGGCTGGAATCGATTTCGTAGGTGTGTTGTTCGAATCCAGTTGTCTATCCACTCCGAGGATGGTCTCTGACTGCATTCGTCTGTTGGCAACGTTGCCATAAACACCAAATGGTGTTTCTGTGGAAGTTAAATTGCCTTCAACATCATGTTGACTCAATCCTGCTTCAAGCATACCAATGGCTCGCAGACGCTCATTTTCAGACAGATGTGGCATTTCGTAATGTTGAATAATTGCGTAATTTTGTTGTTTTTCTGAGTGGTTCTTATCAGCAGGATGCTAAACAATGCATATGGAATCCCGTTAATGCACATGTTTTTATGCCCATTCTTGGGTAGTGAAATGCATGGGGCTTGCATAAAAGTCAACTTTTGAATGGAATGCATGCTTTTCTGTTACAGTTGTGTTTTTGTCACTTGATTCCATACATGTACTACAATACTGAACCAAATTTTACTTGTTTGAAAAATACACTAAAATATTTGTGTCACAGGAACTTTTGTTGTTGAGTATATGAGAATTTAATGTGAAGGGCACAGAAATACTGACTTACTTCCTGTCAAATGTCTTGATATGTGGGTCATTGACTGATTCACATAGTTTCACCTCATCCTTGTCTTCAACATGGACCTGTAACAACATGGGTAGAACAGATGACTGAAGTGTTCTGACATGCTTTAACACAACTGTTACCTGACATATCTCTTTCTTATAGCATTGTTCCTTCTTACAAAGTAGGATGACCAATGAAAAACAAAACATCAACTGATGCCAGGAAAGGTGAGGTGAAATGTGGTTTAATGTCGCGTCCAAGATGATTGCACTTTAGACATGTGTGTGGCTGCTTGTACTATTCGGGACTGATGCTAATTTATAGTGCTAGCCCTCTGAGATACCATGCCACAGTTTAACATGAATACCCCACTCAGACACAGTATATTGCCTCTGTGCCAACCAGTCCCTGCTTTAGCCCCTAAATGCCAAGCGCCAGACAGGGTAACATCAAGTACCATCTTTTAACGTCTTTTGGTATGCAGCGGCTGGGGATCAAACCCCGGACCTTCCACTCTCTGGGTGGACCCTCTACCACTAGACCACGGAGGTGGTCAATGCAAAGAAAGTGCACATTCAAAAATGAAATATTTTTGCAAACTTTGCCTATTAATGTCATAACAAGATTGTACCTGGATCTCTGATAGCTGTACTGTATAGAAGAACTCTGCCCCACAGGTCACAGTTGCACTGACCAGCAGCTGACCGACAGCATCTCCATCTCGGACACTGTCCACTACGGCACGGACAGGGAGGAGGAGAGGTTTGTCCCATGTACTGGTCATGATTGTAGCCCCACATCTAGCAGAGCAAACAGCAGGTAGTAGGGACAGTGAGTGAGGAACAAATCAACTCTTCCTCGTCAATATAATATTACACCATATATGGATATTTACACAGCGAATGTGTTTGACACACATAATCATGTATCCTACTTATACTGATACAACATACATATACAAGTGCTGCAAGTGTATCATCACAAAGGCGATATCAAATCATGATATCTGAACAACTACTGCCATTGTATTACATGTACTTATTGAAAGGTGAAACTATATTATGATAGACATCATAAAATTAAAATGGCATATTTCTATAATTATTTGGTTGTATTTGACATTTGACTAAGTATGTTACATTGCTTAGATAATTTATTAACTTAAAATTTGCAGTAATTATTTCAACTTGGATTTCATCAAGCTTGGTTGTTGTCCAGCATATCAATTTGTTTTTGTAATTAAATGCACAATGATCATAAGTTGCTAATACCAGAATGAAGATACCAGGTAATCCTCTGCTGTGTGGTATCATGATTCGTGAAAATAATGTCAATCAATCCATTGTCACAACACTTTCTCATAATAAAACTCACTTTGTATCATCTCCACTGATACTCCCAATAACTGCCTGGACTAGGGTGTTACCATTAGGGCAGGTGGACTGTGCACCAGTTAAGCCATTGAAGAAGGCAGAGGCTGTCACGGTGGTGACGTTCCCTCGCTTGGCAAGAGGGCACAGGAGGTGGGGTGGGACTGCTGTCAGGAGAGTGATGAATGTCTCTGATGATCCCTCCAAAACAGTCAGTTTTGTCTCCTTCACCTTTACATAGAAATAAACAAATGTTAAGAATTTAAAGAATATTACCTCTACTACATTAGTGCCAGCAATCCTGTAATGTCAACACACTATAAAATCTACTGATTCATAACCACTTATACTCGTAATACAAATAGTATCACCCTTTCTTAACCTCTGCACATACATGAGCAGCAGGTCTTCAATTATTCCAACATCAGCAACCTAGATGCAGATTATTGGGGAGATGGGTGGGAGTGCTCCTGAAGTAATATTCTTTAAATTATTAACAATGAAAACTATTGTTTGTTAATTCATACAAACAGAAAACCTCTTATTACACCAGAATACACCCAAGGGATTGATGGGTTCTGACATCCAGTTATACCCTTGACAGTTAACAGTCTAATGCATTGAAAATAAAAGTAACACAAAACTGTATTATCCATCAAAAATGGGTCTTTTTTCCTCAAATAGAGTATTTTGGGGTACCTAGTTGTTCCAAACAAACCATTCAAGTTTTTTTACCAGTAATGGGTGGACATAAAAAATCATAACAAGCTCAAAAGGGCCATTTTCAGAACAAAGCCAAGGACATTTGCAGATGTGGTAAACCTTCCTTGATTGACCATTATGTGTGTTTAATTCCACCAATTGTGATATCATCAATTGATCCCTAGCAGCCTTGGCCCTATGTGACCTTCCATACCTGTAACTTATGAGCATGATCATTTGCTGTTAAGCTATACATGAACCTTGTAGACAATGTGGTACACAAAATTAACTGCCTTCCAAGGCTGTCACTGCAGGAAGTACCCCCGCCCCCTTCTTTTCTTCCTGGTAAGGTTGGGGAAGCTACTGTGTGATGGACGTGCCACTGACCACTGGAGATGACTTGTCCAACTAAGACTGTTTTCGCTAACATCAGACTGGTAGACATGGCCCTGATTTCACGAGCAGTAAAAAGTACTGACGCCGGAGTTGTTAAATTCCTAGTAGCTGTCAACTGTCACTTTGGTAATGTTTTATCCGAAGCACTTGCCAGTCTTTGTCCTAGCTATCTCACTGTGGTGTTGTCTGTGGCCACAAAGATTGATACTTGGAATAAATGGGTCTTCCACTTGATGGGAAGAAATTCCCTTGGTATCATTAGACTGTCCATATGAGTAGCCCAATCGAGTTGAAAGCATCACTACACAGTTGGTGAAGGGGTGCTTGAAATGTCCACAAGTGATTCTATCCAGTAACAGGGAAAGATACCACAATGTCCTACCAGTGGACACATATTCCTCGGCTGACAGGAAGTCATCAATATATCCATGGAAACGCACTAGTTGAATGTGAGCAAGACTCAGGATCAGTGCTGTAATCCGAGTGAAAAGCCAAGCTGCGATCAATTTCCTGAACAGAAGTACCAGGAAGCAGCAATGGCTACTGTTGACTGAGAATCAGAGATATTCGCTCATGTAGGTATGCATACTGGAGAATGAGGCTTATCATCCAATTCCAAGTCCTGAGAAAAGTGCAAAGTTTGTGTACTGATTGCTTTGTGAATTTCAGTTGGGATAACAGATACTCCTTGCTGAGAACTTTCAGATCGGGGATCATGAGCATATTGTAGTGGGGTTTTTTTTGGGTGCAAGAAAGATTGGAAGCCGTGGCTGTGGTCCATATCCTCCAACCGTGCATGGCACACTTGTCCCATAGCATCTGATTGACCTACCAGATAGAAGCAATTGTGGAGCTTGAATCTAATTGAATGATGTGATGTGATTCCAATTCACAGCAAACAACACCAATCGTCACAACACTGGTGGTGGTCATATGGTCATAGACATAGCCAGGGCCCCGTTCCACAAAGCAATCTTAGCGCCAAGTTGATTGTAACTCCCATACTTTAACATAGACTTACGACTGTTATAGCACTAAGATCGCTTTGTGGAACAGTGCCCAAGTCTATAGAGTTGATAAAAATTATGGGGGTGCCTGACAGTTACCAGTAGTAGTGGCAATCCCCTCTACCGACAATTGATTGCTTGCAGGATGGTACACACTTCTTTAGCCAGGAAGGACAAGCCCCAGGTACTGCTTTAACTGCTGGATCTGAAGATGTCCTTCTGCTCTGGATCTGAGACTGGGTTAGTAGGATTGATCTTGGCACTGTGCATCATTTGGGTCACAGGTGATATATGTAGATCCAAACCCGTAAGATTTCAGCCCTGATCCCAATCTTAGAATTATTTGTTGATAGCTGGCATACCTGCATTGCATTGCAGCACAGCCTCCAGTCCTCAACCTAACTGGATAAACAGGTTAACGGATCGTCGGTCAGGATCTGAACTAACCATGATACCCACACTCCATAAGGATCTGTTGTCTGTGACAATCACCATAAGAGGTCTTGAGGAAGTGGTAAGGTGACTTGATACTAGCCCATTACATTGTCACATGGCCAGGGAAGCTTTCTCAGATGCTGGGGTTTCCTCTGTTCTGTCTGGCTTATCACTTTTGAAGTTTGCTTGGAAGTTTTTGGAACACTTTCAAGCATGGATCTGAAGGTCAAATTCTGTTGCAGACCCAAACAAGTGATGAAGAAACCTTTCATGGTCGAACCGAGACTGTTGTCCCAAACAACCTGGCCACCTGACTGTAGTTCATATCCTCATTGAGGTAGAACTGAGTTCCCTGCATCCCAGGAAAACTTTCTCAGCCTGCTGGGGAAGGTGGTAGTCATCTCCAAGGTAATGTCCAGGAGCTTGTCCAGCTTGCATGTCTGCTCTCCAGCTGGTCCTTCCAAAGACTGAGTGACAGTTGAGCAGTGGCATCTGTCTGGGGTGGAGATAATCATCCTGTTACATCTGGACTTTCTCCAATATTTGGTAAATATAATCCCGAAATACCTCAAAAGGCCTTTTTTGGAAAAATACTAAGGACATATATATGCAAATATGTGATAAACTTCCATGGAACTATCAATATATTGAATCTCATTTACTGAATTAAGCATATTCAATGTTACTGACTGAATGTAACATTGTAAGACTCAACTGTGATAGAGGAGCATTTGTAAGCAAGGATTATATCCTACCTAAATATTATCCCGGGGGAAGTTGTACTCTTCTCTATCTATAGGATCCAACACACTAGAGTATATTATCTATAGGATTAAACACACTGGTATGGGTTCAAATTCACTAGGGATAATCATCCTGACACTAGAGAATTTCATCCCCAGGATAAAAAGTAGGGTAGGATAATATTCACTCTTACAAACACACAGTGCATCTAGACTCCTCTGTTACCCGAGTAGATCAGCAATTGCAGCAGGTAATTCATTGTTCTTTGCGATTTATCATGTAGCATTTTAATATATATCTACAAGATAGCTAAACGATAAATCTCAAAGAACAATGAAGAACAAAGCATGGTTTATTTCACAATAAAACAATGTTCTATCATGATGTCATTTCTGGAGATTAATACACAACGCAACTTGATGACGTCGTAGATTAGACTACATTATTTTTGAGAGGATAGTGTCCAGTGAGTTGTTCCCCATAGATGTAGCTGGTTAACACAGAAAAACACCATGGCCGAACCATCACTTCCAAAAGTGCAATCTGTATAAGGGGAAAAGGTACATATAATTGAAAATGGAGAGAATATCCGTGAAATACCAAGTTTAGCCCCTCTGTTCATAAAATTGACTTGTTCGGCCTTACAAGGTTCTGATTGTATTCAGGGTGTCATCATTATAGAGCATGTACTGTTTACTTATATCCTTAAAGAGGTTGTACATAATGTTGATATCTCATATAAGAAATAAACGACTCTTGGTCATTGTTTATCGTACAATAAAACACAGCAGGGGGAATAACACTCTGGGCTGTGCCCCTTATGATTAATTCTCCCCGCAATGTTCACTCACTCACTCACTATATATATATACCAACGACTTATTTATACAATCATTACCATTTCATATATACACTCAAGACCTATTATACACTCATTACCTATTTATATATACTCATTACCTATATAAATACTCACTACCTATATAAATACTCACTACCTATATATATACCCACTACCTATATAAATACTCACTACCTATTTATATATTCTCACTACCTATATAATTACTCACTACCTATATATATACTCACTACCTATATACATACACTCACTACCTGTATATACACTCACTACATATATATACACTTACTACATATAAATACACTCACTACCTATATATACTCACTACCTATATAAACTCACTACCTATATATATACACTTACTACCTATTTATACACTTACTACATATAAATATACTCACTACAGATAAATACACTCACTACCTATATTTACATTCACTTCATATAAATATACACACTACATATATATATATACTCACTAACTATCTATACACTCACTACCTATATATACACTCACTACCTATATATACACTCACTACTTATATATACTCACTACATATATATTCACTCACTACCTATATATACACTCACTACATATAAACTGACGTCCAAAAGAAACTTTACCAACTGAAAATATAAATTTCAGACAAAGTATAATTTTTTTTCCCAATGAAGTCTATCTAAAACACATAACCTAAATACAACAATAGTGTATGCAGAAAATGTTAATCGTCTGTTACATGTTTGCGAGATAACACACGAAAAAGTGAAAAACACGTGCACCACGGACAACTGCAAATGCACGTGCGGGTAAGGGTATAAAAGATTGCAACGGCAAGTCAGACATCCACAGTGATAAAAAAACACAAAAAAATGCCACGACACGAACAACGTGAACGAGCCTTTGGTATGGTACAGATGGGAGCCACCCACACCCATATTGCATTAACCTTCGGTTGCTCCCGTGTTGCCTTTACCAACTTGATTCAACGTTACAGACAGACAGGGCGGACCGCTGACAGGCCAAGAACAGACAGACCCAGGGTAACCACGCCCAGTGATGACCGGTACTTGCATACCTTGCA